CTCCAAAAAAAAAAAAAAAAAAAAAAGTTGGGGCTGGGGATTTAGCTCAGAGGCATAAGCGCCTGCCTTACAAGTGTGTGGTCTTGAGTTCGATCTCTGGTACCGATAAAAAAAGAAAAAGACCAAAAAACAATTTTTAAAAAGTTAACATGGAAAAGTGCTCAAGAAGATACCAGATATCAAGTTTGGTGTGACTGAATGTAAATTATTGATATGTTTAGTTTCATATATTATAGTTAGTTCTTTAAAGCATTCCTGAGGACAGTGGCATCAAGATCATGAGTGTGGTGTGGGGGGAGTGGCACATATCTGTAATCTTAGCACTCAAGAGGCTAAGGCAGGAGGATTGCCATGAGTTTGAGGCCAGGCTGGGGTACATAGTGAGTTCAAGGCCAGCCTGAACTATACAGTGACCCTGAGTTAAAACACACATACACACTTGTGTGTATGCACTTACAAAGATCATGAGCACATTCCAATTTGTTTTAGTTCCTCCTTTTAAGCTCTCTTTGTATCTTAGAAATCTCTACCCTTAGTGATTTATAAAAATACAGAAACTGCAGTAACACAGCTTCATGGTTTACAAGTTAATGTGAGGTTGGAGGAAGTTTAATTTCAGGGTTTCAGTTTTCTTATCTGTTAAATGAGGATATTAACTTTCTAACAGGTTTGTAAGGATTTAATGAATTTTATATATATTAAATGCTTACAATAGTATCTAACATTGCTAACCATGTTAGATGCTTTTATAATTATTATCAAAAAGAAGTGATAGATGGGCATGGTGAGGCATACCTGTAGTCCCAGCACTCTGGAAAGTTGAGGTAAAAAGATTTTGAATTTGACACTAGCCTAAGCAATTTATGGATTTGTTGAGATTCTGTCTTTAAAAAAAAAAGCCAGGTGTGGTGGCATGTGCCTGTAATCCCAGCACTTGGGAAGTTGAGGCAGGAGGATTGCTACAAGTTTGAGGCCAACCTGGGCTACAAAGTGAGTTCAAGGCCAGCCTAAACTGCATAGTGAGACCCTGCTTCAAAAATAAAAGATTAAAAAAAAAAAAAAAAAAAAAAAAAAAGCTGGAGTATTGCTCAGTGTCACGGTTCAATCCCCAACTTCAATCCCTGGTACCGGGGGGGGGGGGGGAACATATTGGGTAGATGTTTTAGTTTTTTTTTTTTTGAACCAGGATTGAACTCAGGCCTGCCAGACAGTTGCTTGTGCCACTGAGCTAAATCCCTGGCACATTGGGTAGATGTTAGTCAAAGTCTCAGGAAAAATAAATTTGTGAGTTCTGTTGTACAACATGGTTATGATAATTATAACTATTATATACTTGATAGTTGCTTGGAGAGATTTTTAGTAATTGTTCTTATTGCCAATACATAAGTATTATCAGGTGAGATGGATTCATGAGCCTAGTTTAGTTATTCCATAATGTGCACTTTACATGTGGTGTGTGTGTGTGTGTGTGTGTGTGTGTGTGTGTGTGTGTTATGCGCGTACTGCTGGGGACTGAACCCCAGGCTTTGCACATGCCAGGCAGTGCTCTACCATTGAGCCACCTCCCAGAGTTTTGTTTTGTTTTGTTTTTTAAAGTTTGAGACAGGGTTTTTTGCTAAATTGTCCATCCTGATCTCAAATCTATGATCTTCCTGCCTCCGCCTCCAAAGTAACAGTGATTGCAAGTATGCACTACTGTGCCCAACTTGCATACATATTTTTAAGCACTGTGCTGTATTTTATATGTATATAATTGTATTAAAAATTGGAGTTGTATCAGTGGTAGGCCATTTGCCTAACATGAGTGAGGCCCTGGATTCAATTCCCAGTGCTGCAAAAAATATAAAGAGGAGGGGGCTGGGGATTTAGCTCAGTGGCTAAGCGCCTGCCTTGCAAGCAGTTAGTCGTGAGTTCGATCCCCGGTACCGATAAAAAGGAAAAAGACAATAAATAAATAAAATAAAGAGGAGAAAGAAAAGACAGAAAATGAAATAAAATAATTCTCTATGATTATGTCAGAGCTTTTCAATTCCATTAAAATTTAATATAACATTTGAGGTAAATTCCCAGTTCAATGGGACTGAATGCCAGCAAGTAGAATAGTTCCCAGGCTTTTATCCAAAATGTAGCACATCTTGTTGAACTTTAATACAGCCTCAAGGTGTTTGTTCCTGAAGACCAAGCAGAATTTTAAGTGACTGTCACCGGTACCGCCAAAACAGCTTTAGCCTAGGATATTTTGGATAAAAGCCTGGGAACTATTCTACTTGCTGGGATTCAGTCAGAGAAAGATACATGACATAATTGTAGCCATATAATAAAGACAGATTGAAAATGTGTCAAGATGCGGCTGGACGCGGTAGTGAATGCCTGTGATTCTGACACTTGGGAGGCTGAGGCAGGAAAATCACTGGGAATTTGGGGCCAGGTTGGGCTAAAAAGTGAGTTGAAAGGCCAGCCTGAACTCCATAGTGAAAGACAAAAAACAAACAAAAAGCCAATAATGCTTGCTTCTAAATAGACTTTTTCCATTTCTTTGAGTGCATACTAAATTTTATGTGTTTTCTTGGTTTTTTGTTATTTTTATTTTTTTGTGTGTTGGGGATCGAACTCATAACCTTGCTCTTACCAAGCAAGCACTTGAACTACTGAGCTAAATCCTCGGTAACTCTTTTTGGTTTTTCTTGAGGTAGGGTCTCACTGTGTAGTTCAGGCTGTCCTTGAACTCACTCTGTAGTCCAAGCTGGCCTCAAACTCATGTCAGTCCTGCTGCCTTAGCCTCCAGAATGTTGGGATCACACACATGGCTTTTTATTTTGAGACAAGGTCTTGCTGTGTAGCCCAGGCTGGACTCAAACCTAAGATCCTCCTGCCTCAGCCTCCTGAGTACCTGAGATTACATGGGCCAGTATGCCTGGTTTATGTTACACATTCTATTTATCTTTTTTTTTTTTCTTCATCTTTTTGACACATGGTCTCACTATGCAGTTTAGACTGCCCTTGAACTCACTTTGTAGTGCAGGCTAGCCTTGAACTTGTAGTGTTCCTCCTGCTTCATTCTGTGAGTGTTAGGATTCATGCCTGCTTGCCATGTTCCACTATTGCACTCAGCAATTTACATATTTTCTATACTGATTCTGAATGATGTATTAGGGAGAAAAATATGCAGAAATGTTTAGAATGTTTAACCATTTTTTAATGGTTAAGATTTTGGAAGTTTGATTTTTTTCTGTTTTCCAAATTTTTTTTTTCTTTTGAGCAAGGGTCTCACTTTGTAGTTTAAGCTGGCTGTCCTTAAACTCACTATGTAGTCCTAGCTGGCCTTGAAGTGCTGGGGTTACAGCTGTGTACCACCATGCCAGGCTTCCCACTTTATTATTACATGTTTATATTACTTCTGTAATTTAAAAAAGTTCCATTAGTGACTTTTTTTTTTTTTTAATTTTTGTCTTTTTGAGACAGGGTCTTGCTATGCAGTTCAGGCTGGCCTTGGGTTCACTTTGTAACCCAGGCTGGTCTCTAATTTGCAGTGGTCCGCCTTCCCCAGCCTCCTGAGTGCTGGAATTACAGGAGTGCGCCACCACGCCCGGCTATTAATGACTTTTAAAAAAAACAGGGACTGTTTATTCTTCTTCCAGAGGAAGAACAATTATATAAAACAGAAATAATGAAAAATGAATCATCTTAGACTTCTGTGGCTTTTTGTACTGGGGATTCAACCCACTGCCTTTACAGTGAACTACATCCCCAGCCCTTTTATTTTTTAGATAAGATCTCCTTAAATTGCTACATTGGTCATATCACCCTGCATTGCACTGACCTCTGACCCTTTCCCTGCAAACTATCTTGAAGTTTGTAAGTATACATTTATTAGCATGATTATTTGATTAATACTCATCCTCTGCTAAGCCCTACAAAAAGGACTCTTGCCTATCCATATATTTTATCTAGTACCTGAAATATAGTACACAATAAATAAACATTTATTGATTAATGAATGAGAGAACAGAATTAACCAATCTTAGCAATACCTTCTGGAACAAATAAATCCAATTAAAGAGGCAGAGGACTAATTCTGAGCATTAAAAACAATTCTCCTTATGGTCTTAGAAATTACATTTCAGGGAGCAAGGACCAGGGAGAACCAGGAAGGAAACTAAACCCCCAACTGTGAACCAGCGGGGCACTCAGAATAAGGAGAACCCAGATGAAAGCAGTGCCCCTACTTGTGAGCCAGCCTCAGGCCAGGCCAGGAAGAACAGAAGAACCAGGAGGGCATCTAAACCCCTGCCTGCAAGCAAGCCTACAGCCCATAGTCTGCAACATAGTAACTATTGTAGATTTCCTACTGCCTTATCACTTTCATTTTATTGTTGTTTTATTCCCTTTAAAATAAAAAGAAAGACATACATAAAAAAGTAGGCTGGGAATTTAGCTCAATGGCATAAGCGCTTGCCTGACAAGCCCAATATTGAGTTCAATCCCTGGTACCAAAAAACAAAACATTTCAACAAGCTGGGTGTGATAGGTCATAGCTGCAATTCCAGCATGCGGGAGGCGAGGATCACCATGAGTTCAAGGCCATCCTAGACTGCCTAGTGAGTCTTTGTCCCAACTTCTCTGCCAACCCAAAAAAGAAATTGTATTTCAAGAGGAAAACAAAGATTAGAAAAAGTAGTAAACTAAGTCAACTCCCAAATGTGAGTCAGATTGTACTCCCACCTCCCAGAGCTAGGGATCAAACCCAGGGTTTTGTGCGTGCTAAGCACATGCTCCATCATGCTAAAACATATGCCCTATCATGTTAGGCACATGTTCCATCACTAAGCTATACCCCCAACTGCAATCTATACTTTTGAAAGTAATACCCTAGATGATTCCAAATGAGGCAGTCTTGGAGCCACTGTTTGTAAAATGTGCTCTCCATCCTTTGGATGTTTGCATGTGAACTTCCTTTGTGGTCATTCAGCTTCTGAAAGAATCAACCTGACATCACTATACCTAGTTAATGTGAATCAGTCAGTCTTTATTTTGCACTCATGTAAGTGCATTAACAAATTCAACATACAAGATAGCATTACATATTGTAGGTTAGTGTTACAGCATTATGCAATTTCACACAATTCATGTTAGCTTTTTCATGTTTTTCTTTTTTAATTTGACATGTTTATCTTTTGAGTTTCATTTTTACAAGAGAAGACACAAGGTAAAGAAAGACGAACACTTTGGAGAGGGATCATGGCAAGGGCAATGTCACTATCATGGCCATTGTGAGAGCCTTCCGAGAAAAGGGACTTGCATTTTCCTCTCCTGAGCAAGCCACCCTTGTCCCACAGAGCAGTTCTATGTGGTTTCCTACCTAGAGCACTGTCAGGATACAGGTATGTTTTTGCCTGTGCTCCACTGGGAACTGAAGGAAGGAACAACTCATAAAGGGCCTTTTGTTATTAAGAAAAACTCTTGTCTTCTCAAAGAGAGCAAGATTTCCACAGAGAAGGATTAGCTTTTGGAAAACCAGACGTGACCATTGCCTAACCTATTCCTGACTACGAGCGCCTTGTGCAAATGCTAGGACATGACTCTCTTGTCTGTCAACTGACTGTTAGGAAGAGGCGCTCTGCCTCAACCCTTATCAGTTTTCTCTGCAAAGAATAAATAAAGCCAAAGTCAGCTAAGAAACTTTGGGACAGCATACTCCAGGGCAGGATGGATCAGGCCTGAGGTTGGAGGGAGGAATTCTATGCTGGCTACCTCTTTGCTTTTTCGTGATAAAGGCACAGAGGCAGCTCCTGGCCTAGAGTGGCCAGTTCTTCTGTCATCTCACCACCCACTGCTCCACAGACCCAAAGGATGGAAGGAATAAAGCTACCAGGAGGTGGGAATCAGGGGTGAGTGAGGCTGTCTCCCCTGGATTATGGCAGGAGGAGCTACAGAGGCACACACTGCAGGGCAAAGACCAGACTATCTCCACCTGTCGCTCTGCATTGTTTCTGGAAAGGAAACAAAAGCGGGTTGCTCAGCGGTTTCTGATCTTTAGATATTAAGGCGATGAAGAGGAACCATTTAAATTTTTTCTAATGGGGCTTCAGAATGCTCCTGCCAGATTTACATTTAAACTATCTCAAAATGCATTTTTTAGAAAACAAAATTATTTTCTTCTACGTATGATACAATATTTACATTTCCATGGGTTAGAGGACAGAGACTAGTGGTGTGGCCCCAATTGGTGATGAGTCTGATTTTAGGAGGGGAAGGGTGATAGGGACAAAGACAGAAGAAGGGGCTTTGTGCCTGCACAGAACTGCTCTGAACTGTCAATAATTTGGGTTAAAACAAAACCAAAGTAGAGGGTGGGGTTGAGGGCAGTGAACTGGATTTAAATCCACAAGAGCTCAGGGAACACCAAAGGCAATGTCACCACCCTCTCCATGGAGACTCAGCTTCTCCACTCCCTTCTCAGGAGCAAGTTAGGAAGTGAACACTACAATCTCATCTTTCAGGCCCTGGGTCAAGCTGCTGCACAAATTCCTCTTCAGGCTGTCAAAACTATGAACTGCCCACCCAAGCTCACCCACTTAACTGAAGGCCCTGCCACATGGTCTCCACATGAAGAAAGTGGCTACAGTAGGACAGAGACCTGAATTCTGACTGCAGTCTAAGGCTGAATCTCTCAACCTGTACTGCCCAACAGCAGAAAGACTAGATCTCCCATCCTTTCCATATCATGAGATTAAAGTCCCAAGAATATGCACTTAATTTGAGGGACAGGAAAATTTATCTTTACATCTTAGTCACTTGGTTACTTGTTTAAAGATCTGTATTTTTGAAAATTCAAGGAGAAGGAATAATCTGAGGGCCTTTGCCTTACGAAACAAAACTAGCCTCATTAGAACATCTAAGTCACTTGAGAAGACCTAAAGCTTCCTCATAGTCAGCATTTCTGGGAAACCAAAGGCCAATGTAACCCTTTAAATTTCCAAGGACTTTCAACAGATTAACCTAGAAATAGATGTCACTATGGGACAAAGCTGCAAAGGGGGGTGGCATTCACTTCCTTGGTTCTCTACTTGTCCTCATACCTGCAAATAACATTTAGGGTAAGCTGGTCGTGTCTGCTGCTTCTTTACTGCAGCTGAATGTGAAGTCTCCAAAACTCTTTTTAGAAAAGTCAGGTAGTTTTGTAGATCTAAGTTCTACCTGATAAAAGTGATATGTTCTATGTGCTTCATTGGGGGACATCAGTTAAACATAACTGCCCACTGCTCCTTTGCAGCAGCTGGGCTAGCAGCAATAATACCCCATTTCTGGTCATGCTTTCTCCTGCAATCCCTGCCGTATCACCCACCTTTGTTTCTTAGCTTATGGAAACCTCTAGGCCTTGAGCTCATTCAAAGCGCAGAGATATAAAAGGTGGGAGAAAAGATGGGAATGATGAAAATATGAGATTTTACAAGAGCAAAATTTTCTTCTGCAGAGGTAGGGAGTGGGAGTAACTCTCCAGAGAAGCCCAATGAAAAGATGCCAATTTTAGGTAATCAGCAAATACAGTTCGGCACAAAACACAATTTTCATGGATTAAAATCTGCAACTCGATAATGGCAGATAGGCTAATTTCTTCAGTTTGTATTAGACATGCAAGTATAAGGTTACATTGTTATATATAGACTTCTAGGGTCTTCCCCTTTGTTTTCCCCCCATTTAAAAAAAGAAAGATTTTCTAGTGCCTTGTGAAGGAGGAAAAAAAATCACCACTAAGAACTGATCTGAAGCTGTGGTGTAGGGTGTTCTCTGTGGGGTTCGTTTTGTAAGAAATTTTCTTCTACAACTAAAATGAGGTTTTGAGTCCGCTTCTCTGTCATCTCTCCCTGCCACATCCCTCCCCAGCCTGGCTCCAGGATTAGAGGCAAGAAGAATAGGATTAGTACTCGCTCAGACTGTGCCACTTGGCTACAGGCTTACGGGGACTCTCACAGACCTCTCTCCAGTGTTCGGCACCACTGGCTGTGACACTGTGAGCTCCCAGGATCAGCCTCCCCACCACCTCGTTCTTGGTGGTGCGATCGAAATCGATGACGAGGAACTCGATGCTGATATCAGGCAGGAGGTCAGTGGGGATGTCATAGATGAATGACTCATTGAAGACGGGATTCAAAGTGCACTTCTTGACATGGGTCTTCTTCTTGGCAATACGCTTTCTGCCATAGTAGACGTTCACCTTGACATACGGATCTGGGGCCCCCAAGGAGATAAGAAGGAGAGACACAGGCCTATGACACAGTCCTCTCCTGTATAATGGTGTCTTTATGCTAGGCAGGAGGGGATACTGCTGCCCCATATCCTTGGTACCACCCCTTGTGGCCATCAGTCACTGCACAGTAAATGTGCACAGATTATGTGAGTCTGTCTGCCTGGAGAGGGAGCCAAAGAAACTATGTAGGGAGAGAACAAGCAATCCCATTGTCAGGGCTGAAGCAACCTTGTGACACCAGGAAGTGTCCTCTAGTGCCTGGGGATGACTGTGTGCACAGTCTTTGGGGACTCTCCCTTGGGAAAAGTACCTAGCACCTTGCATGCCTGGCACAGAGGATGCCTAGCCCAGTGCAAGCACCTCATCTGCTCCTCCAAAGCACTTCCCCAGCTAGGGAACTCTTGGCTGACGTCTCTATGTAGATGTCAGGAAGAAAGCCTACACAGAGACAGGAAGGGATAGACTGGGCCAGAAATGGGCTGAGTCTTGAAGCTGGGGGATGTGTCTGGCCCAAGGGCAGGAAGCAGGGTGGCTTGGACAGGGAGGGACAGGTTGGGGTTAATAGCTGCTACCTGAAAGTCCGGTGATATCCATCTTCGGCAGTTGTCTGGCTTTGAGGACCACCACTGTCATTCTCTGTGCCACGGGCTGATAGGACAGAGACACCTGGAGCTCCCCTCTGCTAATGCACTTCTGTAAGGGAGAAAGGATGTATGAGATATAGGCAGTCTGGAGGCGGGCAAGCCTTGGAGGAGGAGTCCACAGGAGAGAGGGGAAGGAAGCACCATCATACCCTGATATGAAATAAAATGGTCAGCAGACAGAGGCAGCTTAGTCTACAGATCTGAGCAGGGACTATGCAGCCTTAATCAAATCCTGACTGCTCTTTCCTGTTACTGACTTTGAGCAAGTTATTCAGCATCTCAGTGCTATATTTCAGATTTCTCATCTATAAAAGGGAGATCAAAAATTATATCTACTTCATAAGACTTACAGGAAGATTAAATAGGTTCAAATTTATGAACCACCACCAATGCCCAGTATATAATATTCTTTCATTTTGACTCAGGGCCTTCATACTGAGCTATGTCCCCAGCCCTTTTTATTTTTATCTTTGTAAGTTTTGAGATATCTCCCTAAGTCGCTAAATTGCTCAGGCTGTGCTTGAACTTGCAACCATCCTACCTCAGCACCAAGTGCTAGGGTTACAAGTGTGCACTGTGGTGCCTGGCTTCTCATTTGGTTCTTATGATTAGAAAACAAACAAACAAACAAAAAAGATTTGAACATCAGCCATGGTCTACATAGCAAGATTCAGTCTCAAAAGAATTCAGGGACAAAAACAAAACTAGTCTGGGAGCACAGCTTAGTAGTAGAATGTGCTCAATATGTGTGAGGCTCTGGGTTCAATTCCTCAGCATGAGGGGTGAGGGGAAGAGGGAGAGAGAGAGGGAGGGCCAGACAGACAGACTATGAGACATGAAGACTGTACAGTGGGAAACAGAAAAGCAGTTTGAGTCTTAATTTTGTCATTCATTTCCTGCACAACCTTGGGCAAGTCTTCAAGCTTTCTGGAACCTGTCCCTCCACTTCACAAGGTGCATCACCAGCATGTTCTAACTGCCGCTGTGTGCACTTCAGTGATTTTTCCCAGTCATTTTCCTTCCTCGCTGCTTGTCTTTGTCTCTCCATTTTTAAATTTTATTCTAGATTCTATTTTGAGTTGGAAACAAAAACAATAACAGAAATCCTTTAGCCATTTTGTTGTTTTTTGTAGTACTGGGAATTGCACACAGAGCCTTCATGCTGGGCTACATCTTCAGCTCTTTTCTTTTTTTTAGGCAGGCACTTATGTCACTGAGCTATAGTCTCTCATTTCTTGTTTTGAAACAGTGTTTCACTAAGTTACTAAATTGTCCAGGCTGGGTGATCCTCCTGCCTCAGCCTACTTCTGGGATTACAGACATGCATCACCAGGCTTTTAGCCTTTGAAGAATATTTTCTATAGCATATTGATGCCCACTGCATGTGAGTTCCTAACAGAACTCAGTTCTCACTCTCCAGGAACTTATGATGTAGTAGAAAAGACAAAGGTATAAACAACATTTACTTGTCAGAGAATTTAGCAGCTTGCCTAGGAACTCTGGGTGCCCTTTGGCAACGAGGCTGGCTTTGCCAGGAAATGAAGGGAAGCCTGTGCCGGCTGTTGTGTGGGCTGAGGTAATGGAGGGAAACAGACCATGAGGTCCTGAGCAGAGAGATCACATCAAGTGGAGTGATGGGAACAGCTGGCATAAAGAATCCACTGCAGTTAGAGAATGGTGGGAGGTGAGTGTGCCTGACATCAGGGGCTTGCCAGGGACCCAGGGCAATGGGTGAGACCACAGTGTTGGAGGTGTGGGACAACTCGAGCAAGATGGTGGAGGCTGCAGCACACAGGCAAGGCTGGTCTGTAAGTGTCAGAGTGGTAAAGTCATTATCATTTTAGAAAAAACTGGGAATGACCTAAAGTTAAGACTAAAGGTGAAGAGGCAGCTGCAAGCCAGGCTGGTGGCCCACACCTGTAATCTCACCACTCTGGGACCCCGAGGCAGGATAATCACAAATTCAAGCCAAACCTGAGGATATAACTTAATGTGAAAGCTCTAAATTCAATCCCTACAAGCATACACAAACACACAAAGACACACACACATACACACACAGGCAGCTGTAGGAGGCTCAGGAAGCAATGCTGGGGATGTACCCAGAGCTCTTGCAGAGGGGTGGGCACAAGGGCACAGGGTGGGGTGCATAGCATGAGGAAGTGGCAGGAGTTTTTACAGCTGCATAGCCATTTGGATGGGAACTGGAAGGGAGATGGAAGAAAGGGAGGACAATTTCTTGTGTTTCTAACTTACAAGATGGAGATAAAGTTGGGACCAGGAAATAAAAAGAAGTAAGGTTTGAGGAATTTAGGGCATACTAAGTTACATTTGGGACAGTATAATCTTTTTGTTATCAAATTTCATTGTTTGTGTTTTCAAACTCCCAAAGAGAAGTCACCAATTCAAGAATTCTCACACTGCTCGAAGGATAGACTGCCTTCCCCAGCCTTCTACATGTCACATGCCAAGAATGACTGATGTATTTCAGTGCCAGGTCCTCTGCTGGAGTTTAGAACTCTCAGGAAGCTCCCCAAGGAGCATGTGCATGACCTGCTCAAGCATGGCTGGAGCGGGAAAGAACCACCCTCTTAAGTAGACTGGGTGGCTCTGCACTGAGATGTAGAATAACCCTATTGTAATAACTTGTGCTTTGATTATGAGCTGTAAGTCATGTTAAGAAATGAATCAAAGTATTTGAAATGGGTTTTTTTTTTTTTTTTTTTTGTCTTTTTCCTTTTTATCGGTACCGGGGATCGAACTCACGACTGCCTGCTTGAACAGCAGGCACTTATGCCGCTGAGCTAAATCCCCAGCCCCTCAAATGGTTTTAAAAAGTTCATGAGTCTATATTTCATATTAGGAGCGTATAGGAAGGCTTTCAGTAGGCACAGAACATGAGTTAAACTTAAACTTGGTTTTTAGTTTTTCTTGTGGTGCTTGGGCTCAAACCCAGGGCTTTACCCATGATAAGCAGGCATTCTATTGCCTATCAGGAGGACTGTAAATCTGAGTTTCACCCAGGCATCTTAGTGAAACTTTCTTTCAAAATAAAAAATACAGAAGGCTAAGGGTTTAGCTCAGTGTGAAGGTCTTGGGTTCAAGCCTCAGTGTGTTTTTTTTCTCTGCTAGATTGTAGCCTTGCATTTTGTTCTTACCCTTATCTATTGTCAGTTCCCAACTATATCCGTGGGAATCACCCTCCGCCAGTTTAACATGGCAAGCTGGTTGCCCTTGCCAACCAATATACTTCTGGGCTGTTTCCTTTTGCCATTACTCAGAATGTGACTAGGGAACATAACTCACTCTTACTACAACCAGATGGACAATAATCTCTTGTGAAAAAGTAATCCCTTGTGAAAAAGAAAATCAAATGCCTTCCCAAGCATTCAAAACTGAGTTGTCCAATACAGCAGCTACTGGCAACATATTAATTTAAATTTAAATGTTAATTTAAATTTATTAAAATTACATGAAATTAAAATTCTAGTTCCTTAGTCATACTAGCCACATTTCAATTGCTCAATAGTCACATGTGGCTAATATCTATCATACTGTCGGATAAAAAACAGAACATTTCTATCATTCTTGGATTGCACTAATCTAGAAGAACTTTTGGCTTATCTTGGCCTTCTTCATTGGCATGCACGGTGAAATGTTAATTAGATTTGATGTCACTTTCTGGAGCCCTCTTTGAATACAGTACATATGAAGCCTTTGAATAGAATATGAAGCCTTTAGGGGCTGGGGATTTAGCTCAGCGGCATAAGGACCTGCCTTGCAAGTAGGTGGTCATGAGTTCAATCCCCGGTACTGATAAAAAAGAAAAAGACAAAAAAAAAAAAAAGAATATGAAGCCTTTGAATAGAATTGTAACTTTATATTTTGAAGGATACATTGTTAGTACAAAAGAAATTTGGTATACAAACAGAGGTTTATGTGTAGGGGTACTGGGGTTTGAACCCAGGACCTCACAATTCAGTTTTATTTCTAAATATGACATTGATTGTGAGTTTCTAATTAGGGTTACGTGTCCTAATGCCTGTAATCTCACCTACTCGGGAGGTTGAGATAGGAAGAACATCAGTTTGAGGTTAGCCAGGGCACTTTAGGGAGATTCTGGTTTAAAATGAAATTTTAAAAAGTGGTAAGAGTGCTAGTCTAGTATGGGCAAGGTCTGCGGTACAATCCATAGTATTGCCTCTCAAACAGTTATAACTCATGTTTCCTGACTAGTTAAATCAGTTTTCTAAGTTATCCATTAAAGTTAATCTTCTTAATCAAAATCTCTGTTCTCTTTCTCTAGTTACATGAGAAAGTAGACAACTGCTATTTACCTTCTTAATTATTTCCTCCCCCAGTCATTCCATAAACAACTGTTGCCCTTCTGAGTGCCTTCTTCACCTTTTGCCAACTCAGGTGGGCAGAATGCCCATCCTTTCTCAGCTGGAGCCACAGCATCACCTCTTGAGCAGGTGAGAACCACTAGGCAGTGAGAGCAGAGTTTCCTGGTGGCCTCTCACTCTCCAGCCTCTTCTCTTCCCACTCAATTCCCATTACAAGTGGCATTGTCTACGGTTCTGTCTTTTGAAAAGGTCTTTTGAGGACTGCAAGTGCAGCTCTGTTTCCCAGCCTTGGGCATAGTGAGGCAAAGACCCTGTTGGGGGCAGGCATGCAGAAAGACAAGGGGGAGAAAGGGCATCTCACAGAGCAGGGGCCCGAGGATAGGCAGCTACTTCAAAAGAATGCATTCGGAGAAGCAAGGACAGGCCAGGATGTCTGTTCCCTAGGGTGAGTGTCAATGATTCCGTAGTCATGGGCGTCTATACTAGAAGGAACCTGTACACTCAATAGCCCTTTTGTGGGGCCAGATGTCTGAGGGCCATGCCTGCCCTAAATTACAACTTTGAGAAAGTGAAAGAAAGAAAACCTTAGTCTTCAACCTCATTCCCTTTCCCCTCCCCATAAAATACAGACATAACAACTGTCTTTATGTTCCTGGAAAATGGGCATTACTTTTTCTTTCCCTCTTTCAGTCCCACTGGCTACGCTGGATGACCTCTAAGGTCCTTTTAAATCCAAGATTTTAAGAATCCTCTTATTCCCATGACCAACATCCCAGGTCATCCACATGACCTAAAAAATTAGGAGCAGCCTAACAACACTATTACCCACTTTGTCAATCATTTACCTCTCACCATCCCCTCTGTACATCTTTCTTCTTTTTGTGGGGATTTATTACAGGAGTGTAAATTCACTTAATTATCATCTGAATAAAATATTGGAAAACAAAGCTATCTCCTCAAAGAAATTAGTTCCACCAGATGTGATAGCCCATGCCCGTAATCCTAGCATTCAGGAGGCCAAGCCAGGAGAAACAAGAGTTTGAGGCCCTCCTGTATTACATAGTAGACCCTACCTAAAAAATTTTTTTTTCTAACATGCAGCTTAGAGATGTTGAGCATTATAGTTGATACTGTTATACTGTAACCTTCTTTCATGAACAATAATTATTTTTGTTTTTTAGAAGGAAAAGGTGAGAGGAATATTTATTATGTTGTGTAGGCTAGGCTTGAACCCCTGGATTCAAACAATTCTCCTGTCTCAGTCTCCCCAAGTACTAATGGTGGAAAGAGAGATGACTTTTCTGGTATTAGAAGTGAAGTTAGAGGTGGGGACTATATAGAAATGCAACTACCAGTCTCCCCCTGGACTCCGCAGGAACATCACTGGACCCATGCGAAGGGGATGCCTTACATGATGAACCAGCATGTGAGATAGTCCACAGAAGCTCCAGCTGGTGGCCTCTAAAGGAAGACACAGGACAGATTCTTGGCTATAGTATGGAGAATTTGGCATAGACATTTGGAGGCTCACATGCAAGGGGCTGAGTGTGAGTTACTTGGAAAGCCAGGCATGGCTCACATGGGACAGTCCTGCCTGCCAGCATGGGAAGGGAAATGGACTTAAGAAGCCTGGGAGGCTGGAAGGCTCTGGAGTGTGTCTGGGGCCTCTGAGGGTTTAGACTACTTAGCATCCTAACCAGACTTACTGCTTCTGAAAGGAGTTAACAAAGTGGAAAGAAACTTGGTTCTCACCAAGAGTCCTTGGCAGTTTAGCAAATGCCATTGTCTGCGCTTTGTATTTGAGGTTGTTTTATTTTCAGCCCAAATGAGTCCCTTTCCTTGGCAGTATCTACCCAGCAACCTGGCACAGAGCCACCCTCCGCACCTAGGCATGGACTGCAAGAGGATGCACTGTCTGCAGGGGTACAGCTGGTCAGTGGCTTTATCAGGCCGGAGCTGTTAGAAAGCATTTTATGACACAGCCAGAGGCAGTGTGTGGAGCACTGGAGTCACTGTACAGGAATGAGAGAATGGGGTATCAGGGCCTGAGGAAAAGAGCTGGGTAGAAGGCACACAGAGAAAGGGTGAAACAAGACACTTTGTCAGTCTCTACCCACCCTCTGCCTCCAACCTCAGAGCATGCAAGCTCCCTGGAGTGCCAGGCTAGTACATCTCCTTGTATCCTGGCACTGACCCAGCACCTTGTCTTTGCCCTCAGAGCCTCATATTCTCCACGATTTCTGGACTACTCTGACTACTCTGGCTCCTGTGAGAGGAATTGCAGCATGCCAAGTGGCACTAGCAGTTTTGGGCCATGATTGGGCTGGATGCAGTGGGATAGTGCCTACTACACAGCAAAGAGGCAAGAACATATGCTCAGGGGGCTGGGGATTTAGCTCAGCAGCATAAGTGCCTGCCTTGCAAACAGGCAGTCGTGAGCTCGATCCCTGGTACCGATAAAAACGAAAAAGACAAAAAAAAAAAAAAAAAAAAAAAAGAACATATGCTCAGAGGGTGCGCTCCCCTGCCACATCACCCCTCAGACTGCTACAGTGCCATTCCTTGGTGGACAAACTTTCTGGGGCACTCACTGAACATCTACTTCTGCTAGTGTAGGATCTTCTTTAGTTCAGTTCTGAGTTCCCTGTCTCCTTTTGCATCCAAAAAGGCATCAAAAGAAATGTGGCAGCACAGGCCTGTAATCTCAGCACTCGGGGAGGCTGAGCTAGGAGGATGAAAATTTAAAAGAAGGCTGGAGATATATGAGTGCCCTGAATTAAATTCAAAGACCACCAAAATAGGGGTTGGGTTGTGTGTGTTGGGGGGGGCAGGGCTCTTTCTAGGAGATATATAGTTGCTATCCTTCCTGAATCTATTTCTCCACTGATTCAGGCTTCCTTTGTCTTCTTGTACCATGTCAAAACACAATATAAATGTAAGACCACATATACCTTCTAAAGACCAAATATTATTAGCAATAGATACAGCTGGATGTAGGGGTGCATACCTATAATCCCAGCACTTGGGAGGTCGAGGCACTGAAAGTTCAAGGCCAATGTGGACTACATAGTGAGCTCAAGGCCATTTTAAACTACATGGTAAGACCTTGTCCCCCCAAAATAAAAGAGGGGCTGGGGGTTTAGCTCAGTGGCACAAGCACCTGCCTATCAAGCACGAGGTCATGAGTTCAATCCCCAGTACCTAAATAAGTAAAAGATGTAATAATAGTTAAAAAAAAATGGTAATGGTCACAATTTATTAATGGCTTACTATGTGCTAAAGGCTATGCAAATTCACCTATTTATTGCCTAATCCCTATGAGAAACCAAGAGGTAGAGAAGTCGAATGGCTTTCCCAAGGTCATTTAGCTGGTAGAATTTGGATTGACTTCAAAGGTCTTGAAATTAATCACCTAAATTATACCCTAAAAAAGAAATAAAATTCTAAGTTCAAAATTTCAAGATTTTTTTTTTGACTAAGAATCAAACTCGCGGGGCTGGGGATTTAGCTCAGCGGCATAAGCACCTGCCTTGCAAGCAGGCAGTCGTGAGTTAGATCCCTGGTACCAATAAAAACGAAAAAGACAAAAAAAAAAAAAAAAAAAAAAAAGAATCAAACTCGGGACCTTTTACTTGCCAGGCAGGCACCACACCATTGTACTATATACCTGGCCCCTCAAGAACTTCTATAGCACCTATAGCACCCTTATATATGATAATTATCTAAAACGTTTGTCTTTCTGCAGTAAAGTGAAAGCTCTTCAGGGACAGTAATATGCCAGGTATATTATCTTATTTGACTTTGTAAGTAAGAAAGGCAGTGTTACAAAGCTAAGGAAACAGAGGGGCTGAAAAACTGTCACACAGATAGGAAGAAACAAATGAACTAGTGTGGGAAATATGTTTATTGTCCTCCTAAAATGAATTCAAGAGCTGATGTTGGCCCAGTAGGGATGGTGGAGCATTCTCACCCCTCTTCTAATGCAAATGGCAGAGGAAGAGTGGAGAAAGGTGAAGTATCTGTAGCACAGGTTTGGATCTTGAAGGGTGAAGCCAGTCATTTAACTGTGCTTTTATAAAATGTTTATAAGAAGACATGGACATGATGGGGGTCAGGGATTTAGCTCAGTGGCACAAGTGCTTGCCTGACAAGTATGAGGTTGTGAGTTTGATTCCTGGTACAAAAAAAAAAAAAAAAAAAAAAAAAAAAAGAAGAAGAAGAAGAAGAAGAAGAAAGAACGTACACATCATATTCTTTACACCCCTGGATTTGGAGTGGGAAAAGGAGGCTGAGGACAAAATTAACGAGCTATTTCTTTTAGTTTTTCCACAGTAATAAGTAAGTTCACTGGAGGAAGATCATATGTCATTTTGGAGAATAATTTAGGACCTACATCCTTCATATGATGAAAGGTCTCCCACTAGTGGGGCAGGCCATCCCAAGCAAACTAGACATAGCAGCAGGAGGCTAACCACTAAGTGACACTTTTTTTTTTTTTTTGGTGGTACTGGGGATTAAACTCATGACCTCACACTTGCCAGGCAGGTGCTTATACTGCTAAGCTAAATCCCCAGCCCCTAAGTGATACTTTTAAGTGATGTTTTCAAGGTCATCTCCCATTCTGTCTTCTGGAGGTTCTTATAAGAACCCCATCTTTCCCCTTGCTTGACTGCCTTGAAATTTTGTCTTCCCCAACCCACTACCCCACCCCAACACACTCTTCCTTCTCACCTGGATGTTTCTCTTGATGATGTCCCTGGTCAGCTGGACCTTGCCTGTGCTGGGGTCCACCCCGGCCAATGGCACCATGACCTCTCCGATGACGTCATCCCGAGAGAAGCGATCGAAGCTGAGGACAAGGAAGTGTAGCACCAGGTCCTGCAGCTGGCTGTACGGGATGCCATAGAAGGTGAAAGTCTCATCAAACACAGGATCCAGGGTCTTCCGCAGCACCCTGGTCTTCACTCGATGCCGCTTGTCAGGCAGAATGGTCATTTTGATGTAGGGGTCAGAGCCCTGGGTCTGGTCATCCATCACTGGCAGCCCATGGGCCTCCTGGATTGTCACCACCAAGGCTTTTTTCGGGAAATTATAGTCCACTGAGAAGGTGAGGGATCCCAGCATGACATCTTCCTCTGGAGATGATGGAGAGGTGGTTTTGCTCTCCCCTGGGGTCAGGCTTGTAATGGGGCTCCTAAGTTCTTCCCCATAGTCCATTTTGATGGGTAACTGGTCTATACAAGATCCAGAGCTGGGCCCCCTAGGGCCCTTGTCTCCGCTTAGCAGGCCAGCCTCTGCTGCATCCACCAACAGGTTCCCACGTCCACCTTCCCTCCCAGAGCCATCTTTGTCTCTCCGAACTTTGATGATTTTCTTCTTGTTGCTGAGGGTCTCTGGATATATACTGATGCCTTTAAGCATGTGAATAAACTTGTATGGTGGGGTCTTGTGCTTCTTTTCTGCCTGTTGGTGGCAGCATGTCCAGACAAAGACAGTCACTGAAACACATACCACCAGCACAGAGGCACCGATGAGGCCAGCCACCACTGGGGACACATCTGAAGACAGAGACCAGAGATGTATCAAGACAGTGGATTCAACCCCTGTCCAGAGCGATGTCCTGTTCAGTACCTGTGCTGGAGCTGGGTGGATCTGCAACCTGACTTCCAGAGCAGAACGCATTTCTCTGGGCTTTAGAGCTTCCTCCCTCTTAGGGATTCATGCTCTTATCACTCTCTCTGTCCAATCCACTATTTTTCCTTTCCTGCTAGACCTGGATGAAGCATTCAGCTTCTCTACCAATCCTTCTCTGATTGTCCCTGATTCTCTATTTTTTCTTGACCTTCTCTAAGCACTTCTAGACTTGGTACATTAGTTGATTTGCATGTCCCATAAAGCTGTTCTGTAATGTTCTAAGGTCACCTTTTTCCATAAGAACCTGCTTACTTTGTGGGTATCAGGTATGTCTGGTTTCTAGAGGATTTTCCACAACTTTCTGCACTAAGTGTGCAAATAGTGGTCCTGTGTAGGCTGCCTTATCAGATGGGTAAAATGACGTGGGATTATATTTAGATTGTCTTGGTTGGATGAACAAGGGTGGTAATAGTGGATGGGTGATTAAAAAAAAACTCTGGGTCTGAACACTTTTAAATATGCTCCAAAATTTTAGTTACTAAATATTTAAAACATAGTTATTTTAAATAGGAAGAAATAGGACTGTGAAAAATGCCAGAACTTTGACCAGTGTCACTTTCTTCTAGTCAGTCTATCCATCTGTCTGTCTGTCTACCTACTTACCTACCTACCTATTCTGGTGCTAAGGATCAAACGCAACACATTGGACATTCTAGGTGAGCACTCTTTTTTTTTTTGTCTTTTTAGTTTTTATCGCTACCAGGGATTAAACTCACGACTGCCTGCTTTCAATTGCAGGTGCTTATGCCGCTGAGCTAAATCCCCGGCCCCTAGGTGAGCACTCTTATCACTGAGCTACATCCATTATTTGAAAATGCAATCTTCTTCACTCACTTTTCTGAGCTGTTTAATTTTTCTTCTTGTTGCTTGGTCATTATCTTTCATGCACATATATACACACATATAAAAATATAATGCACACTTCTGTAAGAATAAATATACACACTAGCCATAATTTTACTACTTAGGGTTTGTCTTCCCTAGAGTGTAAGCCTTATGAGGAGAGAACTTTTTGTCTGTTTTGCTCATTGCTGTATTTGGAATCCTTAAAACACATAGCAGAAGGGCTGGGGATTTAGCTCAGCGGCATAAGCGCCTGCCTTGCAAGTAGGCAGTTGTGAGTTCAATCATACCCGGTACCGATAAAAAGGAAACACACACACACACACACACACACACACACACACACACACAAAAAAAAACAAAACAAAAAAACAAAAAAAAAAAAACCACATAGCAGAGGGGCTGGGGATTTAGCTCAGCGGCATAAGCACCTGCCTTACAAGCAGGTGGTCATGAGTTTGATCCCTAGAACCGATAAAAAGTGAAAAAAAAAAAAAAAAAAAAAACACATAGCAGCCACTTAATATACATTTGGTGAATGAACAAATAAAGTAGAGAAACAGATCTTTTCCTCTTTTCCTCTTCCTTTATGGGAAAAGATAAGACTTTGCCTTATATATTTAGGCTTGTTTCCTTTATACCCAAACGAGTTCTTTGAAGCCAAATTGGGTTTGGGCCTTAAAGGTCAAGAAAGGCCTATAGTTTTCACCTTATTTTTCAGGACAAGAATGGGAAAGTACGGCTCAGGATTTAGCTCAGTGGCATAAGCACCTGCCTGCCAAGCATGAGGTTGTGAGTTCAATCCCCGTTACAAAAAAAAAAAAAAAAAAAAGGGGGGGGGGGAAGTAGCGAGAAGTAGGAAAATGAATGCACTTCTAGAATATTCTAGGTTTTCCCTAGAACATTCTACTACCAGGCACTTGCATTTATTGCAGGTATCACTTGCATTTATTGCAGAGAACAGTAGGCCTTTTCCCAAAGCTCCCATTACCAGAGAAGTTTTTACTGTCTGCTGCACACCTGTGAGATAATAACTCCATCATTCTGTTTTAATTTTCATCATAGTGCTTATTTCTCTGACATATATCTGTTTATCGGTCTTTCGTAAAATTAGTAGGGTCCCAGAACCATGTGATGCATAGTAAGTGCTCAGTGAACACAGTTAGTAAATTCAAAAACAGCTTCTTCAGTCTGGGCATGGTGGCACACACTTGTAATTCCAGCACTCTGGGAGGCTGAGGCAGGAGAATCCTTACAAATTCCAAGCCAGCCTGAGCTACAAAAGATTCAAAGCCAGCCTGAACTATAGAGCAAGACACTATCTCAAAAAAAAAAACCTCCAAAAAACTGCCTTCATAGATTAGAACAAAGGATGTTTGCTATGACTACAAACATCAAGTATAAGAGTAAATTTCTATTTGAACATAAAAACTTACCTATAGGCAATAACTTTAATTGGTAAACTTGAGCAAACATATCTTAGTGGCTTAGGTGACTATGAAGTTGGACTAAATTTAAATTAGTACTAGTTTATACTATTAAGCATGATATTCACATTCCATAAGGGGTAAACAGTTTCATCTGTACTGGCACAACATATATAGAGCATTCTATGCAACACTGACAATAATAAAACTTCGGGTTTTTTTTCATTTCTTTGTTTTTTGGTACCAGGGATCGAACTCATGACCTTGTGCTTTCCAGGCAGGTGCTTAAGCCACTGAGCTAAATCCCCAGCCCAAACTGCTGGTTTTTGTGTGCATGCATTATTATGTTTCTGCAACGCACTGTGCAGAGCTTTTTATGTCTCAATCAAAGATCCTGTTGGATAGGACCATTGATATCCCTACCTACATAGTAGCAAAATGGCACTAATGGGATGTAAATTCTGGTCTGCTAGATAAGAGTCCACATTCTATATTATGGATAATCACAAAAGTAAAAAAATCTGACAACCACATCAAATGAAAAATTGAAGAAACTGAAGCTGAGGAGTATCTAGGAATAATCATCATCTTCAATATAATCATTTTAGGTATCTCTATGGAAGAGTGTTTAGTTTGATGTTACTCTGGAGCACAGCACATACAATCATGTGCACAGGTTACAGGAAGACAGGTTTTGACTCAGCGAGTTATTATTTGAGTCCGTTATTAGAATTGCCGCACAGTGGCCCAGACTGCTTCATGAGGCGGTAATTCTCCAGCACAAAATTTCCAGTATATATGCTGCGGAAGCAAACACAGTGCAAAACTTTCAAATGGAGAGGCTGGATCATGATTGATCAAGCATGTTCTAAAGGGTTTTTTCAATGAGGACTAGAGTAGCTGTCTTTGAAATGCTATCTTCATGATTCTGTGAAAGCTGGGAACTAATAAAAACAAGGGGTTATATTTTTTAAATAATATAGGTAAGGTGTAAAGTCATTAGTAACAAATCAAAGTGACTATGTTCATACTAAACAGTAATAAGAGTTCAGTCTCAAAGTAGTGAATGAAATAAGTGCTTTAGGGAGAGTTTTTTTTTTTAAAAAAAAGGGAGGCAAACTTGGTGATAAGTTCCCCAAGGGCAGGCACAAAAACCATTCTGTGCATCTTTGAGTCCCTTAATCTCTTACATCTAACAGGAGTTCAGACATTTGTTTGAATAACTGACTGGATTCAATCATCAATTAGCATGGCCACTGTCCGAAGAAGTAGCTATTTCCTAATTAGGTTTGTTTCTGTAAGTTTTTTTCTATTGCTTAGTGAAACTGAACATTGATTATATCTATGAGAACAGGAAAGCAGGGTACTACCAAGAAAATTATCATTTTGAGAATGATTTGAAGGGAAGCCAGGTGTGATGGCACATGCCTATAATCCCAGGTGTGGTGACACATGTGCTTAGGAGGCTGAGACAGGAGGATTGTTGTGAGTTTGAGACCATCCTGGGCTAAAAAGTGAGCTCAAGGCCAGCCTGAACTGCATAATGAGACCCTGTCTCAAAAATTTAAAAAAGGAAAATGATTTGAGGGGGAAATCTAAAAGCTGTATCACTGATTTACTCTGTGACTGTGAGGGAACCCACTGTGGCTTGGATTAATTTTTTTTTTCTTTGAGAAAATGGAGGCAGGGTGAAAAAGAAAGGGAAAGATTCTCATCATTCAAAAGGAAGAAGACTGGTCATGGTGGTGCACTCCTGTAATCCCAGCACTTGAGAGGCTCAGATAGGAGGATTGTTGCAAATTTGAGACCAACCTGGGCTACAAAGTGAGCCCAAGGCCAGCCTGAACTGCGTAGTAAGACCCTGTCTCAAACAAACAAACAATAAAGAAAGAAAAGAAGGGAAACAGGTAAATGGATTTGTGGATTGTTCAGGTGTTCTCCCTCACCTTTGTCCCCATTTTTGCCCTACTTTTTTTATTTTTGAGAGTCATGCTATGTAGTTCAGGCTGGTCTTTGCTTATGTAGTCCAGATTGGCCATGAACTGACAGTGATCCTTCTGTCTCAGCCTCCAAATCATGGGATTACAGGTGTACCCTACCATGCCTAGCTCTGCCCTACTTTAATATTAAATATTTAACTTTTGCCTCTGTCTTCAACATCCAAGGCAGTGAACCAGAAGAATCAGATACTAAAACTCAAAGCCCTCTGCCTTGCTTTCATCAAAAATTTGATGGAAAAAGGAAGCTGTACTTAAATGGTTGAAGTGAGTGTCCCAAAGCAGGTGTAAGTTGAAATGGCCTGAGCCGCTCTTTTGTACTTCATGGTCAGAAAATGATGTGTTGAAAAAAAAAAGAAAGAAAGAAAGAAAGAAAATGATGTGTTGACTCGGTGTATCCACCAAGTGCTAGAACATTTGAAATGAAGCAATATGAGATACAGAATAGTCAGAAGCAGCAGTTCTCTATGGAGAACATTCTCTGAAGTGGTCCAGAGACCCACAAGACATATCTTGGCTATGCCCAGCTCTTTCAGCCTCTGATCAGACCAGATCACTGACCCCTTCCTTTCTTCAACATACCCTTCTACAGTCAAATAGGCCAGTGAAATACAGTGCACCGAGATTAATTTGACCTCAATCAGACATTGATTCAAATCCTAGTGGTACCTTTACTAGTTCATTTGGCTTTGGTCAATTTATTGTATCTCCATTGGCTTCAGTTTCCTCATTCGATGAAGTAATCATATCTACACCAGGAGGTATTTGCTAGGATTAAATAAAATGTAAATAAAAGGATAATTTTTTTTTACTAATAGTCCCTCTAAAAGAAATCACTATATTATGATGTGTTTTTTTTTTTTTTTTGGAGGGGGGTCTTTTTTGAGACAGGGTCTTGCTATAAAGTCCAGGCTGGTCTCGAATGAAAAAAATCCTTCTGCCTCAGCTTCCTAAATGCTGAGGTTACAGACGTGAGCCACAACACCCAGCCACATTATGTTTTATGTCAATTACTTTCTCAAGGACTCTGGAACAGAGAGAACAGAAACGGCTGGAAAGAGCATAAAGAAGAAAGATCACTAAGAGCATCATGGGTTGCTCAGGTAATCACAAAAGGGACTTCATTTTTGGAAATTTAGAACTCAAAAAAATAGAGATGCAGTAGGTGAATGAGAGAAAGACAATCAAGAATTAGCCTTGGGGAATAAGTGGGAACATAGTTCATGTGAAGATCTGTTGTCTGATTTTTTTCCCTGATATCTCCAATGTACCTCTTACAGGGAGTAAAAAAAAGCCATTTTCTAGCTGGCTTGTGGCCTCACCCTAAATACTGGATTCCAAAACTCAAACTTTCTGGATTGTTTGAGGGACAGAATTCCTTAAGAAATATGAAGGTTCTTAGGCTGGCAGCAACTCTTATTCACTTCCCCCAACTTGAACTGTAGTAGCCAAGAGAAATAGGCAGGCCAACTTAATTTCACCATGGAGCACAATTTAAGAAGTTGGTTCTCTATTTTGGAGGACTTCCCAAAGAGGGGAAAAAAAAAAAACCCTTGTATCTCGAGCTTGTTTTTCTTACCTTTTCCCCTATTTTCTACTCCACTTTCTGCCCCAAGGAGGTTTAAAACTGACCCTAGAGCCTCTAGGGCGGGTTGGGGACCAGCTGCTCAAGAATGACGTAATGCTTTCTCCCATACACAAAGCGGCCTCCCCTGGGCTGGCCTCCACTGCTCCGCCCCCTAACCCCTCCCCCCCTCGCTCCAGCACCAGCGCGGGTGAGCGCCCCTTTTTCAAAAGACAGCCCAGGGAAACAGGCAACAAAAGCCCCGGAAGGAGAGTCCAGACGCTGCCAGGAGGCCCAAAAATAGACATCACGTCATCCTCTAGCCTTGCAGCGCCAAGCGCCATTTGGTAGCATCCGACGGATCCCACCATTACGATGCAGAACGGAGCCCGCAGGCCTCACGTTTCCTCTTAGCTCCAGCAACCAGCTGACCAGCTTAAGGAGTGGTTTCCCTTTTGCTTTCCACCCCCGCACCGCTATTTCCCCAAAGGCCCGCCACCTCCCCTGGCTGCTAGCCATGCAGCCTACAGTCTCGAAGCTGCCATCTTGGTGCCCCATCCCCCGTGCATCTCCCGCCCCCGCAGCCTTTCATAAGGGAGGGGGAGGAAAGGGCACCGCCCTGCGTGTCCCGAGGGGGAGGGCTCGACCTACCCCCTCTCCTCCCCCAGAAGGAGGGGTTGCCGTCCTCTCCCTGCTCGCTGTTCCTCACCTCCAACAGCGCTGACACTGCACCCCACAAGATTCAGCATCCTGGACTTTCTGGCCTTGCTATCCCCTGTAGCCCAAAGCGCAAGTGCAGACGCTGCCCACTGCTTGCTGCCAGCCACATAGATCCGATTTTGGCGGGGCTGGCACCCTGAAGGGCTCCCCTCTCCCGGTATTCACCCCTGCTCACTGCGGTGCCCTTTGCTCTGCAATGGTTTGACCACAGCGAGTTCCGTTTGCCTCACTCTACTTACCAAAGCTAGGTCGGATGTTGGTGATCTCAGCCATGTCGTAATCAGAGGTTGTTGCTATTTAATGCAAAGGTCAGGTAACTCTGGGAAACCCCCACCCCAGTACAGAGGCTGCAGCTGTAGATCTCTAGGTCTGGGTGGGGGAAGGTATTTGGCAGACTTCTCCTGCGACGGTCCAGTCCCTAGTAGGCAGCTGCGGCCTCCTCTTGAGATGCTCCAGGGACGCTCTGAGCTCAGGATGCAGGTGCAGTCAGACTGGTCCTGATGCGGGACAGGCTCCGCCTTTTTCCGAACGGTCTTCGGCAAAAGACTCCGCCTCTGCCGAAAGGTTCCGGAAAGCAGATCCTGCCCCTTGCCGGAAACTCTTAGAGGTGACACCTCCCACCCCAGCGTGGTCGCGGGAACGAGGCCCCGCCCACTAATTGGTTGTGATTTCTTGGGGCTGAGTACCCGCGACAGTACACGACTGTAGGTAAGATTATCGTGTTAGGGCTGGGGGTTTATCTCAGCAGCGTAAGTGCTTGCTTGGTAAATGCAAAGTCGTGAGTTTGATCCCAGCACCACAAAAAAAAAAAAAAAAAAAAAGAAAAAAGAGAAATTGCTTCACAGTTGCAGATAATTGTGTTTCTTCTTCTTCTTCTTCTTCTTCTTCTTCTTCTTCTTTTTTTTTTTTTTTTGTCTTTTTCTTTTTTATCGGTACCGGGGATCGAACTCACGATTGCCTGCTTGCAAGGCAGGAGCTTATGCCGCTGAGCTAAATGCCCAGCCCCCACGATACTTTTATAGATCTGTAATCCTGTGATTTCGGTTCCTCTGACTTTTAAAGGAGCAGAATGTTCTGAGTTTCAAGATTTTGGGAAAACAAAATTTCTGCATTGCCAATAGTATACATTTCTGAGACCATTAACCGTAATTACAGCAATTTAGAAGCTTAGAAGAAAAACCAATGCCGAAGATGGCTGCATGAATCTGAAAATTAACTAAAAATCATTTAATTGTACGCATAAAACATGTGAATCAAGCCGGGCATGATGGCTCATGCCTGTAATCCCAGCACTTGGGAGGCTGAGCTAGGAGGATCCTTGGGAGTTCGAGACCAGCCTGGGCTACAAAGTGAGCTCAAAGCCAACCTGAAATGTATAGTGAGACCCTGTCTCAAAAAGACAAAAAAGAAAAGAAAAAAAAAAAAAAGATGTGAATTGAAGCAGTTTAAAAATAAAAGAAGATTAGCCAGGCATGGTGGCACACACCTATAATCCCGGCACTTGGGAGGCTAAAACTGGAAGATTGCTATGAGTTCTCGGTCAACCTGAGCTACATAGTAAGCACTAGCAAAGCCTGAACTATATATATAAAAGACCAATGAAAGAAGTCAAAGAGTCTGTGTTGGACATTCATCTTCATGATCTTACAGCTGCTTAGGAAAGGGTCTTCTGTATGTCAAAAGGAGAGCGCTGGGGCCTGGAGATTTACCTCAGCAGCCTAAGCGCCTGCTTTCAAGCAGGCAGTCGTGAGTTAGATCCCTGGTACCGATAAAAAAAGGAAAAAAGACAAAAAAAAAAAAAAAAAAAAAAAAACTCAGATGAAATGCCAAACTTCAGGCAGTCTTCCTTGGCATTAGGGAGAGTTGAGGTGATTTAGGATAGTCAGATTACTGGAATTGTAGCCACTATTTCAGCCTCATTTTGGTTGTGAGTACTTTTACCCTGTCCTGTTAGGTTTATAGCCAGATAAGCCAGATCAGTTGCAGTGTAGCAGAAATTTTATTGGTGGTTCATTTGTAATATGACAGAACCAAATGAGTTTTTCCAGCTGTGATGCCCTTCTAGAAAAGTGGAAAGAATGTGCCTCCCCCACTCAATCATTCCTTCAAAAAACTGTTGAGCTATTAAACTACTGACTACGCTCCAGGCACTTTTCTGAGTTTTGGGTCTATACTTCAGCACCTAAAGCTGCCTAAGATCCAATTACCAATTCTAATAACTGTGTAGCTTGTGAACACCTACCCAGCTGAGCCAAAACTGTGTACTGTTCAAAGTTAAAAATTAAGTACGTAATAATATCCACAGGGTTTATTGTGGAGGCCTGATCATTTAATATAAGTGAAAGTATTTTTTAAAATGATGACTATTACATAGACATGAAAAATTGCTATAGCTTGATTCTAAATCTGCCTTAGTTTCAGTCAGGAACCTACACTATTTGTAACCTAGAGATGCCTTTCTGAAACTTTATAAATTCTCTTTTTCTACTTATATTTCAACTGTCTTTCAGATGGACTAATTACTTGCGAAACTGACACTTTTTTTTTTTTTTTTAAATTCGTACCGGGGATCGAACTCATGAACGTGCGCTTGTAAGATAGGTGCTTATGCCGCTGAACTAAATTCCCAGCCCCTTACTTGTGAAACTAAAGCACTGAATTTCAGTTTCCACTGTTTAGTAGGACAGCAGCGCTTCACTGGTGCAGAAAGGGAACTACTGCCCCCCCTCCACTTTTTTTTTTTTTGCCAGGAAATGACGTTGTAGGTTCTGGGCTTCATTTAGCCCTAAATAAGATGGCGCCTAGCGTTTGGCGCATGCTCCTTTGCGCCACTAGCGGCCGCGCGCCGCGCTTCGGGGTTGCGCACGTCAGTCTCTGTCGTTGCTTGACTTCCGCTGTTACGGCAACCGAGTTTCCGCGGGATCAGACCGGTTTGTGAGTGCACTATGTAGCGTGTGGTGGGAGGGAAGAGGCAGCATGGACCCGGGACGTCTGGGCAGAGCTAGTTCAGGATGAGGGGGGTCGGTCTGAGGGTGGGTGCGGGCTGCGTCCTGGGAGTTACAGGTGCACAGTGTTTAATTGGTGCTGGGGACTTGGGCCACCGCTCGGCGTAGAAGTGGCACAGTTAGGACCCGTTTTTGAAATGTTCCTTAGGAAGAAGCCGCACCGGGGCTGTCTCCAGGTTGGCATTCATTCACCATGTTGGGCTGACTGAAGTTTCCAAAGGGGCGAACTTTTATTTTATTTTGGTTTGGGAATCGAACTGAGAACCTTGCGCTTGCCAGGCAGGCGCCGTGCAACTGAGCTATACCCCAACCTTAAGAGCAGACTCTAGAGCCACTGCTATGTTTGAGGTGCTTGCAGTCGAGTCCTGCATCCTGTTTTTGTTGTTGTTGTTGTTGTTTGTTTGTTTTTTGTTTTTTTGTACCGGGAATCGGAACTCATGACCTCGAGCTTACCAGGCAGGTGCTGTGCCGCTGAGCTGTATGCCCGGCTCTGCTGACTTGAATGGTAGCTTTCTTTTCTTTTCTTTCTTTCCTTCTTTCCTTCCTTTCTTTGTCTTTTCTGGACTTATGTGGGATAGCAACTCTCCTGGGTTATTCCTACTCCCATCTGACCCACTCACCACCCTCCCTTGCAAGAATCAGCCAGTCTTTCCTTAGTCTGTTACCCATTGCTTAAACATTGCCAGTGACGAATAACTCCCTTGAACACCAGACAGCTTATTTCTGTTCTTGGACCTGTTTATGAGAGTAATGTTTTCGTAGACAGATGGAACCAGTTCTCAAATAATGCTTAATGCTTGGTCCAAATTCTATACAATATAAGATTTCTTTCAATTGTTTATTCAGGGAAACCTATGCTGAGTGTCTACAGTACCTAGATAACGTCGGATACTAACGATACCGGTTAAAGGATTCCTTTATCTCAGCAAGTACATAGTTTTGAAGGAGGGAAGCAGACAGGTAGAGATACTTAGAACGTAAAAAATGCGTTGCAGATAGGTTCTTCTAAAAATATAAAAGAGATACCCTTCAGTTTAGGTCAATATTGCCGTTAAATGTTTAAATTATGCCGGGAATTTAACTCAGTAGCATAAGTACCTGCCTTGCAAGCTTGAGGTCGTGAGTTCGATCTCCAGGACAAAAAAAGTGTAAATTACAGTTGAAACCAAGAGCCCAAAAGCCCGGTATTGCCTTTAAAATGTTTAAATTACAATTAAAACCAAGAGCCCAATAGTAACAATCCAGAGAACAGTAAAAATCTCTTGTTTCAACACAAAATTTCTGTTAATATAGCCATCTTCTAAAATAATCACTTTGCTTTTGGGTTGTTTCTATTAATGGAAGTCTTTTTATGCAAACACCAAGAGCAAACACTTATTGATCACTTATTATCTAATGATGTAGGTGCTATTTTTGTTTCATTTTATAGATGCGGAAACAGATTCATGTTAAGTAACTTATGAACGTCCTAAGAATGGAGAGGTGACTTGGGAAACAAATCCAAACAGTTTGACTTTACACTTTGCATTCAGCATCACACTGTTTTCTTTCCCTGATTTAGTTACACTAGTAGCTAAAATTTATTAGTCACTTCTATTTAATATGTATAACACCTCTGAGATAAGATCAATTACTTTTTTTTCTTTTTTACTGTTGAAAGTGTAGAGAGATCAAGTCACTTGACATATACTAATCAATAGTAGAGCTGAGATTTGAACTCATTCTAATTGTTTCTTATTTTTGATCTAAAGGAATAGAATGCATTTGATAAGGAATATTCATGATTGGACATGAATAAAAATTAAAATTTAATTGAGTAAATAATTAATATGAAGGTAATAAGAACTTGTATCCTTTTAGGATGAAACAAAAGTGGAACTTTAAACATGTTGCCTTGTAAGAAGAGAAGAACTACAGTGACAGAGAACTCACAGGATAAGAGCAGCCAGGAGGAAGACAACTTAGACCAAGAGTCAGCTGTTAAACAAGAATCTGACCAGGTTACTGACTTTGGGTCAGTGCCCCTGTCTTGGGGTCCAAGTCATGGTAGAGCAGTTGGAGTTGAAGTTCATTCTGTGCAGAATGCAGGAAATCAGCCTGGTGTGGAGGTTCCATCATTGAGCTCTAGGATTCTCACCCAGGATGCGAATTTACCAAGTTTAGAAGCTGCTGATGAGGCCATTTCTCAGGGAATCACCCTGACTTCCTTGGAGTCTTCCCACTCTCCTAATGTACACATTGGTAAAGGAAAACTCCAGGCCACTGCTTCAAAGAGAGGGAAGAAAGTTGTTCTCAGGCCTGGACTGGTAACCCAAGAAGACAGAGGTGATCTTCCTGTCATGAAGAAGCTTTTTTCAGGAGACCCTAGTGAAGAAGTCAAGGAGGGAGGAGGTAAGATATGAAAGGTCTGTAGGCTCTGTTTTCCATTTTAATTTGAGCATCCCTAATCCAAAATCCAAAACCTGAAAGTGCTTCAAAATCAAAAATTTTGAGTGGTGGCATGATATTATAAGTAGAAAATTCTATACCTGACTTTATGTGGAGGATTGTAATCAAAATGCAAGTGTACTAAAAATGTTTTGTAAAATCCCTTTTTTTTTTTTCTTCTTTGTAAAATTACTTTTTGAAAGACAGGCAGGATGATCAGAAAGTTTGAACCCAACCTTGAAAACTTAGCAGCTTAGAACCTTTTTCAAAATAAAAGATAAGTGACTGTTAATAATACATGCCTGTAATCCCAGTACTCAGGAGGCTGAGGCAGGAGAATCACCATGAGTTTGAGGCCAGCTTGAGCTCTATAAGTGAAGGCCAGCCTGCATTATATGGTGAGACCTTGTCTCAAAAAACAAATAAAAAAACCAAAAAATTTAAGAGTCTGGTACTACAACACTCCTCTCCCAATGGAAAAAATCCAAAAAATAATTACCTTCAGGTGCAGGCATATGCCTTAATCCCAACTACTAGGCTCGGGCTATGATGAAGTGGGGTTGAGGGTGGGGCCGGAGGCTGGAGGATTGCAAATTCTAGTCTAGCCTGAGCAGTTTAGTGAGATGCTATGAGAGGCTGTCTCAAAAAAGGGCTGATGTATTGACACATATTCATAGTCAGTGCTCCAGAGGCTAAGAAGGGAGAATGGCAAGTGTGAGGTCAGCTAGAGCTGATAGTGAGATTCTGTCTCAAAAAAACAGAAGAAGTAAATATATAAAATTAAAATAATAAAGGTCTGCAGATTTAGCTCAATGTCAAGGCTGCATTCAGTTCTTGATACCACTAACAAAAAAAAATCTTCAGGATGTGTATGTAAGGTTTTTTTGAAAATAAATGAAATATATGAGTTTTGTATTTAGATGTAAGTCCTATTTCTGAGGTATCTCATTGATATATATGTACAGATTCCAAAATTGAAAAACTTAAACTAGGGATTTAGCACAGTGGTTTAGGCACCTTCCTGATAAGCAGGAGTTTGTGAGTTTGATTCCTGGTACCAAAAAAAAAAAAAGAAAAAGAAAAACTTGAAATCTGAAACTTGCTAGACCCATTTCAGATAAGAGATCCTCAGGGATATTCAGTCTGTACCACTTTGTCATTGGTTTTTCTGTAATGACCTTCAGACAAGTGGTTCTCAAGAGGATACTGATTTCATATGGAATTGGAACCAGGAGGCTCATTAAGCATCAGCAGTAAACTTTATGAATGGAGAGAGATACTTTTCTCCTCCCACCACCTGAATACTTTGTCCTTTACTTTTATCCTGTATTCTGCATGTCTGGGAAGATGAGTTATGCATGGGCTTTGTGAGTTGGTGAGTATCCATGAAATAAGGCTTGTAGAAGAGAGCAACCAGGAATTTTTAAAGAAGTGACTGGCCCATAGTGATGGCATATGCCTAAGATTCCAATACTCTGGGAGACTGAGTCAGGAGGATTGCAAGTTTAATTAAGCCCAGCTGAGCCAGTGAAACAATTTAATGAGACCTTGTTTCAGGGAAAAAAAAAAAAAAAAAAAGATGATGATGATGAACACAGAGGTGATAGCTCAGTATGGAATTCCTAGGTTCAATCCTAGTACTGCTATTTAAAAAAAAAAAAATACATATATATATATATATATACGAAAAAAGGAGATTGGCATGTGAGACATGTGAAAGGCTCTAGGGAGAAGAACTCTCAGGTCTTTAAGGCTGCATTGTAATTTGACAGAATGACAGAATGCTCACTGAGGTCAAGAACAGTCAAAAGGTACATAGGCAAAAGTGTATAATGATCTGGTGGGTTAGAAGTGGTGGGAGAAGACTTCAGAGTGGTAAATTGTATTTAGGTTGCAGATGACATCATTTTTGTTTTCTTTTTCTTTTTTTTTTTGTACTGGGGATTGAACTCATGACCTTGTATTTACCAGGCAAGCGCTTGAGCCATTGAGCTAAATTCCCAGCTCAACATCATTTTTCATACTAAAGTATGAATTTTTCCATGTTGGTAGGTGATAGACATTTTAATTGGCTAAGCGGAACATATTTATGCTTTAAAAAGATATCAGCCTCGGGGCTGGGGATTTAGCTCAGCGGCATAAGCGCCTGTTTTGCAAGCAGGCAGTCCTGAGTTCGATTCCCGGTACCAATAAAAAGGAAAAAGACCAAAAACAAAAAGATATCAGCCTCTCCATTTCGAGTTTAAAATTTTCTAAAAATCTTTCTACTTTTATTTTACAATAATAAACTATAAAAAGGGAAAGGCAAGCAGGGAGGCCCTGGATTTCCCCTTCTTTGCTTCCCAAGTATTCTCTACCCCTAAACCCCAGTGGGGATCACCCCTTCCCACTTTGTAGGGGCTGGGGATTGACAGGCATGGGAATGCTGGGTGTGTCTATGTGTATAGGGGTCCTGGGAGTCAAAAATGGGGAGGAAGGGCCAAGGGTATAGCTCAGCGGCATGGCACCTGCCTGGCAAGCGCAAGGTCCTGAGTTCAGTTGCCAATTTGAAAAAAAAAAAATGGATAGCAGTTGGAGTGGAGGGCCTTCTATCATTTTCCATCAAAACTAGCACCCTGAGGATGGGTTCTGAAGGATTATGAAGAGTCTTTTGTGTTTCCTATGAGATGATAGCAGATCCAGCACCCAGAAGTGACCCAGTGATTGACCCAGCTGAGATTGGACCATTCGTGGATAGTGTACGCTTGCTTTTATGTGGCATTGTCCACATCAACATCAAACAGGGAATGCTGGTAGGCCAGGTAGATGTCCAGGGCCCCAAAGAGCAAGTTTAAAGATAATACCCCCCAGGCCTCAGCTCAAGCCACACTGACATGGTTCCTCATATTGCATTGCTGGCCCACTCCTATGTTGGGGCTTTCACATGGAACATCTCCTCAGCCTGGGGTACTTCCCTCCCTAGAATTTTTGGTTTGTTTGTTTACGTGACAGGATCTTGGTATGTAGTTCAACCTGGCTTTGAACTTCTCCTGTAGTCCGGCCTGGCCTTGAACTCATGGCAGTCCTCCTGCCTGAGTCTCCCAAGTGCTGGGATTATAGGTGTATATCGCTATGCTCAGACCTCTTGAGTTTTTTTTTTTTGGGGGGTACTGGAGATTGAACTCATGATGTTGCACTTCCCAAGGTAAGTGCTTGTGCCGATGAGCTAATCTTTTAAGACTTGGTCTTGTTTTGTCCTTTGGGTACATTGTCCTTCTGGGATTCTTCCACAATTAATATACTGGGTCAATACTGGCAGTGTATTGTGTTTGTTTATACAGCAGAATTTCATATTTTTGATTTCTGTGTTTGAGAACTCATGGAATAGTAGATAAATTGTTTGAAAGATGTGGTCAGAGATGAAAGTTCTTTTAGGGAAACGTGCCCTATTGTAGAATCAGTCCTTGTCATCAGAAAGGGCTCTGTGGTTAGAATCTTGTACAGAGTAGCTTGTGTTACTGTATCATTTCTGCAGCACTTATATTTTATTTGGAGGGAGTAGAGTGGCAGAGTAAAGAAATCTTGGACTGAGGAAGAAGACTAAAGAAGTAATAGTTACCACAAAGTCAAAAGAAGGAGAGTTTTAAGAATAGAATACTTTCTTTTTTTTTTTTTTTTTTGGTGGTACTGGGACCAGAGTCACATCCTGACACAGCTCTTGTCCTGGTGTGCTAGAGTTCTCGGAGAGAATCCGCTGACCTTGATTCACTGGCGGGGGCAATGAGTGCCCCCGTTAGCGCCCAGGTCAGGGACATCCCCTAAGGGGGGAAAAAAAAAAAAAGGGTACTGGGGATCGAATTCACGGCTGTGCACTTACAAGGCAGACGCTTATGCCACTGATCTAAATCCCCAGCCCCTTAGAATATTTTCAAATTTAGTAGCAAGGGCCCGAGATGGAGGCTAGTGGTAGCGCATTTGCCTAGTGTGAGAGAGGCTCTGAGTTTGATTCCCAGCACACTCCAAAAATAATTTGAGTGGCAAAGGAGAGAGAAAGATAATGATACCTAGTGCAGGACTATGTTCAAAATTTGGTGATCTTTGGTCTTTTTTGGTTTGGGGAATCAAACTCATGACCTCGCACTTGCCAGACAGGCGCTTGTGTCTGAGCTATATCCTCAGTCCTTTGTTTTGTTTTTTAGTGATAGGATCTCACTGTGTAGCCCAGACTGGCCTTGAATTTGTGGCAATCCTCCTGCCTAATTCTCTCAAGTTCTGGGATTAAGGAGTATGCTATCACACCTGGCTAAAAGTCTGGTGATTTTTCAGCTTTTTGGGCAGAGTGCTATACTGGGTTAGATGGGAATGAAGCACCAGTGAGATATAAATGCTTACATGTATGTATATGTGTGTGGGTATAGATAGATAGATAGATATCCAGGGATTAACCCAGGACATGACATGTGCTAGGTAAGTGCTCTACTATTGAGTGCTCTACTACTTGCTCTTATTTTTTGACTCAGAGTCTTGCAGTGTTATCCAGGCTGGTCTCAGACTTGTGATCCTCATGCTTTAGCCTCCCAAGTGCAGTCATGTACCACTGAATCTGTTTGAAATTGATTTTTCTATTAGAAAAATTGAAAAGTTCAGAGCATATTAGAATTGTAAAGACCTTAATGGTGGTTATCTAGTTCAACTCCCTGACTTTAAGATGAGTGATTTTTCAACTTTTATTTTAGTATTTTTCTTAGGATCCTGGCTTTAGGAAAAGGCAGTACCTGTATATATAGTTTACTTCATTCATGAAACTCTCTTAACTAAAAAGTTTTATGACAAGCTGCTGATTGCTGCAGCAGAGTATGATTTGAGAATGGGTAGTGTGGGAATATTTGTGATTCTTCTAGGAAAACCTCAAATGCATTCTGGAGGGGAGACACCTTTGTTGCCATTAGGCAACTAATCTGTAAAACTAGAAGCTCAACCTAGGAAATCATCCCAGCCAGATGTTTGTGCCTCCCCTCAAGAAAAATCACTCAGGACTCTGGTTCACCAAGCAGAGGAAGAGAGACAGGATGGTGGACTCTTTATTCTAATGGGTAGGCTTTCTCCTTCCTTTCTCCCACCTCCCTTTTTTCTCTTGCTCTCTCCCTCCTCTTCTTCCTTCCCTTTCTCTTTCTCTCATTCCTTCACTTCTTTTCTCTTTCTCTCCTTTCCTTCTTTCTGCCTCTACCCCCAGGAGTGCTTAGGTATATGCTCAGCCCTTTTTTATTTTGAACAAGGTTTGCTAATGCTGACCCCAGAATTGGGATCCTTTTTCCTCACCCTCCTTCGTAGCTTGAATGACCAGCCATGTGTCTGCATGCTCAATTAACAGTTGTTCTGGCTATCTGTTGAATTGATTCATTTATTGTGAAATATTCTTTTTACCTCTGTATAATTTTAAAGTCTACTGTGAATCTACCACTTGTGTTTATATGATAGGCATGTTTCTAATCTTTCTTTTGTGGTGTCTTGAGACACGGTCTTGCTATATAGTTCAGGCTGGCCTTGAATTCACTATGTAGCTCAGGCTGACCTAGAACTCACAGCAGTCCTCCTGCCTCAGCCTGTCAAGTGGTTTTGGGATTACAGGTGTGTGCCCCATGCCAGGCTAATCTTTTACTTTCAACCATTTCAGCTTTTTATATCTAGAAACATGTCTCTCTGTTTTCTGGGAGGTGGTCAGTCCTAAGGTTTAAACCCAAGACCTTCCATATGCCAGGCAACTGATCTACTTTCTCAGGCTATATTTCCTTTTTTCCTTTTTGAGTCAGGGTCTCGCTCTGCAGTTCAATTTGCCCTTGAACTTACTTTGTAGCCCAGGCTGGCCTCAAACTCACAGCTATCCTCCTGCCTCAGCCTTTTGAGTGCTGGGATTACAGGTGTGTGTCACCATACCTGGCTCTATATTTCTTTTCTTTCTTTTTCTTTTTCCTTTTCTTTTTCTTCTCTTTCTCCTGTCTCTTTTTCTTTTTCTTGAGACAGGCTTTCACGAAGCTGTTTAGGCTGGCTTTGAGCTCACTTTGTAGCCCAGACTGGTCTCGAACTTGCAACAATCCTCTTGCCTCAGCCTCCCGAGTGCTGGGGTTACAGGCATGCATCACAATGCCTGGCTCTATATTTTTTATAAATAGTATAAAAATTTTTTTCTTGAGACAGGGTCTTGCTATAATTTAGGCTGGCCTTTAATTCACCATAGATCCCAGGATGGCCTTAAACTTGGGGCAATCCTCTTGCCTAAGACTCCACAGTGCTAAAATAACAGGCATGTGCCACCACTCCCAGCAAAAAATATTTTTTGTTTCTAGTCTTAACATAGTTGCATTTAAGTATTTAGTTGATTTTAATGTTATTTATTTATTTGAGACAGGGTCTCACTAATTAGTTCAGGCTAGCTTTGAACTCAAATTCATCTGCCTCATTTTTTCAATTTTACCTTTTGTTGTTTTATATTTTACCCTAGAGACTGATAATATATATTCTTGACATTATTTCAGTCTACCTTAATTGTATTTTACCACCCTCACTGTAATAATTTATGAGTTTAGCTACTCTGTCTATATTTATAATCCTTATATGAGTCCTCTTTCTTTCTTTTTTGTTTTTTTTGGTACCAGGGAATGAACTCACGACTTTGTGCTTGCCATGTAGGTGCCTATGCTACTGAGCTAAATCCTTGGCCCTATATTTATAATCCTGCAAGGCATGCTTATTACAAACTGGGCAAATTGATGAATACCTGTAATCCCAGCAGTTGGTAGGCTATTCCAAGGAGGACTGGCTCAAGTTGGAGACCAGCTGGGCTACATAGTGAGCTCAAGGGAAACCTGAGATACATATTAAGACACTGTCTCAAAGAGAAAAAAAAAAAGACATACTTACTGTTTTGTTGTTATTGTTTTTTCTTTGTTTTTTTCTCTTTTGTGTGTGTGTGTGTTTGTTTGGTATTGGGAATCAAACTCAGGACCTTGTGCTTGCCAGGCAGGCACTGTGTGTGCCACTGAGTTATATCCCTGGTTGTGCTTTTTTGTTTTTGATACCAGGTATCAAATTTACGACCTAACACTTGCCAGGCAGTTGTTTGTGCAGCTGAGCTAAACCCCGGCTTTTTGAGACCCGATCTTAGTGTGTACCTCAGCCTGTCCTGGAACTCCATTTGCTCCTCCTTCCTCAGTTTTCTGAGTTCTGGAATTACAGGTGTTTGGCACCATGCCCATGGTTTTCTTTCTTGAGACTGGATCTCACTGGGTGGCCCAGGCTGACCTTGAACTCCTGAGCTCAAGCATTCCTGGTTCAAGCATGTGCAGTGAAATTCAACTTTTATTACTGCTTTTAATGATTCCTTACTCATAGTTAATAAGTTTTTATCACATAGCTAACCTTTTGGATGCTTTTGATTCATCTTGAATTTATTGCCTTTGTGATCATTTTCCTTTTGAGGAAAGGAAGAATTTGAAGAATTTGCTTCATTCTGTGCAGTTAATCTGTCAGTGAAGTATTTCAGATACTTATTTGTCTGTTTTTTGTTGTTTTTAGATAGGGTCTCTCTATGTGTTGTAGAGTAGGCATGAAATCACTGTCTAGCCCATCTTGGCCTTTGAACTTCTGGTGATCGTCCTTCCTTTGCTTCCCAACTGCTGGGATTAGAGATACTCATCAATATACCCAGTTTATTTTACATTTTGGGGTGAGATGTCTGGGGAAAAAAAAGGTCTGCCGTTTTTAGGGGAATAGTGCTGGGGATTGAACCCAGGAACTTGCACATGCCAGATAAGCCCTCTACCACTTAGCTACATCCCAGGCCCTTTTCCATTATTTAGGAAAAAAAAAAAATACTCACTGGATATATAATTTTAGGTTGGCAGTCTTTCTCCTGGTACTTTATTTATTTTTAAAATGTTTTTGGTCTTTTTTTGAGGCAAAGTTTCACTATGTGGTTTACGCTGGTCTTGAACTTGCAGCTATCTTCCTGCCTGCCTTCCAAGTGCTGGGATTACGGGTGTGTGCCACTGCACCCAGCTGTCCTAATACTTTAAGATATATTTCATTATAGTCTTGTTTTCACTGATTTGTTATAAACTCACCTACAGTTTTTTTTTTGAAAGTTTTAAAAAAAAATTTTTTTTTTTTGGTACCAGGGATCAAACTCATGACTGTGCGCTTGCAAGGCTGGTGCTTATGCTGCTGAGCTAAATCCCCAGCCTTGTTTTTACTTTGATAATGTGTATTTTTTGTTGACTGTTTTAATATTTTCTGTTTTAGTTTGCAGCATTTGACTATAATGTGTCTAGTTTGGTTTTCTGTATCTTTTACTGGGTATGTGGACCTTCTTGAATCTGAGATTGAGTTTTTTCATCAGTTTAAAATAAATTGTTCCTAGCCCTTTTACCCATTGATACTGGGTATCAAGGCCTTTATATTGAGTTATGTCCCCAATGATTTTCTTTTGAGATAGGGTTCCCTTAAGTCACTAACTTGTCCACGCTGAACCTGTGGTCTGTCTTCTTCAGTCTCCCAGAGTGCCCCATGCCTGGCTGATTTCTTGCTAGTATTTTTAAAGATACCACATGTGTTCCACTGTCTTTCTTTTCTTCTGGTATTCCAGTCACATGTATGCAGATCTTTTCGTATTTCCCATGTATGTTTTTTTCTTGTATATTCTTTTTTTTTTTTTTTTTGTCTTTTTCATTTTTATCGGTACCAGGGATCGAACTCACGACCACCTGCTTGCCAGGCAGGTGCTTATGCCGCTGAGCTAAACCCCCAGCCCCTTCTTGTATATTCTTTAAGGAAAAAATTTTTTTTAGTACTAGCGATTGAACCCAGGCCTGTGCATGCCAACTAAGAGCTCTACGCCTGCACTACACTCCAGCCTGTATATTCCCTTTATTCATTTTCCTCTCCATGCTTCAGTCTTCGCTGTGATCCTGTTCAAGAAGTCTGTTTTGTTTTGTCTAATACATTAAATCATTAAACCATTCTGTTGTGTTCTGTTCTTTTCTTCTTTCTTTCTTTCTGTTTGTAATACTGGGGATTACAATGTCCTTACACCTTCTGTTGATTTTTTTTGTTTTTTTACTGGCAGTCAAACTCACGACCTTGTGCTTGCCAGGCAGGCACTGTGCTGCTGAGCTATATATCTGGCCCTCACCCTCTATTGATTAAGTTATTGATTGATTGACTGAGACCGGATCTCACTATTTAATTCAGACTAGCATTGAACTTATTATGTAGTCCAGGATACACTCTTAACTCATGGTGATCCGTCTGCCTCAGCCTACCAAGTGCTGGAAGTCCCTCTTTTTATAAACTTTATTTTGCTGTCTTAAATTGTCTAGCTACAACTCCAGCTTGACTTCTAGCTCAGCGTCCCTCAGTGCTGTGATTATAGCCATGCACTGCCTTATTTAGCTTCATCTCTTTTCTTTTTGTTTCTCTCTGGCTCCCTTCCCTCCTCACTCTTCCCTCCTTTTTCCTCTCTCTTCCCCATTCTCTCCTTCCTTCCTTCCTTCCTTCCTTCCTTCCTTCCTTCCTTCCTTCCTTCCTAATTAGATACTCTTTCCATGGTGCCAGTTAATGGGGACTCCTGCAGAGAGTCCTTAATTTCCTGTCAAGTGTTACAGCCAGGATGGGAAGAAAGAGAGCAAGTGATGAAATAAGGGTGCAGGCAGAGATCTGGGACGACCAGTTGTTCCTGGGGAACAAAAGGCTATGAGCCACCCAGAACCTGAGTATTTATTGGTTAGATCTGAATTAAAGACAATGGGTCAAGGACAGTGAGTGTTTCCAGAACAATAATGGGGACTGCAGTGGACTAGTAAGAACAAAGCATTCTTGCAAGGACAAGAAGGAGGGGAGAAGATAGTGGGGGGATGAAGAAACTAGTTTTTGCACATGCCTGTTGTCTCCAGCAGGTCGTGTCTTGCCCTGTGAGCATCACAGCAATGATTGGCCCTAGGGCTTCCAGCTGTGACCAGAAAAGAGTGGGGGTTTCCATGTTCCAGTCTGGCTCACAGGCAGGACAAGAACAAGCATGGACGTCTCCTAGATTCAGTGTATAATTTGTAGTCCCTAACACCTTTCTTTTTATTTCTTTCTCCTTTTTCTGATTTCCAGTTAAATACTGTTTTATTTTGTAGCTTAACAATAGAGGGCTATACACTGAATTGAATGCATTTCATTCTAAGTTAGTCGTACAAAGCTGGAATCATTTTCAGGGTATGGCTTACTAGATGTCAGGGATACGTACATTTTACTTTCCACAACTATTAAACTTCATCTTATATACTGAAGTCACATGTACAGAGAAAGTTGGAACTTTTTATATTTGCGTTTTCCCATTTAAGTATAGTAGTACTACTATAATTGATTATCAAAACCAAAACAATAGCATGATTATAGTCCTTCGTGCTTTCACTACTACACATAAAATACAGCAGTAGTGTTACTTATTGGCCACATTACAAGGTCTGACACAGAACCACCTCTGGGTAACATAGGTTACTCCATTACAATAATGTGGCTTTCCTGATTTGGATTAAAGTGTTTAAATTCTGCCTGGTCTTTTTATCAGTCTCTTCTTCTCAGATAGGAGTGTTTCTAGCAAAGAGTTTTATCAGGAGAGAGAAGGGCATTTTCAGGAACGATTACCTTAAATTGGATAATTAGGTGTCCCTTTTCATATTGTCTATGACAAATTGGCATGCCTTCAATTAGCGTACCCTTGATGTCTCTGGGCTGAGCTGGAGGAGATCCAATCACTGTGGTTTGGTCATCAGGAGCAGGCATTGGTTTTTGGAAGCCACGTAGTACTTCAGCCACCTGTCCATCTGTACACATGAAAAGGTTTCCTTGTTGAGTAAGAAGTGTGGTCCTTTAAATGTAACACACTGATAGATATCTTTTGGCTCCAGTCCTGTTTCTTGGTTTCCTTTGCTGTGGAGTATAATCTCCTAGCCATCTTTCATGCCTTTGTCAAAGTGAATTTCTAGAAACTTCTGTCTTCCATTGCAGCTTATCAGTCTTTTTTTTTTTTTAATTTTGTTTTTTGAGACAGGATCTCACTATCTGATGCAGGCTGGCCTTGAAATTCCTTTTGTAGTCCAGGCTGGTGCCAGTCTCCTGAGTGATGGAATTACAGGCATGTGCCACCACATCACTGTGTTTCGGTTTTTCATATAACTTTCAGAACGAGGCTTTATTCTTAGTGGATTGTTCTGGGGATTTCAAGTGAAGAAAGCTATTTTTCAAGGCCTTCCCTCCTTCACGAGATTTGAGCTACAGCCTCCGTCTTCACATCACTGTGAAATGCTGAGATTTCTGCATTTGTCTTAACCTCATCGCTTCATTTCATGATGGATTTGTTGGAGTAGTATTCTTTTTTTACGTTTTTTTTTTTTGGTCTTTTTGAAACAGGGACTCGCTATGCAGTTTAGGCTGATCTTAAGTTCACTTTGTAACACAAGCTGATCTCAAACTTGCCATGATACTCCTGCCTCAGCCTCCTGAGTGCTAGGATTACAAGTGTGCACCACCAGGCCTGGCATCTTGGAGTTGTATTCTGTCTGTATACTGTTTAAGAGTCTTATGAAAAGTTAGTACACAGACACATTTTTAACAGGGTTCCTTCCTTTGCAGGGCATCATCCCTCAGCTTCTGCAACTGTGGCTGTCTGAGGTCTGACTTAGCCACCCCTAACTGTTGTTTTTAGTGTAGGTTACTGTGAGCATTCCTACTTGCAACAATCATACTCTTCCATCCTGTCCACAATGGCTGTTCTCCAGTGTCTGTAGACTGTCATTGTATATATTGAAAGTTTTCCTTGTATGTAGTTTTCATTTATTTTTTCTGTCTTTTTTTTTTTGTTTTGTTTTTTTGAAGCAGGGTCTCACTGTGCAGTTCAGGCTGCTCTTGAACTCAGTTTATAGCCCATACTGGCTTTGAACTTGCAATGATCCTCCTGTCTCAGCCTCCTGAGTGCTGGGACTACAGGCATGTGCCACCACACCCGACTGTGTGTAGTTTTTCAGTGTTTCCAGCAGTAAGGTTAGTCTAGTAACTTTTTCGTCATGGCTAGGACCAGATGTCTTGGCTAACTGGAATTACAGGGGCTCCATTGTTATGGTTTTGATTCTGTGTTTAGAAGGTACTTTCCTAAATTGGAATTATGCTAACCCTAATGGTTTTTCCATGGAAAACTTTTTATGCAGTGAGTTTCATTGTTCTTTAATTCTATGATGTTGTCTGTTGTCGTTATAAATTCATTTAAATTATATTGAAGTGGAATACATTTAAGTGGAATCTTGCTTTTGTTGTGTAGTCTAGGCTGGCCTTGAACTCACTACGTAGCCCAGGCTGGTCTCAAACTCTGGTAGTCCTGCCTCTGCCTCCCGAGTGCTAGGATTACAGGCATGCAACACCATGCTTAGTTTGTATTTCAGTTTTTATTGTGACTAAATGGTTTTCCCATGGTATGATCCAGCCTATCCATATGAATTTGTGCAAGTCTGTATATTATAGATTTGAAACAAAACAACTGATGGAAACTAAGAATAACACATTAGAAAAATTTACAATATTTTAACATTATGGCTGCATTCTTTTTTTTTTCTTTTTCAGACAGGGTCTCTCTATATAGTTTAGGGTGGGTTTGAACTCACTGTGTGTCCCAGGCTGGCCTTGAAGTAATGGTCATCCTCCTGCCTCAGCCTCCCAGGTATTGACATTACAGGTGTGTGCCACCAACCCTGGCCTACACTCTGATAACGTCTTTGTAAACAGAGAAGTCATCTTCATGTTAATATTCTCTAACTCTGAGACTTCAAATAGTAGCAGACCAGAACTGTCAGTGAGATATAAATCTTGTTTGAGTGTTTGATGATATTACATTCTAAGACTTAACAAGGTTTCATGGTCAATAAGCTGTTCTTTTCATCTGGTTATAGATACACTTTTCTGGAAGACTGAATTATTTAATCAACTTCTTTCCTCAGAGTTCAGAAAGTAGAATTTTTATTGCTTGTTCCCTTTTATAGACTGAAGCATGTAATAATAATAATCATGATAAATTACATATGTGTAATGTTTCATTACTTGTAAAGTGCTTTGTTGAATATTGTTAATCTCCATGACTTGCCTACTGGGCAAACATCCATACTTTACAAAAGAAAAATTCAAACTCTGTTACCAAGTCATAGAGTTTACATAAACCAAGGATTTCTGGTATACCCTATAATACAAGTCTTAGAATGTGGCTTCAAAATTCTTAGATTTTGGCTTCAAAAAATGAATCCCTTATTTATTAGCTCTTTGGAAAGTTTCTTAACTTTTTTGTTTCATCTGTACAGTGGGAAAAATAATAGTGTCTATATTTTAAAGTTTTTAAGTGGCTTGAACTTGTAATCTTGCCTTAGCCTCACTCAGTGTTGGGTAGTGTGCCCTGTTTTGGCCCACATAGGGTCGTTATTCACAGGAGTGTAAAGTGAATCATTTTCTATAAAGTATACAGAAGAGTGTCTGACATCTAGCAATACTCAATGAGCATTAGCTATCCTTACTATTGGACTCCCATTGTGAAGCCCACTGTCACTACCACTGCCATGTCATAGTCTGATTTTCAGTGCCAGCCAGCTGGTAGCTTGGTTTTCTTTCAGCCCTGGCCTTTTGGACTAATTTCCTAGAACAGTAGTTTTTCAGAGTCTTGTGATGCTCTTTTTTTTTTTTTTTTTTTTTTTTGGCAGAAGAGCAAAACAATGAAGAAAACGAAAAAAGGAGAAAAAAGAAAAAGGGTACCAAGAGGAAACGAGATGGAAGGGGTCAAGAGCAAGGGACCTTGATGGGTGACCTGAAACTGGATGACATGCTTGATCGTACCTTAGAGGATGGTGCCAAGCAGCACAATCTAACAGCTGTCAATGTGCGAAACATCCTTCATGTGAGTGAGGCTAGGGCATCGTTGTCACTGGAGTGGAAATTTCCCATGGGATGCAAATAAAAATGCTCAGCTAATTTTTGATTCTTATATATATGATTACCAGAATTTACTCACAAGAGCTTTCTCTCTCCAGGTAGGATGTGCCTGTACTCCCAGCACTTAGAGGCTGAGGCAGGAGGATCCTTGAGAGTTCAAGACCAACCTGAACTGTATAGCAAGTCTGTCTCAAAAAATGAAAACAAACAAAAAATAAAATAAAAAAAGATAGCTTTTTTTTTGTACTCCACACAAGTAGAAAATCTTAGCCAGATGTGGTGGTGCACACCTATAGGAGGATCACCATGAGACGGAAGCCAGCCTTGTTACATAGTGAGTTCAAGATCAGACTGACTACCTGAGACCTTGTCTTTCAATAAAATAAGAAAGAAGCAAGTGTGAAATCTGAGCACATGTGAAAGGAAAGTTTAATTTGGAAGACAAACTACCTTTGCTTCTTTCCACGTTTTGATTGTTTTTTGGTTAGCAGATTTGAAGATGATACCATACATAGTAGATTTGCTATTTTGTGGGGTGATATGTCTAATAAAAATCCCACTTAACAGTTATAATACTTTGTGTGTATGTGGTAGGTGTTCTGAATATGTCACAACACAGCTATTTCTATAATTTGTGCTATTTGTTACTATTTATTTATTGGTACCAGGACTTGAACTCAGGACTTTCTACTTCCCAGGCAGGCTCTTATGTCACTGAGTTATATCCCCAGCCCTTGTTACTTTTTTTTTTTTAATTGGTAGCCAGGATTGAATTTGACCACATGCTTTCAAGGCAGGCGTTTATGCCGCTGGGCTAGATCCCCAGCCCTTGTTACTCTTTTAAAAAGAACTTTATTTATAATTAGGAGTCTTCCTCTGTTATTTTTGGGGTTTTTTGGTATTTTGAGACAGACTCTTCTTACATACTTCTGACTGGCCTTAAACTTACTATGTAGCCGTGGCAGGCCTGGAACTTGGAACAAATTTTTTGCCTCAGCCCACTGAGTGCTGGGATTATAAGACCCAGCCCTTTGTAAGTTTTGATTTTGAAACGTCTTACTGAGTCACTAAATTGTGCAAGCTGGTCTCAAATTTGAGATCCTCTTGTCTCAGTCTCCCTGAGTTTTGGGATTATCGGTGTTGCCCCATGCTTGGCTTATTACTCTTTCTCTTCAACGTATATTTAGTTATGTTAGGATGTCTTTTTATTCCTATTTCTAAGAGCATCTAATAAAATAGGCCCATATGCTGCTATATTATTTACAATGGTATGCTTTTGTCCAGACTTGCCTTTTTTGGCATTTGGTTGCTTTGCTTTACTCTAGTCTGAAACCACTTGAGAATATAATGAAATTTCATTTATTCTCCATATTGATGTAATACAGTTATATAGAGATGAATTTTAGCTAGATAACAAGCTTCCTTTTGCATAAAGAGAAATTTAATCTTTTTCCAGGAAGTAATCACAAATGAACATGTTGTAGCTATGATGAAAGCAGCCATCAGTGAGACAGAAGACATGCCAATGTTTGTGAGTAATTGATTGTTGCTTTTTAATTTTGTGTAACAGAATTATCCATGAAATGGCCAAAAACCTTTAAAAAGGAGGTCACTTTGGAGTTCTTAAACAATGACCAGCTTAACAGCTGGGTGTAAAGTTAACCTCTCCAAACCCAAGGGTCACATGACAATTTTTATTGACTATTTTCTCCCTATCTCTCCCCTTTAGGAGCCTAAAATGACACGCTCTAAACTGAAGGAAGTGGTAGAGAAGGGAGTGGTAAGTGGTGTGGCATTTTCTTTACTTTTTTGGCTTGGTAATTAGAATTTAATTCTAGGTTATTCATAGGGAGAAAATATGGAAAAATTTTGTTTTGGGTTTTCCTTTTTTTTTTTGTACTGGGGATAGAACTCATGACCTTGCGCTTGCCAGGTAGGTGTTTATGCTACTGAGCTAAATCCCCAGCCCTGGGTTTTCCTTTTTAAAGAATTATTTGTAAGCCAGGTGCGGTAGCACACAGCTGTAATCTCAGCACTGGGGCTAAGGCAAGAGGATTGCAATTTTGAGGCTCGCTTAGGGAACTTAGTGATTTCCTGTTTCTAAATAAATAAAAGACTGGAGCTGTAGTAGAGTGCAAAGTGCTAGGATTCACTCCCTAGTTATATATCCCCCACCACCAAGAAACAAGAAACAGGGATAGGGAAGGATGCTCCTGAATTACATCAAACCCTTTACCCTATACTGGTTCTGACAAAATGGTCAGAGCATAACAGACCTGAAATGTGACATCTTAAGGCTCTTTAGAGAAAGATCTTAGGGTCTAGTTGTCTTTTGTTTGTAAGGTGATTCTGATTGTGTCACAATTAATGCACAAGAAATTATATATCCTTAGTGGTGTCTTCTTAGCAGTACGTAAAAGCTATTAAAAGATTCTTTAAAATATTTCCATTTTAGGAGCTGAGGATATAGCTCAGAGCTTAAGTGCCTGTCTGGCAAGCACAAGGTCAGAAAAAAGTTTTTCAGGCTGATGGTGGCACATGCCTGTGATCTCAGAACTTCGGAGGCTGAGGCAGGAAGATCACCATGAATTTGAGGCCGATGTGGGCTATGTAATGAGTTCAAGGCCAGCCTGAACTTCATAGGGAGATCTTGACTCCCAAAAAAAAAAGTTTCCGGGGCTGGGAATTTAGCTCAGTGGCATAAACGCCTGCCTTGCAAGCAGGCAGTTGTGAGTTCGATCCCCGGTACCGATAAAAAAGGAAAAAGACAAAAAAAAAAAAAAAAAAAAAAAAAAGTTTCCTTCCTAGGTTCAGTCCCCAACACTGTAAGAAAATAAGAGAAACAAAACTTTTCTTTCAACTCCACTATGAAAATTTTCTTTTTCTTTTTTTTCTTATGAAAATTTTCAAACTACAAAATGTTGAAAGAATGTTATAGTCAATCATGATTCCAAGTGTAATATTTCATCATGTTTGCTTTATTGTCTGTATTTATTTGCTTCTTCCCAAACTGTTTAAGGCTGGATGACATGATGCTTTCCCCTAAATCCTTCTGTAAGAACTCTTTGTGGTTGATGTTTTGGAGGTATGCCAGTAGTGCATTTGTATAATTGATTTTTTAAAATTATTGTTATGTCTCTTAAGTGGTATTTTCCAAGAACCCATGTGGTCTAGGGTTGGATCCCCAGCACTAAAAAAGAGTTCTGATGTCAGAAGGCTACTGTGACTAAAAATTTTAGGTGTGTTTAGTTTTATAGTTTATAAATTTACAGGTAGTTTTCATATCCATTGTTCTGTATGAACCCATGCTATGATATAAAGTTGGTAAGCCAGGCTTTTTTTCTTCTTTAAAGATAAAAATGAATCTTAATAGATTTACCTTAAGTCAAGTCTTGACAAATATTTGAGGGTATACCCTCCACACTAGGTCATTGTAGATACTTGTTAGTTAGATAACTCTTTGTGGGTTACAACGTGAGCACAAGTTCAAGCTGAATCACATAGTGAGACCCTGTTTAAAAAAAAAAAGCAAAGTGATAAACTTCAGGGAATTCTTAACGTTCTCTTTGATAGGTGATTCCAACATGGAATATTTCTCCAATTAAGAAGGCCAATGAAATTAAGGTAACTTGGAAGTGACTTTCTTTTCCAGAAAAACTTCATCAATTTTGAAATCTGAGTATGTCCCTTACACTTTCTAGATTTTTTTTGTTTTAATTCCAGCTTTGATTTCTTTTCCATTCTCTTATTCTTAAGTTTGTATATCAGATCCTTTAACCCTTACTTTGAGTTTGTTGGTCTAGCTGCCCGTTACGCTCTTAGTTTTTTTTTTTCTGTCTTACTCTCTCCCCTTATTTTCTAAATTCATGTAGTTTTGCATTTCCCAATACTGTATTTCTTTCTTTTTTCCTTTTTTCTTTCTTATTTTGATGTTGCTGAGTCCATGCTTTACCACTAGCCACACTCCCCAGCCCTACTAATTTCTACCTGTGCCATGTAGCCTCCCCAGTTTGTGGATATCCACCTTGAAGAAGATGACTCCTCAGATGAGGAGTACCAGCCAGATGAAGAAGAGGAAGATGAGACTGCTGAAGAGGTCAGTGAATGGAGTGTTCATAGGTAATAGTTTAATAAGGCAGTGTATAGTATTGGTATGTTTTATATAGAATATTGAAACAGTTTTTTTTAATCATTTCTTTGATGTAAGTTGTTTTTCTGTTCTTTATCTCAGTTTTGTAGCTTATATTACAGATTGTAACATAAACAATGTAGAAAACGTATATTGAATAAACTTAGTACAGTTGAAATAATTATATTGTGAATCCTGATGAAACTTCTTCCAGAGTCAAGAAATGTAACATTGCCAGGACAAACCCAATTTGTTCTTCTCAATTTGTTTCTTCTCTTTCTCTCTAAAGATAATCACTATCCTGCCTTTTTTGTTAATTCCTTGCTTGCTTTTCCTTTTAGTTACATCCCCTAAATTGTGCATCTTTGTACAATGTAGTTCAGTTTTCACTTTCTAAAAACTATGTAAATGGACGTATGGTGTTTTGTTCTGGGTTTTTTCATTTTTGTTCAACGTCATGCCTTTGAGATTTGTGTATATTGTTGCTTGTAGCCATAGTTTGTTCTTTTTTTCTTTTTTATGTACTTGGGATCGAACTCATGACATTATACTTGGGCCACTGAGCTAAATCTGCAGCCCAGTTTGTTCATTTTTATCACTGTGTTAATATGCTGTTTGATTTTTAGTATTTTCTTTGACTTGTTAGTAAGAATTTTCAGCCAGTGTCTTATACTTACTGCAAACACTGTAATGTAGATGAGGGTAGTGGTCAGATACCTATCCCCTCTTTGGATATTAAGCTATTTAAATTCATTTTCTTTCTGTAATTAAGTGATTGATATTTTGTGATTCATTATCATGCTACTTCCAAATCAATGCCTTGAGTTACGGATACACACACACATATGAACTGGTTGTTTTCTAGAGCTTATTGGAAAGTGATGTTGAAAGCACAGCATCATCTCCACGTGGGGCAAAGAAATCCAGATTGAGACAGTCTTCCGAGATGACAGAAACAGATGAAGAGAGTGGTGTATTATTAGAGGTAAACCAGCAATTTATAAAAGAGATGAATTAGACACAACCATAGAAGCAAACCTCATTCAGCTGTTCAAATAGATGATATATTTATAGTGATTCTGATCTCTTTACCCCTTTTGAAGTTTCTTACCTTAGTGAACAGTTGCATGAGACAGGCTGTTATGGCACATGTCTGTAATCCCAACACACAGGAGGCAGATGCAGGAGAATTGCTGCAAATTTGAAGCCAGTCTGGACTACATAGTGAGCTCAAGGTCAGCCTGAGCTACATACTGAGACCCTGTCTCCAAAATAAAACATAAAAAAAGAGCAAGAGAGAGAAGACTGGGACCTAGTGATAGAGGAAGAACTATTCTGAGTTCTCATTAAGGGACTAGAAATATGTAACTGGCAGGTTTTTTTTTTTTCCTACCTTTTTTTCTCTCATACCCATTGTCCTTAAATAATTTTTATTAGATTTTCTACTTGGTTTTTGTTTTATTTTGTTTTTGTGGTACTGGATTGAATGTAGAGCTTTTGTACTAAGCTGTATCTCTGGCTGACTTTATATTTAAATTTTGAGATAGGGTTTCACTATGCTGCTAAGTTGCTCAGGCTGGGCTTGAATTTGTGATCCTCCTGCTTCAATGTCCTGAAGGATTTGTCACTTTTTGGTAACCTAAGTAGCGTTCTGTTGGCTTCACTGGAAATAGGATGAATCCTTATTAGGTCTGTGTACTTGACAGTGCCTTTGTTTTCCTGTATCTCTATTGAGACAAGAAGAAAAAGATCTGTTGTACTGGGACTTTGCCTCTTTCTCTCTTTCCTCCCTCCCTTTTCCTTTTCTCTTCCCTGTACCCCTTTCATTTCGTCCTTAACACAATTGCCCTTTTTAATCAGGCTGAGAAAGTTACCACACCTGCCATCAGACACATCAGTGCTGAGGTAGTGCCCATGGGGCCTCCACCCCCTCCAAAGCCAAAGCAGACCAGAGATAGCACTTTCATGGAGAAGTTGCATGCAGTAGATGAGGAACTGGCTTCTAGTCCTGTCTGCATGGATTCTTTCCAGGTAAGATCATTATTCTAGTCACTAAAGAAGTGAAAACGTGGTAATTTAGGTTCCTGGGGATTTAGCTCAGCGGCATAAGTGCCTGCCTTGCAAGCAGGCAGTCATGAGTTCGATCCCTGGTACCGATAAAAAGGAAAAAGACAAAAAAGAAAAGAATGTGGTAATTTAGTTGTTGCTTATGTTGGGGAGCATTTACTTTTTATATAGTAAAAGCCATGATATAGTATTTGTTCCCTATTTGGTTTGTGCCATTTTCTCTTACAGAAAAATGATAGTTGTTCATACCAGCCTTGAACATACTGTGTAGCCAGGCTGGCCTTGAACTCTCAATTATTCTCTTGCCTCAGTCTTCTCAGTGCTGAGATTACAGCCATGTGTAACTACACCTGACTTTTAAAATTTTTTTTGAGATACTGTCTTACCATGTAGTTCAGGCTGGTTTTCAACTCACTACATAACCTAGGTTGGCCTCCAACTTCTAGAGATCCTTCTGGCTCAACCTCCCGAGTGCTGGAATTGCAGTTGTGTACACCACTGAGCCCTGAGAATAGCAAGTTCCAATGGAAGGAATAAACAATGGCAGCACATTTTTAAATGTAGATCAAAGGAATAATCTTCAGATGGATTCTCCCAGATACTAACCATTTGTCTTAGTTACTTTTCTACTGTCTTCCTCTGTCTTTGTGCATGTTTTACTTTTTGATCCAAGTGTCGAGGATTGAATCCCAGTATCTTCATGTATGCTAGGCAGGTGCTCTACCACTGAGCAACACTCAGCTTCCACACAGCGCAACACAACAAAACAAAACAAAACACTCAAAACAGTACTGAGTGTGCTGGTGCACACTTAAAATCCCAGCACTGGGGAGGCTGAGGCAGGAGAATTGCTGCAAGTTTGAGTTTGAGGTCAGCCTGGGCTACATAGTTCATGGCCAGCCTGAATTACATAGCCAGACCCTATGTCAAAAAACAAAAAGCAAAATAAATAAATAAATAAAAATTATTATATGGGATATATTGCAGTCATGGTGTTCTTTTACCCCAAATGTTTTGTTGTGTAATATAAAAGTTCATTTTCCTTTATTGCCACAGTACAGTTACCAAAAACAAAAACAACAAACCCAAAACTCCCAAAAAGTGGTTACCAAAATCAGAGTATGATAACTTTTCTTCCTTACTTATTTAGAGGCAGGGCCTTGCTGTGTAGTTCATGCTGGCTGTGAACTCACTATGTAGCCCAGGCTGGCCTTGAATTTGTAGTGATTCTCTTACCTGGGCCTCCCAGCTACTGGGATTACAGGTGTGTGCCACTACATGTTTGTTTTTTCTTTTAGAATTCAGTAATCTCACTTAATTTATTGAACTCAGATTTTGCTGGCTGTCCTAATGACACCTGTTACAGTAGAAAATAAAATTTGTCTTTTTTGATCCAAGACCTATTCTAGGATTAGATGTGCATTTTGTTTCTTGCCCTTAATTTATTTAACCTGGAAATGTCTCAGGCTTTTTTTGGTGTTTCATAACTTTGATGTTTTAGAAGATTATAGGACAATTATCTGTAAAATATTCTTCAATTTGATTTTTCTGGTATTTCCTCATAATCATATTCAGCTTTGTACTTTTTTGGGGGAGTACTGGGGATCGAACTCATGATCTTATGCTTGCCAGGCAGGTGCTTATGCCACTGAGCTAAATCCCTGGCCCTGTAACTTTTGTATGTACACTACAGAAGAGCTATATCCTCAGTTAATCATATCAGGAGGCACAGTTGTCTGTCACCTCAACTCTCATCACTTGGCCAAGTTGTCTACTTCTTTTCCTCACTGTAATTTTCTTCTTTTTTTAAATTTGGTCCTGGGGATTGATCTCATGACCTTGCGCTTGCCAGGCAGGTGCTTATACCACTGAGCTAAATCCTCGGCCCCCTACTGAAATTTTCCATTTTTAAGCAGTATGTATCTTATTAGAGATATCATTTGAGGCCAATATCTTATTTATTTATTCATTTAATTTTTTGTTTATTTGTTTTTTTGAGACAGGATCTCACTGTGCAGTTCAGGCTGACCTTGAACTCATAGTAGTCCTCCTGCTTCAGATTCCCTAGTGTTGGGATTACAAGGATGCGGCACCATGCCTGGCAGTGGTCAACTAATTTTAGTTGCCTGAAGCATTTATTACTATGGTTAACATCAAATGATTACTTTTTCTTTTTTATAATTGGAATAAAACTCAAGACCTCACACTTCCCAGACAAGTCCGTGCTGCTGAGGTATATCTGTGGCTAAATGATGACTTTATAATTCTGTTTTTAAGGGCTGGGGATTTACCTCCCTAACATAAGGGCCAGCCTGGCAAGCACTTGGTCGAAAGTTCTATACCCGGTATTGGGAAAAAAAAATTAGATGTATAATTTTGATTTTATTTTAGTTATTTTTAATGTTTCCAGTATTCCTCCCCAGACTTTTTTCCCCTTACTCAGTTTTTATTTTATGAAAAAATAAAATTTCATTATCAAGTAGTTAAAGTATAGCAGTAATTAATACACTGTGTATCATTATCTTCAAAGTACTAGTTACTCTTAAGTATAAGACATTGATGAGAAAGATTCTCTTACAGAGAAGCAACAAATAGATAATCACACAAAACATTTTTTTCAGTGAACTGAGAGAAATTAATAGTATATCCCCATCAGGCTTGTAGGCCTGTGGGAAGCATGTCAGTCCTAAAATTTAAAAATATCTGATTGACAGGCCAGGGATATATAGCTCAGCTGTACAGTGCCTGCCTGGCAAGCACAGAGTCATGAGTTCGAACCCTTGTACCAAATAAAAAAAAAAAAGACAGTTGAATGAAACAACTTTAAAAGGATCATTTTATTTCATTATCCTGCTTTGGAATAATTAAATAGTAGTGCTATTTTATCTAATCATTTAACAAATATTGAATGGTTAAAATTGAAAAAAAAAACTAAGGAACAAAAATTATTCTTTATGGAACTTTTAGTTTATTAGGAGGAAAAAGCAATTCAATAATTTCAGACTGTGATAAATGCTGTTGACTGAATTGAAATACAGGAAGTATGATAATGCCTATCAGAGAACTATAGAGCAAAAAATCTTGAGGAAATGACATTGGATCCAAATGTGAAGGAGCTAGGTTTGTAAAAGATCTGGAGGTAAAGATGCTTCCTACAGAGGAGATAGCACATTTTAAGTCCTTACGGTCAGAGCATGTTGGTATGTTAAGGAATAGAAAGTAGCTCTGGGATGGACTTACAGGAGAGAGTGGTAGGAGTGAGATGAGCCATAGGTGAGAGCTAGGTCATGCAAGTCTTGGCATGCTTGTGGTACAGAGTTGAGGTTTTATTTTATTTTATTTTATTTTATTTTTAGCCAGGCTTCTTACTTTGTAAGAGGTTTTATTTTAATCATTAGAAAAACTTCTTAGGGGCAGGCCACCATTGGGACTCTTGTATAGCCAACCAGTCCGGGCAGGGAGGAGAAGCATTCAGCCCAGCCTCTGTGCACATGTAGGGGACTCTCCCACAGATAGCCAGCGTGTGCTGAGAAAACCAGCCAGCCATGCCTTGGTGAAGCTGTGAGTATCTAAAAGAAGTCCTTCCCACACTCTATAGCCTCTTGGGGAACCTTGATTAGGAGAAACCAAAGTGCCTGACCCTAACCCCCTACACTGTGGACAGGTAGCCAATGTGGGAAGTTCCTAGGAAGTTCCCACAACCCATCTGTCTGGAGAAACCCAAGAAAATAGTAAGATGAAGGAGCCAAAGACAGTCTCGGGCTTCTGGCCCAAACAGAAGTCCCAGTAGATTTAGACATGGAAGACAGTGGAAGTCGTACACTTGAAATTTCTAGAATGATGGCAGTTGAAGTAAAGAAACTACTTCATGAGGCTGTAAAAGAAATCAGATCAGAAGCTAGGCGTGGTGGCTCAAGCCTGTAATCCCAGCACTCTAGATGCTGAGGCAGGAGGAGCTGGGAGTTCGAGATCAGTGTAGGCTACAAAGTGAGTTCAAGGCCAGCCTGAACTCCATAGCAAGACCCTGTCTCAAAAAGACAAAAAAAAAAAAAAAAAAAAAAAAAATTCACATCAGAAATAATATCATCTCAGGTAAAAGATGAAATGACAAACAATATAAGGGCTGCTAAGTATATCTAAAGAAGATACAGATAAAAAGAGAAGCATGGGAGAATGAGGGAAACATTGAATGAACAAGAAAATTGGAATGTATGAAACAGATTCAAAGAAGTATCCAGGAAATTAAAAGCTCAATTGAAAGTTGGCAAAACCAGCAACTTTTGAATGAAACTTGAAGATAGATTGGAAGGCAAGATGACAGCACTTGTGAATGGAAAGATCTCTTAAAAACAACAAGGAACCAGGAAGAAACAATTCAACGGCTGTAAGATGACCCCAAAATAATTTGAGAATGATAGGTTTCAGTGAAAAAGCAGGAGTCAACACAAATGATGTAAAGAGACTATTTATAGAAGTAATAATAGAGAACTTCCCAAGCACAAATGAGTGAGGCATATAGAACTCCAGCTAGCCATAACCAAAATAAATCTGTACCCAGCCACACAATAATCAAGATCTCAGAAATGTAGCGCAAGAACAGAAAATTAAAGGCTGTTAGAGAAAAGAAACATCACCTATAAAGGAAAACCCATCAGAATCATGACAGACTTCTTAACACAAACTATGAAGTCAAGAAGAGCTTGAACAGGGGCTGGGGATTTAGCTCAGTGGCTTAAGCGCCTGCCTTGCAAGCAGGCAGTCGTGAGTTTGATCCCTGGTACCGATAAAAAGGAAAAAGACCAAAAAAAAAAAAAAAAAAAAAAAAAAAAAGAAGAGCTTGAAATATTTCAGGTCTTGAAAGAAAACAACTTCCAACCCAGATTGAGGTAATCTGCAAAATTGTCTTTCAAAATTAATGAAGCGGGGCTTGGTGGAATGTGCCTGTAATTCCAGCACTCAAGAGGCTGAGGCAGGGAAATTGCTGTGATTTGAAGGCCAGCCTGGGCTACAAAGTGAGTTCAAGGCCAGCCTGGACTACAAAGTGAGTTCAAGGCCAGCCTGATCTGCATGGCATGACCCTGTCTCAAAAATACAAAAACTGTTGGATGTGATGCTGCACAGTATAATCCCAGCACTTAGGAGGCTGAGGCAGGAGGATTGCAGCAAGTTCAAGACCAGCCAGGTCTCAAGGACAGTTTTAACTGCATAGTGAAACCTTGTCTCAAAAAGAGGAAAAAAAAAAAAAAAGACAACAGCAATGACAAAATTAATGGAGAAATAAGGTATTTCCATGATAAAGAACAACTGAAGGAATTCATTACCACCAAACCAACCTTACAGAGAATACTGAAGGATATTCTAAAGAGATAAAAATGACTATGGTCTCAGGAATAGCAGCACAGTGGGATTACCAAGTGGGACAGACAGTTGAATGGAGGGGAAAAGTGGGGAGCCAGTAGCAGGAAAAAAGCATGGCAGTGATGAACCAGTTCGTGTTGGCTGTAACCATTAATGTAGATGGCCTCAGTTCACTGATACAAAGAAACACAGGCAGAATGGATCAAGAAACAAGATCCATCAATATGTAATATACAAGAAACACATTAACTTGAAAGGAAATTCATAGACTGAAAGTTAAAGGAGAAACACAATGCTGCATACAACAGGGAACCAGAAAAAAGCAGGGGTAGTTTACCTATCAACTGCATAAGGGATAAGAAAGAAACAGCATATTTATACAATGGAAAACTGCTCAGATGTAAAGGATAATCATGAGGCTCTTGTAGGTAAATGGATATAACTGGAGATCATGCTTTTGGGGAAATGGTTTGGATTCACATAGGTGAACATCCATGTTGTCTCCCTAGTATAAAAAACTCAAGAAGTAGATCCTATGAAAGTGCAAAGGGAGGAAACATCTAAAAGGGAAGGGGAGGTAGTCATTGTTAATTCTCTATTATTTCATTTTAAAGTCTTGTTCTCATTGTTTCGTTTTGATTAGTTTAATTCTGTTTTGCTAGGTTTGACTGTATTTTATTTTTTGGTACCGGGGATTGAACTCATGACTTTTGCACCTGCCAGGCAAGTGCTTAGGCCAATGAGCTAAATCCACAGCCTCCTGGTTTGAGTTTATTATACCTGATAGTATGGGCAGCTGTTTCGAAGATAGCAAGATAAAATATGGTAGCCATTGTTGATTTCCTATTATTTTGTTTTGAAGTCCTGTATTGCTTTCACTGTTGTTTTTTGGTTTTGTTTTGTTTGTTTTGTTTTTCGGTATTGGAGATTGAACTCATGACCTTGTGCTTACGAGGCAAGTGCTTTTGCTGGTGAGCTATATGCCAGGCCTTCACTGTTTTGTTTTGATAGATTTAGTTGTTTTATTTGATTTTGTTAGATCTGATAGTATGAGCAGCTATTTTGAAAACACAAGGCATTATGTGAACCATTATTGATTTCTGATTATCTTGTTTTGAAATCCTGTATCACTTCCCCTGTTTTGTTTTGATTGGCTTTATTCTGTTTTATTTTGTTTGGCTTTATTCTGTTAAAAAAAAAAAACAAAAACTTCTTGGAATATTTTCTGATTGATGCTAAAAGCCTCCAGGCTGGGTGCAGCAGTGTATGTCTGTAATTCCAGCATTTAAGGAGGCTAAGACAGGGTGATCACAAGTATTGTTGTCTTCAAAGTAGTTAGTAAAAGTTACAAGAGCAGTAGTTAGTAAAAGTCACATGGGTAAATGTGATATTGAGAAACTGAAATCGTAAATAACCAAAATGTACAATAAAAGAAATTGTTTAGATAGAAAGAGGAGCTAGGGTAGGGGAAAAGGGAAAGGAAGGAAGCAAGGGAAAAGGGGGGAAAAAAAAAGTTCTGCTACTAGTGTCTATTCATAAAAAAGAAGGGTTTGTGTTAATATTGTTTGGATAATTTTTTGTTTTTTGACACAGGGTCTTGCTATATAATTCAAGTTGACCTTGAACTCAGCGTGTAGCCCAGGCTGGCCTCAGATTGCAGTGATCTTCCTGCTTCTGCCTTCCAAGTGTTAGAACTATAGACGTGTAACACCACGCCTAGCCCTATTTACTAATTTTGCAGAAATTGACATGCAAATCTATAAGTTCATTTGGAAATGCAAAGAAAACACGCATAGCCAAAATAATGTTGAAAAACAACAAATTTTATACTTTCTGGTTTCAAAATTAATACATTGTTACAATAATGAGGAAATTCCAGTACTGTTCCATATATAGGCCTACAGATAAATGGAACAAAATTTAGAGGTTAGAAGAAAAAAAAAAAAAAAATATATATATATATATATATATTTTTTTTTTTTTAATCGGTACCAGGGATCAAACTCATAACTGTGCGCTTCCAAGGCAGGCGCTTATGCCACTGAACTAAATCCCCAGCCCCCAGAAGAAAATATTAACACGTTTACAGTCAATTGATTTTTTTTTTTTTGGTCTTTTTGAAATAGAGTCTCCTGCCCGGCTAGTTAATTGATTTTTGACAAGTATGTAAATATCATTTAATGGGAAAAGAATAATCTTTTCAACAGATAATAGTAGAACAACCCAAAGTCCTCCTGCAAAAGAATGAAACTGGATTGTTACTGCACACCATGTTTAAAATTAACTCAAAATGTGTTGTCAGGGCTGACAGCATAGATCAGAAGCAGAGCACTTGCCTAGCATGCCTGAGGCTCTGGGTTTAATCCATGAGTGTCAAAAAAACCCCATCAGCCTAAATTTAGCACTAAATAACTTTTTAAAAAAGACAGGAGTAAGTCTTTACAACTTTTAATGAAGCAGTGATTTTTCTTTTTTTAGCTGTAACACCAAATGCGTAAGCAATAAAATAAAAAAGTTAATATATTAGATTTCATCAAAAGGAAAAAGATACCAGGTATGGTGGTGTATGCCTGTAATCTCAGCACTCAGGAGGCTGAGGCGGAGGATTTACGAGTTTGAGGCTGTCCTGGGCTACAGTGGGAGTTCAAGGCTATTGAGACCCTGCCTCAAAACCAAAACAAACAAACAGGACCAGGAGTATAGCTTAGGGGTAGTACACTTGCTTTGCTTTCATGATGCTTTGGTTTCAATCTCCAAAAAGAGAAAAAAACTTAATACCAAACTAACAAGCAGTTGGTTATCACTTTATTCTTACTATGTTGGCTATTATGAAAAAGATATGTAAACAATAACAAATGTTGGCAAAGATTTGGAGAAATGTAGAACTCTTATATAGTGATTGTGGGACTGTAAAATGGTTTTACTGCTTTTGGAAATGGTCTGGCAGTTCTTTTAAAAGTTAAATATTGTTATTGTCTGACTTAGCAGTTCCATTCAAAAAGGGCTGAAAGTATATGTTCACACAAAAACTCTAGACTAGGCTGGGTGTGGTGGTGCACACCTGTAATCCCAGCACACAAGAGGCTGAGGCAGGAGGATTATTGTGAGTTCAAAACCAGCCTGGGCTACAAAGTGAGCTCAAGGCCACTTGCATAGTGAGACCCTGTCTCAAAAAGACACAAACAAACAAACAAAACCCCTATAGACTAATGTTTATAGTAGCATTATTCTAAATAGCTTCAAAATAGAAACAACCCAAATTACCATTTAATGACAAGTGGTAAAGAAAACATGGTATATTCACACAATGAAATATTATTGGGCAATAAAAAAGTACTGGTACATGTTACAAAGATGAAGTTTGAACCCATGCTAAGTGAGCGTAAACAGGCAAGGTTTCTGTTTATATGAAATGTGCAATAGGAGGAAATTTATAGAGACTAAGAGGAGGAGGAGGAGCAAGTGACTTAATTGGCTATGGAATTTCTTTTCAGGATGATGAAAATGTTCTGGAATTAGTGGTGAAGTTGCATAATTCTGTGAAGATATCCACCTTTAAAAGGATGAACTTTTTAACATATGAGTCATATATCTCAGTAAAGCTGCCTAAAATTTTTCAGATAATAATAGACCTAGATTATTTAGAGACGAGATCTTGTGACTGAGGCTAGGAGTCAAAGCATGGAGAAGCTGAGGTTTGGAGAATGTGGAAACATTATTCACTTAGTGGTTTCCTTTTCTTGCTCCGATGGCTAGCCTATGGATGATAGTCTCATTGCCTTCAGAACCCGTTCTAAGATGCCCCTGAAGGATGTTCCTCTGGGCCAACTAGAGGCAGAGCTTCAAGCTCCAGACATCACCCCTGATATGTATGACCCCAATACAGCTGACGATGAAGACTGGAAGATGTGGCTAGGGGGACTCATGAATGATGATGTGGGGAATGAAGGTAAGTGATTTCGTTTGCATCTATCACTTGCTCTACTCATTATGGTAAAGTTTTCACTAATTGGAAGTCTAAAGAATGGGATTGTGTGGACTAGGGGTTTAGCTCAGCAGTTTGAATGCTTGCCTCGTAGGTGCAGGGTTATGAGTTTGATCCCTGATACCAAAACAAAAAGAAAAACAGAAGAATGGGATTGTGGAAGCTGAGGATGTAGTTCAGTGGTAGAGCATGTGCAAAGCATGTGGAAAAAGCTCTGGGCTTAATCCCCAGCAACAACCACAAAGTAAAAAATGTGGTTGTGTCAGAAAAACAGCGTCGTATTTTTCTTCTGTTCTTAAGCTATAATTAACACATAGAATGACTGTGATCTCCGAAAGTATAGAAATTTCTCCTTACCACTACGCAAACAATTCTGCAGCTATAGACATCAGCTGAGCCTCTGATTCCATTCAATACTATGTACCTTAATACAGCCTTAGATCCCAAAGGTTGAGAGCTCAGTCCCCAATACTACCAACTTTTAGATGCAGTTGCCCAAAGGAAGAATGTTACCAGAACTGAGGAAGAACTATTGATCACATAAAAGTTTGGATGGAAATAGACTAAACAATTGGATAGATAGGTAGTTGAAACTAGAGTATATAATAAGACTAAGTAAGTGAACAAAAATAATAAGTCCTTGAATGTACTTTATCATGCTGTTAATCATTATTTTGTACATCATTTGGCAAATGTTTATTAAGTATTTTTCTCATGTAGGCATCCTGCTATGGTCTGTGAAAGGTAAAAGAATCTAACTTGTTTCATCTGGAAATAAAATCTATATGAATATCAGAGTACCTGGCCCATTACTAGGTTCTTAATATACTCATTTTTACTTTATTTCATTTTATTTTTTTAAGAGATGGGATCTTGCTATGTTATTGCTACCTGGCAGTATTGCTGTCCTTGAACTCTTGAGCTCAAGCAACTCTCCTGTCCCAGTATGTCAAGTAGCAGGTATTATAGGTATATGCCACCACGCCCAGCTTGTGAGATTTTGGAAAAGGAAAAGGTAATTCTTGTTTAGGAAGTTCAGTTATAGCTACATAAAAGAATTGAGTGGGCGAGGAATTTAGCTCAGTGGCATAAGCACCTGCCTGACAAGTGTGAGGTTGTGAGTTTAATCCCTGATACCAACAGAAAAAAAAAAAAAAGAAGAATTGCGTGCTTGAAATGGACCTTTGTATTAGTCAGCTTTCCTATTACTGAGACCAAGTACTGAATACTCACAGCTTTCCTCTAGGACAGAAAGTTTGCCTTGGCTCATGGTTTTTGAGGACTCAGTCCATGTTTGGATAGCTTCAAGGCAGAAATATTGTGGCAGAGCAGACCTGCTCATTTCATGATGACTGTGAAGTGTAGTAGGGGAACAGTGCCAGAAAGAAAAGGGATAGAGACCAGATCATATCCAGGGTCATACTTCTAGGACCCACCCACATACACCCAGAAGGTTCCCAAGCCAGCCAGCCTAAGCTTAACCATTACAAACTTTGAAACCATTACAACCTTAATTTTGAACATGATGATGACAGGGAAAGAAGACTATTTCCCATTAGTGTGTTCCGTAACGGCCTAAGCTTCTGGGCTTTCTTATTCACCCCTTTGATAATCTGATGAAAACTTTTAAGCTTTTCTCCCCCAAATTGTGTATATTTATATACAAAAAATTTCTGTATAATTTTTTCGGTGTGTGGGGGTTTGCATTAATCTCAAAATTCACTTATTGAAGTTTCTTATTTTTAACAGCTCTCCTAACAGAGCTGTCCAAAGATGTTTGACACCAGGCTTCAAATTCTTTGCACAAAGAAATGACTAGGACAGAGTTCTGGCCCAGTGGTAGTGAACCTGTGGCATACATGCCACAGTGGGCTATTTATGTCATTGAAAGTTCTAAAAGGTTTACCATTTCTGTTGTAGTTTGTTTTGTGGTACTAGGTTTTGAACCCAGGGCCTTCACACTAAACTACATCCACAGCCCTTTTTTATGTTGAGATAGAATCTCAATTGAAAAGTTGCCAGGCTAAGTTTGACTTTAGCATCCTCTTGCCTCAGCCTTCCAGAATGCTGGGATTATAGGTGTGTACCTCTAAACCTGGCTAATATATTTAGTAGATAGTAAAATCTGAGGAAAATTTATTGTCTGGCTATGTTGTAGAGTCATTTTGTTCTATTACTAGGACTAAAACTCAGTTTAATATTTGAGGAACATGTTTCAATCACAGGGTCTCTTGGCAATTTAATTTTTGTTGTTGTTTCTTTGTTTCAGACAGAGTCTTGCTATGTAGCCCAGGATGGCCTTGAATTCACTGCAGTTCTCTTGCCTCAGTCTGCCAGGTGCTGGAATTATAAGCACCTGTTTTGTTACGTTTTTTATGTTGCCAAGCTAAGTTTGACTTTAACATCCTCTTGCCTCAGCCTTAAGGAATGCAAAGTCTGTTTTTTTGTCTTTGGTCTAGGCCAGTGATGGCACTTCAGTGATACTAACAGCCTATGCCATAAGTTTACTAACACTGATCTAGGCTATTAGAAAATAGGCCCAGGGATTTAGCTCAGTGGCCTAAGTGCCTGCCTGGCAAGCACGAGGTCATGAATATGATCCCCAGTCCCAAAATAAAAAAAAGAAAAAAAGAAAATACTGATAGTAAAGTGCATTCTTAAACTTTTTTATTAGTAACAACTTTGATGGTTTTAACTTTCTCATGAGGTTTGTTCAGAAGATGAGATGGTTATATTAGGAGGAAGGGCATGCACCTTCACACCCAGTAGGAGAAGTAAATTTAAGTAATATTCCTTCACCAAATGAGAACTGACCAAGAAACAATAATGACCAGGTAGTTTCTTCAAATGTACTGGCTGTTGGGAGTTGGGGAGTGTCAGCAGTCAGCAGTATTTCTCATAACGATATGTAGAATTTGAATCAGAATTAAGCAGCTGGGGTGGCACACGCCTATAATCCCAGCATTTGGGAAGCTGAGGCAAGAGGATTGCCTTGAGCTCGAGGACAGCCTAGGCTACATAGTGAGGTCCTGTCTGTAAAACAAACAAACAACTGAGAATGTGAGGTGGTGTTTACTGAGGGTACAGTTTCTAGGGCCTCCCTTCACGCTTCCTGAATATAAAGTGCATGGCTGTAATGTGGGTGTGTAGTTCTTAGTGTCCTTGGCTTGGAAGGAGTCCAAGTATGTTATAGATTGACTGGTGGAAAAAAAAAAAAAGATTGACTGATGAAATGAACTGATGGTTGGGGAGAGAGTAAAACCACTTTAAAACTGTAACATGAACTGGATGTGGTAGCGCATGTCTGTAACCCTAGCACTTGGGAGAATGAGAAAGGAGGATTGTTGTGAATTTGAGACCAGCCTGGGTTACAAAGTAAGCTCCAGGCTACCCTGAATTGCATAGTGAGACCTTGTCTCAAAAAGACAAAACAAACAAACAAAAAACAAAACATACAATTGCAGCATGTTTTTCTGTGCCTATTAAGAAGTTTAAAAAAAAACAACAACACCCAAAGCCAATGATAAACATTGTAGCCCTGTGTCTACCAGCTGTATTTACTGAGGTCTGGAAAAATAGGAAATGATGCTAGCTGTAGAATCCCAATACAAAACTATCACCATATGCTGGTCTATTATTGTAGCATCATATGCCTCACTAATGTTTTCTCATGTTTCTAGTACCATCTGATCTGTGTGTTGTTTCAAGAGCTTATTTGTAGGACATAATTAAGAGAGCATTGAGGGGCATACCAACCTAAGATTAGCTGGGTAGACACTGGCTAATCAGAACTCAGAAAAGATCTTCCTAAATGGTTTTCAACATATTTGCCAAATGGGTGTTCTGAGAAAAATATTGGTCAACCTATCTGTATGGTGTAGGCAGGAGCTGTCTATTAGAGTTCTTGCACCCAAACAGATGGGGTCCAAGTGTGTACTTAGTACCCATATGTCACAGGCTATTCCCAGAACTTCCATGATTGAGCCACATTTATAAAGAGCCTGTTGTGAAGACTTACATAGAATATACTTTGGTGATTGGGAAGACAAGATTCTGTTCCTTAGGAATTCAGGAATTTTGTTTGTTGAGATGAACCCATAATTGATCAAAAAGACTCAGATTTAGTGCATATTAATATGTCATGAACTGAGTGTAAATTCTGAGTAAGAAGTTATCAGGTTAGATTTATTTTACTTAACATTATGGTATCAAGGTATGCTTTATTCTTTCTTTCTTTTTTGCTTTCTTTCTTTCTTTTATTAAGACAGGGTCTTCCAATGTAGTTTAGGTTTGCCTTAAACTCACTATGTAGCCCAGGCTGGTTTTGAATGCTCAGTAATCCTCCTGCCTTAGCCTCTTGAGTGCTGGAATTAAAGGCATGTGCTACCATGCCTGGCCTGCCCATACAGTTAAGTGAAATAAACCAGGCACACAAGCTTAAATATCGCACAGTTTCTCATATATGAGAAACCCAAAGCATAAGTAAAGAGCAAAATGAAAAAGAAAATAATAGGAAACAGAGATAGATCTTTTGCAAATGGAAAGACACTAAGAGATAGAGGGAGAGCAAAAGAAAGGGAAAGGAAGAAGTAAAAAAAAAAAAGATGCATAATGTGCATATTTCATCTCCCCAAAATGAGTGTAATCATTATGTACTGCAAATATGTACAGTACTAATAAAAATAACAGTTTGAAAGAAAAATGAAATTTATGTAAAAAAGATACAAGGTTAATCGTAAAGTTTCTCAATAACTGTAAATCAAAATATGTGTATAATCTAAGAGATGCTCCTCAGCCTAGCTTATGTGAGACCTTGAGTTCTGTCCCTAGCACTGCACACACAAAACAGAAAAGGACTGGCACACACCTGTAATTCCAGTACTTGGGAGATAGAGGCAGGAGGGTTGCTGTGACTGTATAGTTTAAGGCCAGTAAGACCAAAATCTTGTCTCAAAAAAAAAAAAAGAAAGAATGAAAGAAGAAAAAAGATAAGCACCGTGGTATGTACCAGCTATTCAGGATGCTAGGTAGAAGGATCTTACTGAGCCCAGAAGTTTGAGACTATGTTGGGGAGCACAGCAAGAACCCATCTAAAAGATAAAATTAAAAAAAGGGAAAAAAACGTATGTATTACTTTTAACAAAAGATTCCCATTTTTCATGAAAAATGAAATGGAATTCCATAAAGCGAGTTATACTCTTCAAACTTGTGGTGTTGCTTTATAGATATTCTTTATGTATTTAATCAAGCATATATTTCAGATTTTTTCCCACCAAAATAATAATATACATATTCTATGTCTACAGCTTTTTCCTTTCTTTAATGATATAATTTAGATTTTTAAAAATTATACCATACAGAAATCTCTACTGTTTAGTGAATGCACAATAGTAAGGAATTTAGTTATTCTCTTTATGGTAGTCCTTTTTTTTGTTGTTGTTTTTCAGTTCAATTCCACAGATGCACTGGCCATATTTCAAGTTCTCAGTAGTCCCATGTGGCTAGTAGTTATTGTATTAAATGTATCTCTCTGAAAATGTTCATTGATGACCAAAGTACAACACAGTATCTTGTATAATAATCACAAGTACAGCAAATTGTGTTTCTGCAATAAGAGCCATAAGTGAATACAAATGAACAAAAACATTTGTTAGGGTAGTAGAAGTACTAAAAGTACAGATCTTTGTTTCCTTAGTAATCAAATTTTATGTGAATAACAAGTACAAAGAAGAATAAATTTGTTTCATTGGAACAGATTGTTACAGCATTGAATATCTTAGACTGCAGATATGAGTTCAGAGTAGGCAATGTGAATCCAAAACGTTTTTCTTCCCTAGATGAAGCAGATGATGATGATGATCCAGAATATAATTTCCTAGAAGATCTTGATGAACCTGACACAGAAGATTTTCGTACTGACCGGGCAGTGAGGATCACCAGTGAGTCTGTTCTTATGAATCCTACTGTTGTCTGCGTCATGTTTATCTTTTGTGTACTCTGTAGGTTTTCAGAAGGGATGTTCACAGTCCATCTAAGTTAAGACATTTAAGTTTCCTGTGTTTGTTTGTTTCTATAATACTTTAAATATATAGTTGTTGCATATGTCAGGTATTTTCTTCTTCACCCTGTAGTGGTGCGTCAAGTTCTCACAATTCGGTAAGGTTTGGCAGTACCAGGATGAATTAAGACATGGGCTGTGCCCTGTGATGGGAGTGAGTTCAGCAAAAGGAGTTGTAATACAGAGTGACAGAGAAGATTGTCTTGAAGCGGTTGTCCTCTTCTAAGGTGGAGTAAGGAGCAGGCTGAGAAGTTTATGAAAGTATTGAAGGAAGAATAATATTTTTAGAAAACAGGAACTGAGAGGGACATTACAGATCGAAGTGCACCTGCAGGGGACTGGGGGTTTAGCTCAGCGGCATAAGTGCCTGCCTTGCAATCAGGCAGTCGTGGGTTCGATCCCTGGTACCGATAAAAAGGAAAAAGAAAAAAAAAAAAAGAAAAAAAAAAAGAAGTGCATCTGCAATCCTTAAATTGTAAAGCAACAAAAAATGCATTGGGAAAATAGTGACTAGTTTGGTGTAGTTGTGTGAATGAGTGAGTGGTGGTTGGAAAGATAAATAGTGTTAGAATCTTAGGGATCTTTGGACTTTCAGAGGTTTTGTTTTGTTTTGTTTAGGTTTTATTTATTTTACAGGGTTTCACTCTGTAATTTAGGTTGGCCTTTAACTCTCTACATAGCCCAGGCTAACCTTGAACTCAGAACAATCCTCCTACCTCAGCCTTCAAAGTACTGGAATTACCAGCATTCACACCACACAAGCCTCTCACCAGTGTTTATATCTGACTTATGAAGGCTTTCCTGCCCCGCCAGGGGTAGTACTGGGGATTGAACTCAGGCCCTTGTACAAACTTCCCCCTACCTCCCACCCCCCACCATGGAGCACAGTGATAAGCATATTTTTGCAGATGTGTTTAGGCTAGAAGGGTATAGGTAGAAGGGAGAGGAGACAGGAGAGTGAATGTATTATGTGCAAGGAGAAATGACAGAGACCACGACCTCCTTTAGCTCTTGCAGTTTCTTTCTCTTTGTTTTCTACATCTTCAGGATATGCATGCCATGTCAGTCTCTCTTCATAAAACAGTATCACAGTTTGTGGACATGTTCACATTAGCTTCTTTTGCAAGAACCAGGTCAGCCTCTTCCATGTTTTTCCATTTCATTAGGAACATTACATCATCACTGGAATGTGTTGCCCCAGTAATTCTTTCTGGTTCCAGTCTTCTCTCAATGCCTGGAGTTATATCGTTCCTCTGGTCTCTCTCTTTTGGATTTGATATCATCAGCTGTGTTCAAGAAACTGGATTTCTTATTACTTTCTGACTTTACCCTGGATTTATTATTCTTACTCTCCTTCATCTTACAACTTTCTTATAACTCAGAAATAAGCTTAGAGTAGTCCAAGCTTTTCTTTAGTTCTCAAGTATTGTGCTTCTTTGAAAAGCCTTTTTACTTTAGCAGATACTCCGTTTGCCTGTTAGCCATGCACCTGACACTTTCTTTATGACCCACTCCTCCTCAGCCTCTTAATTTTCTTTCCCATATTGTATACTTTTCTACCTGAAGGACTAAGGCCATTGGGTCCTAGTATAAATCTGCCCAGGCAAGACCTGGGACTGAGAGTGATCACTCACATTAATGTCTTCCCTGTTCCTCTGTGGTAAAGCTGGACACAAGCCACTGCTGCTGGTGCCTTCTGTTCAACCTCTTGTGCATGCTTTTTGAAATTTTATTTTGAAACAATGTTTTGTTAAGTTGCCCAGGCTGACCTTGAGTTTGAGGTCTCTCTTCCTTAGCCTCTGGAGTAGCTCTGGGATACAGTTGTGGGCCATCATACTGGTTAAGATTTTCATTGCGTTTTACTGAGCTGAGTCTTCTGGATGTAGTGTGAGGCTCTGCTGTGGTCAGGGATATATTTATCTTTTTGGTGTAACTGGGACATCTTGAACTTGAAGTCAAGCAAAACTGTTTAGGTCTTTTTCAGATTTTTAGGCCATTCCATCTTTTTGAGCACTTAGCTGATTTTTAAAAAAAAATCCATAATATAATACTTAATATTTGAGCTTCTTGTATTCTATAGTTGATTGAGAAAACAGAATTTTGAATCTGTTATCAATTGGATCTTCACCTAGCTTCTATTACTATGTAACAGCTCCCTATCATGTACAAATTTATAAATGTACTTTTTAAAATCTTCTGTCATTGATGATGTCTTGGTTACTTTTCTCTTATTGCTCAGACAAAAGATGCCCAAAATGAAGGGAGGAAAGGTTTATTTAGCTTATAGTTTTTGGAGGTTTCAATCTATACTCAACTGGGTCCAAAGCTGGTGGTGTGGCTAAGCAGTAGCTGTTCATGGCAGTTACAAGTGACAGGGGTGAAAGGGCAAAAGGGCAAAGCATGTCTCCTTCCCTCTCTTACATAGTATGCTGCACACCCACCTCTGGGTGGATTCAGTCCTCACCACGAATCCCAGCACTAGACAATAAACCAATCACAAATGCTAGATTCATCCACCTCCATAACTGCATGAGGCTTGAGGGTCATCCAAACATAAGCTGTAACAGATGGAATGGCTGAATACTTCAGGTCTAAAGATACAGTGCTCTGACGTATTTTGGGAGACTTTCTCTTGGTTCCATTTGGTGCTATATGGGCCAACCAACTATGAGATTATTTAATTGTAGAATCATTCAACTCACATGTGTCTTTCTACTAAATTTTAAGCTACATGAAAATATAACTTTTTTTTTTGAGACCGAGTTTTTCTGTGCAGTTCAGGCTGGCCTTGAGCTCACTTTGTAGCCCTGGCTGGTCTCAAACTCGCAACAATCCTCTTGCCTCAGCCTCCCGAGTGCTGGGATTACAGGCATGAGCCACCATGCCTGGCTAAAAGTATGTTATCTCATGTTTGCAAGCATTTAGGGCCACAGTTGAGGAATAATTGGTCTTCAGTAAAGCGTTTTTGACTTGAATGAAAAGTATTTACGAACATTTTGTAACATTTTGCTGGAAGCGGGATGCATGTTTTCGTAAAGTTCCCCCTTATTGTCAAATGGAAATAATTTTTGCCAACAATGTACTTTTTCTTTCATTTTTTTTTTAACAGAAAAGGAAGTAAATGAACTGATGGAAGAACTGTTTGAAACTGTGAGTAATGATACTTGAATAAGATCATATGATGAAAGTAGATTTTTCGGCAAGCTCCAGCCTTTGGTTTGGGATTCTGTTTCTTTTTATTTTATTTTATTTTATTTTATTTTATTTTATTTTATTTTAAAAAGAGAAAAGTCAGAAAAAAAAAAAACCCCAAAAAACAAAAGGCATAACAACAGCAAACTCAAGACAATAACAATATAGGTTTTCAAAACAGAATGAAAGAAATTTTTACAGTGGTGGTTACATTGCATATTCTCTTTTGTTTTTCAAAGAAAGAAAATTAAAGAAAATAGAAAAAACAGAAAAGAAGGGTAGAATAATACTGAATTAAAAAAAAATTATCATCATAGAGTTGCTAGTTGATACATTACTCATTGTCATCTTAAAAAATAGTTGTCAAATTCGCAAAATCAAAGCATAAATAGTTGCTAGACACTCAAACATTGACAGTGCAAATCTTTCTGTTTAATGTTCCAACAGAAATTCAGTAATAGGGGGTGGGGATTTAGCTCAGCGGCATAAGCACCTGCCTTGTAAGCAGGCAGTCGTGAGTTCGGTTGCTGGTACTGATAAAAAAGAAAAAGACAAAAAAAAAAAAAAAAAAACCCAGAAAACAAAAAAAAGAAATTCAGTAATATAGTCATCTATCTTACACACTGTACATACCATTTTACTATTTAAAGAGCACTTTCCTTCCCTTTCACTTTCACAATATCTGTTATACATTTTGGATCCCATTATTCTGCCAGTGTTTATTATTTTTAGATTGGAGAGACAATGTGATATTTACTATTGTGAGTCTTGTTTATTTCACTATTGGGGATATTTCCAAGTTGCCTCCATTTACCTATAAAACCCTCAAGATCATCATTCTTTATGGCTGAGTAGTATTCCATTGTATAAAAATACATGATGCTTGTGCTACTGAGTTCAATCCCAGCCCTTTAAGAGATATTTCTAAAAGAGTGGTTGTTTTTGAGTTATTAAGTCAGTCCTGACCATTATAAGTTGGCTAGTTGAGAGATTTTTTTTTTTGGCATAATAGTTACCCTAAATGTGGGTTTCTGTGAGTCTTAAAGTGCAAACCCTACCTGGTGGCATCATGATTAAAGTCCTGTAATCTATAGTTTTTACTTACCTGTGTTGCTATGGGAGTGACTTACAGAGGCCATTTCTCCAGGAAACCCTCCTTTTCTTTGCCTTTAGTTCCAAGATGAGATGGGGTTCTCAAACATGGAAGATGATGGCCCAGAGGAGGAGGAGCGTGTGGCTGAGTCTCGGCCTAATTTTAACACACCTCAAGCCTTACGGTATGCTGGCCATAAACCTTAAGATTTAAAATAAAGAAATGTATGTTTCTGGACATCATATTAAATAATTTCTCCTCTTCAACTGTCTTCTGTTAATCATGTAAGGATGCAGAGTGCTGAAGGGACTTAGGTGGTAAGTGAAAAATCTCCTTGTTAAGGGGCAGTACAGCAGACTAAGCTGTATCTGTTTGGGAAGGGAGAAAGAACAGCAGCTGGCATCTGATCACGGCTTCTCCAGGAGAGTGGTGCTGGAGAAGTATATAGGACTGTATGTGGCCAGCCACAGAAACTGCTCTAAATTATGGTAACTGTTCTATCTCTTTCATCTTTCTTACTGCCATTAATGTCTGGTAGATGGGACTGAAAGTTTCTTAGTCACCTAGGTATTAATTGAGCAAGCAATATAGCACCTTCTATAATGTCCCAGGAGTTAGAAATAAATGCACTGACCTTTTCACACTAAGTTGGTAAGTTTTTTTTTTTTGCAGTGATGGGGAATTGAGTCCAGGTACTTCACACTGAGCTATGTTCCCATCCCTTTTTATTTTTTACTTTGAGACAGGGCATTGCTGAGTTGCTCTAGTTAGGCTCAAATTTGCCATCTTCCTGCGTAGTTTCTTAGAGTCCTGGAATTAAAGTAATGTACCACAAATGTATTCCACTTATCTGGCTGAAGTTGGCAGATAGTAGATGTTTTAATTTTCCCCTTGTAATGGATTTGGATCACCTTTACTTTTCTTCTTTTTCCTCCTCTCCCCTTCTCTCTCCTCCCCTTCCTGTACTAGAGATTGAACCCAGGGCCTTCACACTACCCTACATGCTCTGTCCCTTTTCTTTTTTTTGGTACTGGGGTCCGAACTCATGACTTTGTGCTTGCCAAGAGATTTTGCCACTGAGCTAAATCTCTGGCCTCTATTTGAGGCAAGGTCTTGGTAAATCATTAAGTTGTCTAAACTGGGCTCAAACTTCTGGCTCACCTGATTCTACTATTACAGGTGTGTGCCACCATGGATCTGTCCTTCAGTCTTTTGTTACCTGTTGTTAGTGAAAGCATATAGTTACTAGATGTGAGAATGGACATTGACCAAGTTATAAATAAAAATTAAAACTGGCTAAGAATTGTGAGAAGGGAGGCAAAGCTCTAATTGCAATATAAGAGAAAATGAGGAAGGGACTTGAGTTTAACCGAAAGAACTACAGTGGGAGAGCATGGCATTGATGAGAAGATCAGGCTAGTCTGTGATGAAAGGCCAGCGTTGTCATCTTTTTGTTGCTTTTTGATTTTTGGTTTTTAGTTTTTGATTTTTGGTTTTTGGTTTTCTGAAACAGGGTTATACAATGTAATTCAGGCTGGCCTTGAACTCATGATGATCATCTGTGATCCCTCAGTTTCCCAGGTGCTGGGATTACTGACATGAACCATCATGCCCAGCTAAGGGGCCTTTTATGGGATATTTGGTAATAGTATAAAATTTCTTAGAAAATTTTCCCTCTGTTTGAAAGGATTTCTTCATTTTATAAAATGTTCATTTTATATGATATTGTCCTTGGGCAGAGGATTTAGCTCATTGGTGTAAGTGCCTGCCTGGCAAACACAAAGTCATGAGTTTGATCCCTGGTTACAAAAACAAAAACAAAAAGATACTGTCCTTATTCTTGGAGACATCATGGTGCATCCCCCACATCAGTATGCTGGCCAGTAGCTCCTATTGTCAGTATCAGGAATCCGGCCAAGAGTCCCAATTATCAATATCAGGAATGTGGTGAGAAAAATATAAAAAACAGAGACAAGAATCGTATTCCAACAATGGCTGGGAAGTCAGTGTCTCTGGATCTGAACCCTCTACTCCCAAATCAGCCACTATGGATTTGCTGCATACTGTGAATAGGTGAGGCTAGTGAAAAATCACAGTTCATCTGAAGACTCATGCGATCAAACTCATGACCTTGCACTTGCCAGGCAGGCCTACCTTGAGCTAAATCCCTGGCGGTATAGGTAAACTTATGCTTAGAAATATTTTGACCTTGAGTATAATCCTGAGATAACTCAAGGGTGGATGATTTTATGCTTAGAAGTATCTTGACACTGAATATGATCCTGAGATGACTCAGGAAGGTATAGATGATCCCATGCTTGGAAGATCCAATGGGAAATTCCAGATGGGTGATATCAACAGTCCAATCCTTCCTTTTATCCCATAGAGAAATACGCAAAACCAGTCACTGAGTTGGTGGTGGTTGCCACCCCCCATTCCCCCACCCCCCGTCTGCCGTCTTGTACTTGGTCCTTTCAGTCAGAGTAATGGGATAAGGAAGGGCACATTTGATATAGTGTTGGTAAAAAGATATGTTTTCACTTTCAGTGAGCAGTAAGTCGTGAATTAAGGGTCAACACTCCCTCCATCTCTTCTCCCTGTGAAGTTTTCAGTTCTGTTTCAGTTGTGTGACCAGAGGTCCGGGTACAGCAGTGATAACAGCCCTGCAGCCTCTTGTGAGTCCTGCGTTTTAATGTAATAGCACCACCTAAGAAGGCAATTTGGGATTCATCCGGAAACTAGAATTTCAGGGACTGTGTGCTTTAGTGAAAAGGACAAGTTACACTAATTAGTGTGTACAAACCATAAATACCCATCGTACTGTATTTTAACAAATACCATAATAACCACCCCAAAAATCTTACAATTATTAGGGTCAGGATTCAACCTACTTTAAGTCATATAACAAAGTTCTGGTTTAGCAGAATGTAACCATTCTTCTTGGGGATGCATTATTATGGGATTTGATCTATAAACACATTTTGGTTCTGATTGACTCTGCATGTGATTTTTCAGATTTAGGAATTAATAACTCTTTTAAGATTCCTGTTAGAGGCAAGGTGGTGGCACATATCTATTCCCAGCACTTAGGAGGCCAAGGCAGGAGGATCACCATGAGTTTGAGGCCAGCTTGAAATATATATATATGGTGAGATCTTCTTTATGAAAAACAAAATCAAAAATTTCTCTTAGAATTCAGGTATTTTTTTTCTGAGCATAAATTACCCACTAATAAAATAAAAGTGTATTTCATTATTAAAAAAAAAAGAATTCAGGTATTTTCTTGCATTCCATGTATTACTTGGGCTGCCACTGCTTCTCTTTTAGTCACAAATGGAAACCTGGTTTAATCTTTGTGTGTGTGTGTGTGTGTGTGTGTGTGTGTGGTACTGAAGATTATTGAACCCCCAAGATCTTCCCACTGAGCTGTATCTCCAGAACTTTTTAGTTTTACATTTTATTTTGAGAGAAAGCCTCACTAATATGCTAAAATGTCTAGGCTGGGGTTGATTTGAAGTTCTTTTGCCTCAGCCTCCAGGAGTCCTGGGATTATAGATGTGTACCAGCATACCTAACTATATCATCTATTTCATCATGCTTTCTCTTGTTTTGGGTGATAATAGCACAGTCAGAACTTTTTAGTCTCAGGTCATACAGCTTTACCTAAATCTGAAATAAATATTATAACAAAGATAAACTATAAAAAGAAGTGTCATCTTCATCCTTGAGAATATTAAAAAGGGTTAACATTTAGTTGGGTATAGTGGTGCATACCTATAATCCCAGGCGCCCCCATAATTTGAGGCAAGATCGCTGCAGGTTTTGGGCTAGCCTTGGCTATACTGTGAGTTAGATCAAGGCCAGCCTAGAATGCATAGTGAGCTGGAGACCCTGTTTCAAAACACACTGCGTGTGGTGGCTCAGACCTATAATCCTAGCATTTAAGAGGTTGAGGCAGGAGTATTGCAACAAGAAAGTTAAGGCCAGTATGGGCTGTATGGTGAGTTCAAGGCCAGCCTGAACTGCACAGCAAGACCCTGTCTCAAAAATAAAAACAACTATAAGGGCAACTAAAATGTTATTTTTAACTATTACTACACTCACTATAGACTATAAATATGATAACCTATAGTCATAGCTATATCAGCATGTTTTTCTCCTGACTGCATAGGTTATCAGCATGTGCTTAAGCACTTACATCTCTTTTGTTCTGCTTTTACTTAAAAACTAAAGTGCTAGGATCAGAAATGATCATGCACACGTGTAACCGCAGCATTCTAAGAGGCTGAGGTAGGAGGATACAAATTGAACCCCTGTATGGTCAACATAGGGACGCAGTAAGAGTCTGTCAAAAAAAAAAAAAGAACATGGTAGTGCTTGGTATTTGATTTCTGAGTACTGGGTGTCAAATTAAGGTTAGGAAATTTGAGGAAGAATTCAAAAGGCTAAAAGAAGGTATTTTCATGGAAGATAGTATGGAAATAATTGAATCAACTTTTCAGTTCTGTTCATCAAATTTACCATATATGTCAGTGTATCTCTTTCCTACTTTATTCTGTAAGAGCTTTGAGTTTGTAAGATGGGAAAGCATGACAGTTGAATGGATAAGGACATAGAAGAAACTGGATTTAAAATAGGCGTCACAGATAAATTAGAGAACAAATGCTTTATCTTTAGAAGATTCCATGTCACTATTAAGAACAAACTGCAGAGTAATGTGGGTATCAGTAGATGTGAGTGTGATGAGTTCTCACGAGCTTGTTCATTACTCTGTTATTCAGGTATTTCTCTACCCTAGATTTTGTGTAGTTTTCTCTGCATTGAATATTGTTTAGAAGAGTAATTGTGGAAAAATAGGGTGGAGTCTAATTCAGCATCATTTTATTTATTTTTATTTTGTCCTGGTGCTGGAAGTCATACGCAGAGCCTTGCATGTACTAGACAAGTGCTCTATTCCTGAACTATATTCCTAGCCCCAGAATCATTTTATTTGTTTGTGCTAGCAATTTGGGGGAAATACTCAACTAAGGAGTTTGATGGCTAAAGTGGGGTTTAGGGATTAGCAGCAAATAGATGCTCTCTGTGCTTTCTTAGTGCACCATTAGAAGGAATTGCAAGTGTTGTAGACCTGGGAAAATGTCCATATTCAGTTACCAGATATCTCCCTGTTGAGGGTAGGTTTGAGGAACCATTGGCTAACTTGCTAAATGAACAACATCGGGCAGTAAAGGAACTACTTGAACAGCTGAAGATGAAGAAATCTTCAGCCAAACAGCAACAAGAAATGGAGAAGCTTAAGCCTCAGGCTGAGAAAGTTCATCAGACTCTGATTCTAGATGTTGCGCAGAGGAAGAGACTGCAGCAGCAGATGCAGCAGGTACGACTCTTCTTGGTAATACTGAATTATCTCTGGGCTTGACCCTGACGCCCAGAACGAGCAGCTCTATAGGAGTCTGAGTAACTTCACTGAAACCCTGGGATCCTCACATCAGTTAAACCTTGAGAACGTCATGTTTGTGCCCTATGACTCACCATAAGGATCCTTATAGTATTCAGAATGGGCTTCAGAGAGTCCTTAGAAATATGTTCTGAAATTTATAATAGCCTCAACTGCCATAGAGTTTTTTAATTAGTCACTCTGACTGGATGTTAAACATTCTGTGGTTTATCTTTTTGCTTATGGGAATATACTTGAAAATTTATGCTGTTTCACCATAAGGAAAATAAGTGTGGTAAATTTGCAAACGTTGATAATTTCTGTTTCTGAAATGGCAACATCATAACATGTCAATGTTTTCTTTCCCTTCTCAGCATGTTCAACTCTTGACGCAAATCCATCTTCTCGCCTCCTCCAACCCCAACCTCAGTTCAGAGGCCAGTACCACCAAGATATTTCTTGTAAGGTTCCAGTTGTCACTAATATGAAAGAATTGACTGAAATTAGTAACTCACTTCTCACATTACTCACTGAGTGTAATTTACTTTGATTTTCACTTCCATGGTTTTGGTTTTATACCTTGTTTTATAAAGCTTCCTATGTTTATGTTTACTGATACAATGTAAGCCACTGATTCCAATTATAGTGTATTCAATTTTCTCTTTAGACCAGGTTTTCTATGTCCAGACTGGGCTTGAAATCACGGGGTAGCATATGCTGCTCTCAAATTCAGTCTTTCAGCTTCAGTCTCTTAATCTGAGATTACAAATGTGTGCCACCATGCCTGGTCTGTTTTCTCAGTACTATCCGTCTGCCCTCTCCCACTTTTATTTAAAATTGAACTCAGGGAATTTGCACTGAGCTGCCTCCCAGTCCTGTTTTATGTTTATTTTGAGATTTGGTCCTATTAAGTCATTAAGTTGCACAAATTGGGCTTCAATATGTGATACATTTTATATTTTTATCATGTCCTTCTTGTCTTTGAATCTACCTGATGTCTTCCCCTCGCTCCTTCCCTCCCTCCCTCTCTCTCTGTCTTTTGTTCTTTTCTGAGACAAGGTCTTGGTATGTAGTTGGCCTCAAACTTGGTATGTAGTTGGGGTAATCTTCCTGCCTCAGGCTTCGGAGTGGTGGGATTACATGCATGTGCTGCTTGACCTGCTGGCTTTTACCTGACCGCTTATATTTTTGGTATTGCTATTTTTATTCTTTCTGTATTGGCCATTGAACCCAGGGAGTTCTGACATAGCTATATGCCCAGCCATTTTAAAATTTTGAGATAGTATTACTAAGTTGCTGCATTACTAACTTGTGACCCTGTTGTTTCAGTCTTTCAGAATGTTGGGATTATAAGTGTGCTTTTTTTGGGGGGGGGGATCAAACTCAACCTCACACTTGTCAAGTGAGCGCTTATGCCAGTGTGCTAAATCCCCAGCTCCTAAGCATGCATTATGATACCTGAGTTGATACTGCTGTTTTTTTTTGTTTGTTTGTTTGTTTTTGTTTTTTTTTTACCTTTTCCTTTTTATTGGTACCGGGGATTGAACTCATGACTCCCTGCTTGTAAGTCAGGCGCTTATGCCACTGAGCTAAATCCCCAGCCCCTGATACTGCTGTTTTTATAGATGTTGAATTCATTATCTTGTCATAGCTCCACATTAATGTTTTCTGTATAGAATTAGTTTTGCTGGTGACATTTTGAATTTTTTTTTTTTTTTTTTTTTTCTTAGACAAGATCTTGCTATGTAGTTCTGACTGGCCCACCTTGGCATGGAACTTGATACAGTCATCCTGTGTCAGCCTCCTGAGCTGGGACCATAGGCATGTACCACCATGCCTGACTGGAAGGGCTTTTAAGTTTAAAATATGAAATTCATTACAAATTGCTCTGGGCATGGTGATGCATTCCTGTAATACCAGCACTTGGGAGGTTGAAGCAGGAGGATCGTTGTGAGTTTGAGACTTGCTTGCGCTACAAAAGGAGCTCAATGTGAACCTGAATTACATAGCATGACCCTGTCTCAAAAAATCAGTCATCTCTCTCAAAAACCCCAACAAATTACCCCTGAACTTTTGAATGGGTAATGATAATAATATCTACTTCTCAGGTCTATCTCTTTGGAATTTGAGTAGTATGTTTGCTAATTGTCCAAGCTTCCTTCATGAGCAGCAGAATGTATTAACCTCTTACTGTGTCAGAGGATCTTGATGAGGACTTTGTTCTAGAAGTTATTCAGAGAAATATTTACAAACAATGGCCCTCATTTTTGAGATCTTTAATTTTCCCCTTGGAGCTTGTGGACTGTATCTATAAGGCTGAGAAAACAACAACAACAACAACAAATGAACATATCACACAGTCCCTGAGTGTCTAAGGACTCAGCCAAAAGAAGCTTTCTTTTGTTTTATGTTTTTCTTTTGTTTCTTATGTTTTGGGGGATACTGGGGTTCGAACTCAAGAGCTCACACTTGCCAGACAGGCGCTTATGCCACTGAGCTAAATCCTCAGCCACTCAGCTAAATCCTCAGCCCCAAATCTATTTTATTTTAAGAGAGAAAAAAAAAATTTCAAAACGCAATAATTAGGGGGTAATAATGGTATATACTATTGTTATTTTCAAATCAGTTACTCAGAGCACATATTTATATGTGCTCAATATGCATTCAATTCAGTTGTCCAAACAATATTAGCACAAACCTTTCTCTTCAGTTCACTCAGAGAAATCAGTATTATAACTATTTTAACTATCTTTTGTATGTATGTATATTTTTTTCTCACACTAGTGAAACAGTAAAATGTTTACACATGTGAGTGATTTATTTCCTCAAATTGTATCCATTTACCTATAAAAGTCTCAAGTTTATCCTTTAAAAGAAGTTAATAGAATAATGTTAATTATGACACTGTATTTTTTGTGTACTTTTTTTTGGGTCTACTTTGTAGCAGGAGGAATAGATTCTCATTCTGAGACTCACAGCTACTAATTGCTGGATTTCTTTTTTGTCCTGTTTTCCCAGAAAGAGCTGGGGACCTTTGCTCAGAGCTCCACTGCCCTTCACCACCAGTCCAACCCCATGTTTCAGACATTGTTTCAACCCTGTAACTTGATGGGAGCCATGCAGCTGATCGAGGACTTCAGCACACATGTCAGTGTTGACTGGAGCCCCCCAAAACCTGTGCGCAAGAATGGTAGGGGACAGAGGTGTCAAGTTTTCTGTTGTAGTGAAACATAAATGTCTTAGATAGATACTTCCCTAGGGGTGGAGGACACAAGGGCTCTCTCTGTCTTTTGTCCTGTCTTTGTATCTTTTAAGTTTTATAATTGCACAATAATATTAATGCTTAGGGAAGCCAGGCATAGAGATTACTGGAGACCAGATATGCATGATGTATTGCTGAGAATTAGACTTAACTGATGTATGTTAGGTATTGGATCAAGACAAACTGGGGTCTTTTAAAGGTGAAAGTCCGGGGGCTGGGGATTTAGCTCAGCGGCATAAGCGCCTGCCTTGAAAGCAGGCAGTTGTGAGTTCGATCCCTGGTACCGGTAAAAACGAAAAAGCCAAAAAAAAAAAAAAAAAAAAGTGAAAGTCCAATGGGGAAAATTGGTCATATTTAGGTGGTTATTCTCTTCTTCATTAAAATTGACCCCTGACTCTTTTATTTTTCCGTGATTGTAGGGTAGGCAATACTTTTTTTTTTCCTTTTGGAGATAGGATCTCACTGTATTACTGTAGTCCTTTAGGCTCAGCCTTCTGGAGGATTGGTGTTACAGGCATATGCCACTGTATCTGGTTTCAATGCTAGCCATGTTTAAATTTTATTTTGTGATGGATTTCCTAAATTCCTGAGACCAGCCTCCAATTTGTGATATTCCTGCCTTAGTTGAGGTAGTTGAGATTAGCAGTATATATCACTACTTTGGGTGACACTAGTGTTTTTAGTGTTTTTTTTTTTGAGAAAATATTTGTTGTACTCCATGGCTAAATATTTGCTTATCACGTATTTCCTAATTTAGCAAAGCCATTAGTTGTAGTTTGTTCTGGATTTGGTTTGTATGTGTATTTTGCTTTAAACTCCTGAATCTTATGGTTAAATTCAATACAGTTAAATTTGCATTCATTATATCATAGACACAGATCTCCAAGCTGCTTTTTATTGATAGTTGGCATTGAAAACTTAAAACCAAAATATAGTTATAACTTTGACAGTATCTTGTGTTTTCTTCTGGGCATATAAAAATAACACAGATGTAATAGTTCATGTATATAGAAAGGTAGAGGTCCTGGAATTCAGAGGCTTAGCGCTGAAGACAGAAATGAATGAGACTGAATTGTCTCTTTCCCTTTATGGGTTTTTTTTTCCCCCCAATCTCAGGAGGAATCTGGGAGAACTTAAAAGTTAAGTAAGACTCAAATAAAAATAAAATTTGGAATACCATATTTGTGAGGGAGGTTAAAGAAGTTGGACTCATCCTGAAAGAAAGCATTGTTGAAGGTCTCTTCTCTTTCAAGGATTTAAAGGGAGAAGGAGGTAAAAAAAATATCTTGAGTGTACACTAATGTCAGGCATTATTAGGTGCTTTGTGTTTGTTACTTTGTTAAGTGTTCCACATAAAAAGGAATACAGTAATTAAATTTTATTAAGATTGAATGGAGCTGCTTTTAGGGGAGATTTTTGGGGGAGAGTAGGCAAGCAAAAGGGGATTGGGGATTAAGTCAGATAAACTATCTATAAACATTCAAAAGCTTTTGTGAAGTCTATTTTGGTCCAAGAATTGCACTTACCAGAGGTGTTTTATCTTACAGTTTATGAATTCTCTTGTTTACCAAAGCAAGTGGCTTGGATCCTAGCCACAAGTAAAGTGTTCATGTATCCAGAGCTACTTCCAGTGTGTTCCCTGAAGGCTAAGAATCCTCAGGATAAGCTCATCTTCACCAAGGCTGAAGACAAGTAAGTGTTTACTGTTTATTGAAATTATCTATTATGTAGCCAACAATATGTGCAAGAATTATTATTACTGTTATTGGCAGTATTAGAGATTGAGCTGAGGACCTTCACACTGAGATACATCCACAGCCCTTTTTAAGAGTTTTTATGAGATAAGTTTGCTGCGTTAACCAAGCGAGGCTTGAAGTTGTGATTCTCCTGCCTCAACTTCACTGAGTGCTGGGATTACAGGTTTGGGCTACAGTGCTTAGCTGCACAACAATTAGATATAGAAAAAGTGGTTTATAACATACTGGTAGCTGAGCATGGTGGCCTATAACCTTACGAGCCAAGTAGAACAGAGCCCCTAACAACATCATCAAGGTGCGTTGATCTAGAAGCTCTGCCTCTTCTTCCTGCTTGTGTGTCCTCATACTGTCAATGGATGGAATGGCTCTTGTTTCTAAAGCTTATTGCTCTTACCTGTGCCCCAGCCTCATTGCAGCACTTAGGATGAGGCCAACCTGAATATGTAGCAAGACCCTGCTTCAAAACACAGACAGACAGGTGAAAGAAAAAAACAAAACAAAACAAAAACAAGAAGTAATCTGGGGAGTGTTTCTATTTTTTAATGTTTATTTAGTTAGTTTTTTAAAGACTGGATCATGCTTTATAGTCCAGGTCTGCCTTGAATTCACTTTATACCCCAAGGAGGGTTATCAAAGGAAGGACCAAACTGAAATATAATGCCATTGCTCCTCTCCTGAGTTTGCTAGCTTTAGGACTGAAGCATTTTGAAGGTACCGAGCTTCCTAAGCCTCTAATCAGCAAGTACCTACTAACGTGCAAAACTGCCCATCAGCTGACGGTTCGGATCAAGAACCTCAACCAAAACAGAGCCCCTGACAACATCATCAAGGTGAGTGCCTCTGGAAGTTCTGCCCATGCTTCCTGCCTGTGTGTGCCAGCTTTCCCACCTCCTCTTGATACTGGTAGATAGGAGGGCTCTTATTTCTAAGGCTCTTTGCTCCTAGGTTCATTCTCCTTTTCAAGGCTATTTGTGCATTGTTTTCCTCTAGGTTATCTTCATCCTCTTTCTGTCTTATGGATAATTCCCCTATAAGTGAAATTGTTCAAGTCCTACAAGGTATTACAAATTCTTGGTTTCTTCTAGTCATAGAGGCTTTTCATTCTTTTTTTTTTTTTTTTGTCCTTTTGCTTTTTATTGGTACCGGGGATCGAACTCATGACTGCCTGCCTGTAAGGCAGGCGCTTATGCAGCTGAGCTAAATCCCCAGCCCCTAAGGCTTCTCATTCTTTACCTTTTTTTGAGACGGGTCTCACTATGTAGTCCAGCAGGCTGGCCTTGAATTCACAATGATCCTCCTGCCTCCACCTTTTCAGTGCTGGGATTACAGGCATGCATCATTACATCCAGCTTAATGCTTCTTTATTTAGATATTATATCAGTCACACAGTATTCATTTTTTTGGTAGTGCTAGAGATTGATCCCAGAGCCTCCACAGTGACACACTGATCTACATCTCCAGTCCTTTTCTTAAATTTTCTCCTTCTTTCTTGGCTTGCTTGCTTCCTTCTTTCCTTCCTCTCTCCCTCCCTGCATCCCTTCCATCTATCCCCTGACCTCCTCTTTTTTTAAATTTTGAGAGTGGGTTTCACTGAGTTACTAACTTGGGCAGGCTAGGTTCAAACTTGTGATTTTCCTGCCTCACTGTTCCAGATACATAAACTTTAAAGAGTCAAATTCTGAGCTTGGTATGAAAAAATCATTATTTCACCTTTTCTTGCTATTCAGCATTTTTGGGGGGATAGTGCGTTTACTTTCATGTTTAGCTAGCATGCTTATAGTTGCCCTTTTTTTGGAGACAGTGTCTCACTGAGCCCAGGTGGGCTTTGAATTCCCTGTGCAACCTGTGATGGCCTCAAACTTGTGGCGATTCTTCTGCCTTAGCCCCCTGAGTGCTGGAATTACAGGTGTGCACCACCATTGTTCTTTGGATGCTGAGTAGTGAGCTTTCTCCAATCTTTTTACTGTTCTGCAGGCTATAAATGCTCATCCCAGTATAATATTACCTATATGATACTTTGTGTTTCCTGCTGAGCATTTTGTTTCTCTTAGAGTTAATGATTGCATTGGGGTGGAATGCTTGGTCTTAGGTACTTCTTACTAGATCAGCAGTAAAGTTTACTTGAATTTCCTAAGTCTCCTTCCAGTGTTTAAGAGTTATAGGTATATTGTTGTTTTGAAGTAATTGCTCCTTGAACATGTTACTTAATTATCATCCTGGGGCTGCCTTTATCTCTCCTTTGTTTTGGATCCTCTTATTTTCTGACCTCTACGCCTTTTTATTTGCATAACTTCCTTATTTTATTTACTTAGTTTTGGTTTTTTGAGATAGAATCTTGCTGTATAGTCATACTGACCTTGGACTCATTGTATAACACAGAGTGGCCTCAGACTTTCACCAATGCACCTGCTCAGTCTCTCAAGTCCTGGAGTTACATGTGTGCACCATATGTCCAACTATTTATTTTAGTGGAACATATAAGTAGTCTTCTGAGGGACATTGCTGAGAAACAAAGTTTACCTTTGAACTATTCATGGTCTTGAAATTGTTCCAGTGTCTTTTCTGCTGTCTTCTGAAATGTCAGTGCTCCCCAGTGGATTTGTAGTGTACAGTCTCAGGCACAGCCTTAGTTTTCAATATCACCTGTCTTCTGATGATGTTCGCATCTGTATTTTTAGTCCAGATTTTTCTCTTGAGTTTCAGCTCAGTGTAGCTGACTCCTTAAAGGAACTGTCAGCTTTTCCCTATCAAACTGAATTTCTGTCTGGTTCTGTGGCTCTTCAGTTGTTGCTGCTGATACCATCACCAAGGGCAGATGCCCCTCCTCAGTTCCCTTCGTGTGATACTTGTCTTTGTACATGGCATGACTGTCATGCTATTTTCTCAATCCACAGAGCTGGGTCTCATGCTTGACTTTGGCTTGATCAGCACCACAGTCTGTAGTCACACATCCTCAGTGTTCATTTTCTGCTTACTTCTGGATTTTCTTATTGCTGGATTAATACAGTATTTTATTCACTGGTGTCTGTAATTGAGACCTCACAACTTTGGCCTTTACATTGCCACATTTCCTGCCTCCTCCGTTTTGACTCAACTTCTACAAATCATATCATGAGAAATATTGTTGTGCTAGGTGTAGTGGTACACTCCTGTGGGAGAAGGGTTGGAATGAATTCGAGGCCATCCTAAGCTACATAATGAGTTCAAGGCCAACCTGAGAGCTTGTCTCAAATGAATGAAGGAATAAACAAACAACACTGTTGACCCTATGTAACTGCTAGCAGCCAACACACTTTGGCCATTCCTCACTATAATATCATCTCACCTTTTTGAACAAACCTCATGCGAGAATTAGAGAACCAAAGCTGCTACTTCTGGGAAGGCTGCTGGGATTACAGGCATGTGCCATCATGTCTATCTTGATATTATTTTTTTTACAAGCAGATTTTTTTTTTCTGTCTAGTTGCTTTTTGGGGGAGCAGGACTTGAGACAGGGTCTTATTATGTAGCTCAGACTTGCCCTGAACTCACTGTGTACCCCAGGCTGGCCTCAAGCTCAAAGTGATTCTCCTACTTCAGCCTCTGTGTGTTGGGATTACAGGAGTGTGTCACCATGCCTAGGGCTCCAGGTCAAGCTCAAACACATTTATGGTTTTGATTTTAGTTTATTCTGTTTTCTCCTACCTTGTACAGCAATTTCTAAGATTCATTTTTAGTTATACTTCCTTCAGAAAAATCTTTTGTTCAAATTTGAGTTGTGTCTCATTTTTTTATACACATCTTTGTAATTTTACAAACAAATGTAGAAGGTTATAGTCCGCTTGACTATTTTTCCCACTGGTCTGCTCTTTGAGAGCAGGAAGTGTTTCTCTTTTGTTTATGCTTAGCTTGTGACCACTGCTATGTTTTATAGGAAGTACTCAACATATGCTGAGTGACTGGATGCTTATTGTTAGTAGCTTGCAGTGGCTTAAGGCAAATATTCCCTTTCCTTTTCTTTTTTAGATAGCATTTTGCTGATTCAAGGCTGGTCTCCATCTCACTGTGTATCCTCAGGGCTGATCTCTAGTTTGCAGTCCTCCTGACTTGGTCTCCTGTGTGCTGGGATTACTAACAGTTTGTCTAGGCTCTAACTCATGATCCTCCCCCATCAGCCTCCTACAGTGCTGGGCTTCAGGTGTTGGCCACCTTGTTTAGTGCCTTTGTGTTTTAAAGCAAACATGACAGGTAGACCTGAGAGATGGTAGAATACTAAGAATATATTTTTGTTCTGGCTGCTTCACCAGCCATTTTCCCCCTTGCCTTTGTGGTTCACCTGTGTACTGGCAGGTGGCTGAGATCTAAAGCCCGCATAGATGTTCCTGCCTTGCATGTCTAATGGGTTTTATTAGTCTTTTAAAATGAAGAAAAATACGTAGTATCAGTGGTTACTATTATTATCAATGGTTATTATTATTATTTTTGGTATGGGGATCATCGAACTCAGGATCTCGTGCTTGCTTGGTGTAGTACTGAGCTAAATACCCAGCCCAAGTGCACAGTGGTTATTATTAATCGGTTTAGAAAGTGAAATTTTTGTGTTTTCCTCACTTTATGGAAGAGTTTTAAAGCCAGAGTACATGGGTTGGGGGATTTAGCTCAGTGGCATAAGCACCTGCCTTGCAAATGCAAGGTTGGTTGGTCATGAGTTCCATCCCCATTACCAAAACAAACAAACAAACAAATAAATAATATTCCAGCTGGACATAGTGGTGCATGCCTGTACTCTCAGCCTTCAGTAGGCTGAGGCAAGAGGATCACTATGAGTTCAAGGCCAGCCTGAACTGTATAGCGAAACACTGTCTCAAAAAAAAACCAAACCAAAACCAAGCTGCATAGTAAAACACTGTTTCACAAAAAACACAAACAAAAACAAGAAAACCCCAACCAAACCAAAACATGGTGGCTCATGCCTGTAATCCCAGCACTTGGGAGGCTGAGGCAGGAGAATCATTCCAAATTCAAGACCAGCATGGGTTTACTCACGAGCTCAAGGCCAGTTTGAACTGCATAGGGAGACCCTGGGTGAAAAAAACAACACAAAAAAGCCAAACCAAACCAAATTCCACGTACATAAACATACTAACATGCCAGTTTTTCCCTCTGAGTGCTAAAATAGTCATTTAAAAATTTTTTTCTGCCAGGTGTGGTACCACATATCTGTTATGCTAGCATTTGGGAGGCTGAGGCAAGAGGATTCCCATGAGTTCCAGAAAGCTTGGGCTACATAGTTAAAGGCCAGTTTAAACTACATGATGAGACCTAGTATTAAAATGATTTGTACACATAGAAAGGAAAATGACTTTTTTTTTTTTGTCTTTTTCCTTTTTATCGGTACCGGGGTTTGAACTCGCGACTGCCTGCTTGCAAGGCAGGCACTTATGCCGCTGAGCTAAATCCCCAGCCCCCGGAAAATGACTTTTAAATGAGGGCCAGCTGCCAAATTGCTGTATTATAAATTGTGGTTTCCTAAAACTTTTCATTATTTATACATCTCATAAAGGAAAAAAATAAAGAAGAAAGTAAGAAGTCATCCATAGAGCTGATTCTGAAATGCAGTCTACTTTTCCGTAAAACTTGAAAATAGCAGAAACACTCAACTATTATAAATCTTGCAATTGAATTTGATTTCTTAATTGATTAAAAAAAAGGGGCTGGAGATTTAGCTCAGCGGCATAAGCGCCTGCCTTGCAAGCGTGCAGTCGTGAGTTCGATCCCTGGTATTGATTGGAAAAAAAAAAGCAAAAAAAAAAAAAAAAAAAATTAGGGCTGGTTATTTAGCTCAGTGGCATAAGTGTCTGGCAAGCTCTGGGTCATGAATTCAATCCCTAGCACCAAAAACAAACAAAAAAGCAGAATGCCTGTACCATCTTGCAATTGTAGAACAGGAGCAAATCTGAGAGGAGGAGGACTCTGACCATCTGCCTCCTGTTTTACTTTTTATTTTTCTGCAGGCAGAATAGGGATGGACAGAAGATAAAAGATTCTGAAATCTTTACTAATTAGAGATTATTTTAATTGGAAATATACAACATTCAACATACAAGTTTGTGTGAAAGACAGAGAGACTACCCATTTCATTCTCCAGCATGATGGGCAGTATTTCTGGAATGTAACTTTTTTTTTTGGTATTGGGGATCAAACTCACAATATTGTGCTTACCAGGCAAGTGCTTGTGCCGCTGAGCTGAATCCCCAGCCTTGGAATATAACTCATGCTTTATTTCTTCATGATCAGTTTTATAAGAAGACCAAACAGCTGCCAGTTCTGTTAAAGTGCTGTGAAGAGGTCCAGCCCCATCAGTGGAAGCCTCCTATCGAGAGGGAAGAGCATCGGCTCCCTTTCTGGTTAAAGGTACAACCTCTTCTTCAGAGTCTGCAGGAGGTAGCTCACTGAAAATGTTGTTGGGAACTCAAGGGCCTCTAGAAGCTTCTTGTGCTATAGCAGTAGGATAGGACTTCAGAAATCTTCCTTATCTACTCTTCTTCCCTTTTTTGTCCATGCCCCTGGTGATTCTACAGCCTTTTCAAATAGTAGGTAGAATGATAGTTTCCTGTAGGAAATTCTGAGAAGAACACATAATTATATATGGTCTATATACTAATTGGTTATACAGGAAAACATTTGTGAAAAGATCCCTTAAGACTGTCTTGGAAAGTTTTCTATACTCTAGAAAGCCCTATTCTTTACCCTAAATCTGACATGAGCTGGATCAGAATGTTCTTGTTCCCAACAGGCCAGTCTGCCATCCATCCAGGACGAGCTGCGGCACATAGCTGATGGTGCCAGGGAGGTGGGAAATGAGACTGTGACCACCGAGATCAGTACAGACCAAGGCCTAGAAAAAGCCAGATCAGAACTGGGGAGTGAGACTCGGTATCCATTGCTGTTGCCCAAAGGGGTGGTGCTGAAGTTGAAGCCTGTTGCTAACCGTTTTCCCAGGAAGACTTGGAGACAGAAGCGGTCATCAGTTCCTCCTAACAAAATGGTGGTCCGGATTCCACAGTTGATTCAGCCTGCTACTGTCTTGCAAACTGTTCCTGGAGTCCCTCCATTGGGGGTCAGTGGTGAAGATAGCTTTGAGTCACCGGCACCACTGTCTGCTGTGCCCCCTGAGGTCAGGACCAGCTTCCCTCTGTCTGAGTCCCAGACTATCCTCTCCTCTGCCCCTGTGCCCAAGGTAATGCTGCCCTCACTTGGCCCTTCTAGGTTTCGAAAGCCATGTGTGAGGCGGAAACCCTCAAGAAAAAAGGGAGCCAAGACCTTTCCTTGTCCCAAACCTGCCCCCCTAATCCACTCTGCACCTGTTATCTTCACTGTTCCGGCCACCACTGTGAAGGTTGTGAGCCTGGGCAGTGGTTGTAACGTGATCCAACCCGTCAATGCAGCAGTGGCCCCGAGCCCTCAGACCATTCCCATCACCACCCTCCTGGTTAACCCCACTTCCTTTTCCTGTCCACTGAGCCAGCCCCTTGTGGCCTCCTCCATCCCACCCTTAATTGTTTCTAGTAATGCTGTGAATCTCTCTGTGTCTTCTACTCCTGAAGATAAGGCTCAAGTGAATGTGGACATTGGTTGTCCTTTGGCTGAAGGAAAAAATGCCTTTCAAAGCTTAGAACCCAAATTAGAACCTCAGGAAATAACTCCTCTCTGTGTTCCTGTCTTTCCCAAAGAGGAACACAGCCCCAGGTCTCTGGCAGCCAGTAGAGAAAACCAGGTAGGATTGTCAGAAAACAGTGGTTGTGGTCGGATGATTGTGGAAACAGAGGAGGGGAGACAAGGTCTGGAGCCACTGCCTCAAGGTTTCCAGGGATTTCTGAAGTCTTCCTCTGGGGATTTAAAGGAAGTTGTCAAGATGGAACCTGAAGACCCTGGGGAGGTGATCTCCAGTGGGTCACCTGAGCAGCACATTTGTGATGAAATAAAAAAGGAATGGTTTGTAGAACGGGACACTGGCTCCCCACGAGAGGAGTTGAGCAGTGCTAGAGCGTTAAAAAAGCAATCAATCCTGCAGAAGGAGGAGAGGAGTCAGCCAACTCACACCTCTGCAGCTTCTCAAGAGTCTCCTGCTGAGGGAAATGCAGTTGGGGATGTGAGCAAAGACTCCCCAAGGAATGCTCTGTCTTCTGTTGAGCCTGAGATGGTCCTAAGCAGTCCCCTGGGGAAGGCTGAAGAGGCATCTAGTGTTGATGGTCAATCAGTGGGGACCCCAGCAGGGCCAGATGTTGGAGGAGAGAAGGATGGACCTGAGGAAGAGGAAGAAGAGGACTTTGATGACCTCACCCAGGATGAAGAAGATGAGATGTCATCAGCATCTGAGGAATCTGTGCTTTCTGTACCTGAGCTTCAGGTAAGAGGAGCTATTTCAACTATTTTGGGGATGTTTAACTTACTGATCTACCATCTGCCTCATTTTTGTTGTTGTTGTTATTTTTTTGAGACAAAGTGTTGCTATGCAGTTGAGGCTGGCCATACTCATGGCAATCCTCCTGTCTCAGCCTCCCAAGTGCTGAGATAACAAGCATGTATCACCACATCTGTAATCATCTGCTGCCTTACTTGCTCTACAAGACATGTTCCTAATAGCATTTGTGTTGAACTTTCGTGTGCCTTATGTGACATAATTTTGGCATTAATGTAAAATGAGAGGGGAAGGGTAAAATTGTACCTATTATATTTGAGTTAGACTCATTTAAGGATTAAATTGCATTGTCTTGCAAACTTGTAAGTGCTTTAAAAAAATAATTCCTTGAGGCTGGGAGTATAGCTTGGCAATAAAACACTTGCCTAACATGCGTGAGGACATGAGTTCAATTCCTAGCACTGCAGAAAAGGAAAAAGAATAGCTCAGAGGTATAGGCTGTGACAAAAAATGTGTTATACATGAACATTTTAAAAAGCTCCTGGGGCTGTGTGTAGTGGTACATTCCTGTAATAGCACTCAGGAAGCTGAAGCAGGAAGATTTCTGTGGGTTCAAGGCCAGCCTGGGCTATATAGCGAGTTCAAGGCTAGCCTTAACTGCATAGCAAGAGCCTGTTTGAAGGACCCAAACAAAACAAAAACTCCTAGGCCCCCATCTCCCAGGGGGTAATGGCTGAACCTCAGATCCTCTTGATATAGCACCAAGCATTAGGATTCTTTTTGAGCTACTAAGGGTAGCTTATGAGCATTCCCTGGGAGTTTTCAGGAAACAATGGAGAAACTGACTTGGCTGGCATCTGAAAGGCGCATGAGTCAGGAGGGTGAATCTGAGGAAGAGAATTCCCAGGAGGAGAATTCTGAGCCAGAAGAAGAAGAGGAAGAAGAAGCAGAAGGAGTGGAAAGCCTGCAGAAAGAGGATGAGATGACTGATGACCCAGTTGCAGACACTGCTGAGAAGCTCGCTTCCCCCTTGGTGTCCCCCAAGGCTGCTCCTGAAGTAGAGTCATGCCGAATCTCACCAGGTGAATGTAGCTAGTGTGTGCTAAGGGGCAGGTTTGCACAGTAGTCAGCTTACACACTGGCTGGGCAGTCTAGACCGAATCCTCTGAATCTTCCCTGCAGCCTCCCTTTCCCAAACATATGCTTAAAGGTGCCTTTGCAGAAAAGAGAGGCTTGAAAACGTTTAATTTGGGGCTGGGAATTTAGCTCAGGGGCAAAAGTGACTGCCTGGCAAATGTGAGGTCACGAGTTTGATCCCTGGCACCAAAAAAGAAGTTTAATTTGATCCTCATCAGCTGCTCAATTGGTACTAGCCTGTTCAGGATTTGCATATTGGATCTTGCCTTGTCTATCATGCATGGGGTTGATCTGTGTTTATTTCAGAAAACAATGCTCCTTATCAAGACATAGTTTCCCCCCAAAAAAGAAAAGGACGTCATACTTTGTAGGTCTAACATAAGACCACACTTTTTTTTTTATCAGTTCTGGGGATCGAACTCAGGACCGCCTGCCTGCAAGGCAGGTGCTTATGCCGCTGAGCTAAATCCCCAGCCCAAAACTGCACTTTTCAGACTGCCTCTCTCGGGATGCATTGGTCATTTGGCAACCTTGTAATCCCATATAATGTAACTGTACTACTGTAGGCTCTGTGTGGAGCTGATCTGATGTGAGAAGCTTAGCTTTCCTATCAAGTTCCTCTCACTCTTCTCTTGAGTTGTTATATGACATGGACTAGGATTACATGGGGTGCTGTGTGTGGTGGGAAAGATGGAAGGAATTGGGATTACAGGGCCAAAAAATAATTTTTTTACATGTACTCCAAGGAGAGAGCATCAAAGCTACTGGAAAGAGTCGGAACAACCACCGAGCTCGCAGCAAGCGTGGAAGTCGGGCTCGGGCTAGCAAGGACACCTCCAAGCTGCTGTTGCTGTATGACGAGGACATTCTCGAGCGGGATCCACTCAGGGAGCAGAAGGACTTGGCCTTTGCCCAAGCTTATCTGACCAGGGTAGGCAAATGCTGCTTCTGTAACTGCCAGACTTTATGAATAAGGCTGCTTCTCCCCCAGAGGTGTTTTAAAAATAAAGTGTGGGACTGAGGGTATAGCTTAGTAGTGAGGCATGGCTATGGGCTCAGCCCCAGCAATGCCAAAAGAAAACAAACATCTGATTTTCAAACTGACATAGGCTGTCTAGCTGTGCCTTAGCTTGGCCAAAATTACAAAAAGAATTCTTCAAGAGAATCATAAAAAGACAGAGTTCATCCTACATGGGTTGATGGTGAGCACCCTAGAATCTTTCTTGCCTGGAGATTGGGGAAAGGGGATACTCTGTGTCAGTGGGAGGTCATGACTTCATTGATGGGCCAATGAGGCCATAGGTGCTAGGACAGGGACTACTGGGACACTGGGGAAAATGTTAATCTCAGAACCTTCCTGTGGCCAGGCGTGGTGGCTCAGGCCTATAATCCCAGCACTCAGGAGGCTGAGGCAGGAGGATCGTTGTGAGTTCGAGACCAGCCTGGGCTACAAAGTGAGCTTAAGGCCAGCCTGAACTGCATAGCGAGACCCTGTCTCCAAACAAACAAACAAACAAACAAACAGAACCTTTCTGTGTCTAGTCTTGTTCTGGGTAGCTGCCTCTTCTCTTGGCAGCCAGCATGTTCCTTCATCCTACTGGTAAACTGAAATACTAGCAATGACAACTTTTGTTTGATTACTTAATATCTTACTAACATCCTGGATTTATGTATTATGTATCATTGAATTGGACTATCTTGAAATACTTCATTTCACTGTGGTCCCAAAATCAAATTCTTTCTGTGGTCCCAAATCCTGTTAGCAGAAAACAGCTCTACTTTCTTACCCACGTCTTCTGGTAACCATTAGATAGGAAGCCTTTTTGGGAGTCCTTGATGGGTAGTTCTTGGAACTCTTTGGCCATGACTCCTCCTTTTCCTTTGTGCTTTTGCTCAAACAAAGGGTACTAATGATAGGAAGTCTTCCTGTTTAGGTACGAGAAGCCCTACAGCACATCCCTGGGAAGTATGAAGACTTCCTTCAGGTCCTCTATGAATTTGAGTCCAGTTCTCAGAGGCAAACAGCTGTGGATCTCTATAAAAGCCTGCAGATTCTGCTCCAAGACTGGCCTCAGTTGTTAAAGGACTTTGCTGCTTTCCTCTTACCTGAGCAAGCTCTGGCCTGTGGATTAGTAAGTAAATGGGTAAAATAGCACACAGAATTCCTGGGTCAGAGGGAAACAAGTTGAATGAAGTTAACTAAGACTTCAGGAGCCTGACTGCCTCTTGACAGGTTTTTCCTGCCCGTCTCCCCAAGGTGGTAAGAGTTGTCTTTTCAGGTGGTGTTCTTCCCAGCCCTCTTCTCTGGTTTTCCTCTCTTCCTTTGGCTTGCCTCCCTACAAATTCATGTTGAATGCAGGGCATTCACATTGAACTACATCCCATCACCCTATCCCGCATTTTTTGAACAGGCTTTTGCTGGGTTGCCTGGACTGAGCCTGAACATCAGTCTCTTGCCTCAGCTTCCCCATGTGCTGGACTTGCAGGCATGTGCCACCTTTGCCCAACATGCCCCATTTTCTTTCTGTGGCAAGTGAGGGAGTGTTATTTGCCCTTGAGACCTTCCTTAGTTGCTCTGTGCCTCTCTGGTATAAAATAGGCATTCCTTTAGTAAATACTTGTTGAATTTCAGGCACAGTGTCAGACAAGTGCTAGCAGTACAGCAATTAGAAAAGCTAGGGCTGGGTGTAGTGGCGCATACTTGTAATCACAGCACTTGGGAGGCCGAGACAGAAGGAGCATACAGTTTGAACCCAGCCTGGGCAATTTAGCAATATAATCCCTGTGTCAAAAGAAAAATAAGAGCAAAGGATTTAGCTCAGCAGCACAAGCCTGGAAAGCATGAGGTCATGAGTTTAATCCCAAGTAGAAAAAAAATAAATGAATCAAAAATAAGAAAAGGACTGGGGGATATAGTTCTGTGTGAAGGCACTGTGTTCAGTCCCTTGTACTAGGTGAAATTCCCTGCATTCAAGGAGTTAGGTGTTAATATGTAAAATTACGTAGTATGTAATCTATAGATTATGGAATAAACAGTATATATTATATATACATATTTGTATATATTATATATACATATTTGTATATATATGTGCTTTGTGTTGATAGGGCTTTATAGAAAACTAAAGTGGAGGGCAAGAGATTTAGCTCAGTGGCACAAGCACTTGCCTGCTAAGTGTGAGGTCATGAGTTCTATCTCTGGTACCAAAAAAAAAGAAAAGAAAACTAAAGTAGAAAAGAGGCTTGAGGGGCTGGGGATTTAGCTAAGCACCGTGAGTGCCTACCTGACAAGCATGAGGTCATGAGTTCAATCCCTGGTATCAATAAAAAAAAAAAAAAAAAACAACAAAACAGGGTTGGAGAGTTGTAAGTTGGGTGCAGGATTGGGCATGCACCATTTGACACACAGTGATCTGGAAAGGCCATGGTGGCAGCTTTTTTTTGTTTCAAATGTTGAATAGGAATCCAGACACCAGAGCTGTCCCATCTGTCTTGGACTTTTTCTCATAATGATAAAAGGGAATAGTGGGATGTTCTGAGGGCTTACAATTAGGGTTAGATTAGGATTAGGCCAAATGACAATGGGTAAGCAATACATATAGTGCCTATCTTCTTATAGGAGTGGGTATTCACGTGAGTTTTGTGTATCTTTATTTTCAATCCAGAAAACATGAACAGTTTGAGATACTCACAACTTTTGAATCTTCCTTACAAATTTTAGATTTCTTGGGACCCAAGGTTGATGGATGCTAAAGTTTTAAATAGGGTCCTGCCAATCTCATGTCTCCATGTTCTTAGTTCTTATCCTTAAGTGCCACTCTCTTTGTAGATGACTCCTTTTTTGCCTTCTTTCCTCTGGTAGTTTGAGGAGCAGCAGGCTTTTGAGAAGAGTCGCAAGTTCCTTCGGCAGCTTGAGATTTGCTTTGCAGAAAACCCCTCACACCACCAGAAGATTATCAAAGTCCTCCAGGGTTGTGCAGACTGCATTCCTCACGAGATCACAGAGGTATTCTTTGCTTCCATCTGCTTTCTGTCATTTGGGCCTCTGACCCTTTTTTCTTTGTCCCCTTAATCTGTCTTATACCCTTGGCTTTTGCGTGTCAGGGCTCCTGGAAGAAAAGGAGGAAATGACTTTTTAGCATTACTTATAGCATAAAGCAGAGCTAGGGAAGGGTCAAATCTGCATCCCAGTCCTGAGGACCAACCAACGTGATGTAAGGTGGTACTGAGACCTGGGAAGGCCCAGCCTCTTAGCTCTGCTTGGGAAGCAGTTTCATCAGGAATCAGATCTGCCATTCATACCTCTGCCTGTAGCTGGCAAAAAGCAGAGATCAGTTTTGAGAATTCTGTTATGGAGAGCAGAATTTGGCAGTGTATATAATTGCTTTGATTTATAGCCTTGAGAATCTCTGGAGATGTCATTGTTGTCTCAACCACTCTCCTCAGCTCAAGACACAGATGTGGCAGCTCCTCAAGGGCCACGATCACCTACAGGATGAATTCTCCATCTTCTTTGACCATCTGCGTCCAGCAGCAAGCCGTATGGGTGACTTTGAAGAGATAAATTGGACTGAAGAGAAAGAGTACGAGGTACAGGCCCTGAGTTGCAGCAGGGTGTTCAGGGGAAGGCCACTCATGGGAGGTATCAGCTTGGAGTCTGTGTTCACTGGCACTAACTCCTCCCTAGTTTGATGGCTTCGAAGAAGTGGCACTGCCTGATGTGGAAGAGGAAGAAGAACCACCCAAGATACCCACAGCCTCAAAGAACAAGAGAAGAAAAGAGGTTGGGGTTCAAAATCATGATAAGGTATGCCAAGCTTTTGAGTTTCTCATAAATCAAGCCTAAGTTTCTTCTTAAACGTTTCTCTGGGTTTAGGAAAAACCATCCAGATGTCGACTCCTGTGGACACACTGAACCTGGGGAACACTGTGTAGACACATTGAGACCCAGGAGTCCCTTGCTAGAAGGTGGCTTTTCCTTTTCTCCCTAGCCCAGGGCTGTTTTCTAACTCTTGGTCTTTATTCATGAGAGAAGTACCAAAGATTCCTGCAATCATGATGACAGCAGCTAATACTTGGCCATGTTATCAAATGTCAGCATTGCTTAGAAGTCTTTTACACTGTTTATTAACTCTCAGTTCTGTTTTTTTTTTTTTTTAAGTTTGCACTCTAATGCTGTGAAATGATGTGTGTGTGTATGTGTTTGGTACCAGGAATTGAACTCACAACCTGGTGTTCATGAGGCAGGCACTTGTGCTGCTGAGCTAAACTTCTGGTGGTCATTTTTTTTTTCTCCTTGAGGCAAAGTCTCACTATTTAGCACAGGTAATCTTCAACTCAAGACCATCCTCCTGCTTTAGCCTCCTGAGTGCTAGGATTACAGTCACCACACTTGGTTTGGAGAGATTATTGTTTACATTTTACAAAGTAGCTGAAGTGCAGAGAGGCTTTGATAGGGCCACATTTAACAATTGGCAGTGTTGGTACGTGAACCCAGATAATCCATCCAGCTTGCAAATCTGATCAAACTGACTGTTCTTCAAAAGTACTTTAAACACATGTTTCTTTACTATGTATCTTACTCTTCTGTGGAGAAACTGCTTCATTGTAGAACAACCTCAGGCAACTTACTTAACCTCTCTGCTTTAACTTCTTCACCGTAACTTATGTCTTGGGCCTCTGACACAGCATCACTGATCAGCCTTCTGTGTGCACACAGTCTTCTCTTAAGAGGTTTGGAGGAGAGCAGAGAGTTAAGGCACTAGGGAGAAGAAACCAGACAGATGACTCAGTAGATCAGCTTCACCTCGACCTTTCTGGTGACTTTTGCTTGGAATTTCTGGGCGATTGACATAGTTGTCATTGAGCTGTTCAGGGATTTTTTCTAGGATTCATAATAGGCTTTAATTGAGTTTGGGCCATTGATTTCCCCAGGCAGTGCAATGGGAATGTGTAAGAGAAAGGGAAGAAAGTGTTGGGAGGGGCTTCTTTCCATGGCTTGCAAGTTAGCTTCCTTTCTTGGCACTAAAAATAATGGCAACTAATCAAGCTTAGATACTTCATAGGACACTGAGTGGCCAGATGGGGCCAAGGATTGTGCCTGTTCCTGCCATGAAGGGGGTCCTGATTCCAAGCTGAAGAAGAGCAAACGGAGAAATTGTAGCCACTGTAGTGGCAGCAAGGTGAGGAACTTGCCTCAGTGCCCAGGTTGCTGGGACTGAGGGTGTCAGCAGCTGGGGTGACCTCAGGACATGGTGGTCGTGTTATCTACTACCACAGGTTTTTGCCTTCTTGAAAGATTATACACATATAACTAGTGTGGTAAACATGTAAGTGTACGTATTTATATTTTTGGATTTTTGGGACAGTTTCTTACTATGCAGTTCAGGCTGGCTTCCAACCTACTATGTAGCCCAGGCTGACCTCTAATTCACTGCAATCCTGCATTAGCCTTCTGAGTACTGGGATCACATGTGGTGGGTGCAGTGCCACATCTAGCCTGTGATTTATTTTTTCCTTTTTTGGTACTGGGGATTGAACTCATTACCTCATGTTTGCTAGGCAGGTGCCTATGCTACTAAGCTGTATCCCCTAGCCTATGAAGTTTAAAAGAAATACAGAACAGATTTTTCTTTTTAAAGAGAGTTCCATGAGTAAAGCTTTCTGGAATTGGAGAGGGTGATTTTTTTGTATGTTTTTAAGTAATATAAACGTGTGTTAGAAGAACAGACTCTAAAGGTAATTCACGTTTTCTAGAATGCAGTTGGTTGGCAGCAAAACTGTAGTCCTCAGAGTAGTGGGGTTGCCTGCTGTGGGACATTCAGAATTCTTGGAGCCTGCACAGAATATGACCCCCGAGATGTAGGTCAGGACAGGACTTGATGCGGAAGGCCATCCCTACAGGTCTGTGACAGCAAACCCTACAAGCACAAGGAGCCCCAGGAATCTGTGAGCAGCAGCCCCCATGGAGAGGCCAGTCCTGTGCTCGGCACAAAGGAAGCAGGGCAGGGAAAGGAGCTGGTGGAGGAGGAAGCCCTGGAAGAACGAGAGAGCACTGAGGCTCTGCAGAAGACCAGCAGGACCACCCAGAAGGAGGAGATGCCTGTTCCCGGTGAGTGCTGCAGTGACCAGGCAGGGCCAGCCCCAGCTTTCACTCGGGAGTGCTCAGCCAGGCTTGAAGAACAGCCTTTGAGGGATGGACAGAGTACCTCTGGTTGATGGGACAATAGAAAACCCTGTTGTACTGAGCCAGTATTTTCTCTCCAGTGACTCTCTCAGAACTAAGGGTAGTTTTTAGTTCTACACCCTTATCGTGCCCTTAGATCCTTATTTTCCTCCTACTCAGGAACAACAGTGCAGAGCATGTTGCCGTCCCCTCAAGAAGTACCTCTTACAGAACGGCTCCTGGAGGGTGCACCGTCTCCCACACCAGAGACTCCTCAGCACCCTGCCCCAACTGCAGCTGTACCACACACTGTTCAGAGAAGCCAGGCTGGGCCTGAGGTTCTCTCCACCAGTGCATCCCTTGGACACGAAAAAGAAAGGAACGGATACAAGGCAGTGGGTGACTCAGAGGCCTCTTTGCTGGTCTGGGATGTCTCACAGCCTGAGACATCACATGGTACTGTGGAGCCCTCTGCTCCTTTCCTGAGTCCTGCTTCCTCAAGGACCAAAGGTGTTGGGAGGAGACATGTGTCTAGGAATCCAGACACTCAAGACACCTGGCTCTCCTCGAGCAGAGCCGGGACAAGGAGAGCAAATAGGCTGTCCCCTGGCTATGAACCATCTGTGGGAATTAACACCTCCGAGACATCTCCTCAAGTTCCCAAAGGGAGTCTAACTAAAGACAGTGGAGTGCAGGTCAGGGGTCCAGATGGGGAACAGCAGCCAAAAGCCACGGAAGCTACAGTGTGTGCAAATAATAGCAAGGTCAGCTCCACCGGGGAGAAGGTCGTCCTGTGGACCAGGTGGGTCAGATTGTAGAACGTTTGTGGGAAGAGCAGTCACACCTGTACAGCTCTGAAGGGCTAATCATATGTGGGTTACAGGGAAGCCGACCGTGTGATTCTTACGATGTGTCAGGAACAAGGAGCACAGCCGCAGACTTTCAGCAGCATCTCTCAGCAGCTGGGAAACAAGACCCCAGCCGAGGTGAGTCAGACATTAGGGGAGAGTGTGGTGCACCGTGCTTGCCTGTACCCCAAGGCTAAAGAACTGAGCCAGCCTACACAAGGATAGATGGTGTCCAGTGAGAGATTAATACATGGGGCTGACAGGTTCAAGACACTGACTTAATGAAGTGCTTAACCCCTCTGGGTGCTGGTAGTTGTGGGAGAAAGGATGTTAGATTGGGAGGTAGAAGCTCCCAGTTTCCATTGTCTTTGATTTTAGGAAGTCTGACTTTGGGAAAAATACTTGGCTTTGGGTGCCTCACCTATAAACAGGACACAGCTCTCTCAGCATTACTGTGTGGAATAAGTAAGATTTTCCAAATTGGTACCCAGTGCTAATAAATGTCACAGTGTTACTGGTTCTGAACAGTAAACTAGCCTTTCTTCTTTGCTAGGTCTCTCACCGCTTTGGAGAACTCATGCAGCTCTTCCACACGTCCTGTGAGGCAAGCTCTGAGGATGAGGATGATGCCACCAGTACCAGCAACACAGACCAGCTGTCAGACCACGGGGACCTGCTTTCTGAGGAAGAGCTGGATGAGTGAGACTGGGATGTGCGTGTCACCTGCTCAAGACTGCTCTGTAGGCAGCCTGCACTAGAGTCACAGTGGCTGTCCTTCCCTGTCCAGTCCTTGAGCTCTGCATGAAGAACTAGAGTGGAGCCGAGGACAAGGACAAGGTGATTGTGGAGGTGGTTGAGGGCTCTGCGTCCTGTGCCTCTCAGGGTAGACCTTACGAAGACCTTCCAGTTCCTCTGTGTAAATAGTCATTGAGGGAGTGGGGCTCTACTCCCTCTCCCTCCTTTGTGTCAGATGGTACATATTTATTATTCTGTGGTCCATACAGTGTCTCTAGCTGTAATAAACATCTGTGTCATGTAGCCAGTCCAAGACATTTATGCTCCTCTGCCGGAGGACACTGGGCTCTGCAGCCAGTGGTTTTTATTGCAAATGAAGTCCCCATCTGGGGAGCTTCAGCCTGTGAGGCTGTCACTCTCCCGATAGCACTGGGCCAGGCTGTGCAGCTCCTGTAACAGCTCTTCCACATCATCCTGTTCCATCCCAGCCTCCAGAAAGCTGGCCCAGCGCCGCAGATCCAGTTGTGTGAGCTCCTTAGCCAAGCCTCTCAGAGTCTGGTGCAAGGATGAAGAAGAACGCAGGGCCCCAAACACTGGGATGCTCTGCACAGCTGTGGAGAGAAATGTCAGGCAGGCTAGGTTATATTTTGCCTGGGATTCTTGTAGGAACCCACAGGGAAGTGTGGGTGCTTGGTAGGCCTGACTGTGAGGTGCACTCAGTGAATCTGTGTGCAGTCCCTTTAGTATACCAATCTCCAGTGGAATGGTACTCAGGAGCCATGGGATGAATAAAGGGACGTTTAAATGTGAACTTTTTTTTTTAAATAAAAAAAAAATCACTTTTAATCCAGGAAAAACCCATAAAACCCTTCTCCATGCTTGAAATCTTAGTTCTCTTCAACTCCTACATACCTGTGCTCCTGAGAGGACAGCCAGGGACCACACCTTGCTGGCCAAAGCTTGTGGAGAAAAAGTGGGGGTAGGGAGGGTCCACCCTGCAGGGCGCCAGCAGCAGATGGGAAGAACTGTGGGGCCAAGAAGGGCAGTTAAGTGTAGGAGATGGTAAGGGAGGTTGGGATCTCAGAAAGGTGACAGCAAGTGCTATACTGACCTTATTACTCTAGGCTGCTGCTGTTGTAAATACTGGGCTAAGACTTCTTCCCCAGTGGGGCACGCATGGAGCTGGGAAGGCAGAGGTGTCCCTGAGGGGAGCTGACTGCAGGAACAAAGCCAAACCACCTTTACTGTGTGACAGCCTGAATAGGAGCTAAGAATTTCTATTTTTTTCTATCTTTTTAAGACAGGGTTTTGCTATACAGTTCAGTCTGATCTTGTCTCAGCCTCTTGAGTGCTGGAATTGCAAGGTGCAAATTGTTACATTCTTTTTTTTGTCTTTTTCATTTTTATTGGTACGAGAGATCGAACTCACGACCGCCTGCTTGCAAGGTAGGTGCTTACGCCACTGAGCTAAATCCCCAGCCCCCAAATTGTTACATTCTTATAAGATGGGGCTTTAGCACAGTCAGAAAGTTCAGAGCTGTCTACCTCACTTTTTCTTTTTTCCTTTTTTTAAATGAGGGTGATATTGGTGAGAGGGAGCAATGTCCTTAGAAAGCCTGGATGTTGGGAGAAAAAGAGAAGGACCAACAGTTCTTACCTAATATGACTTGCTTTGTCTATACCCCTCAGTACCACTGACTGGGCATAGCAGCGTGTTCCAAAGGTGTCCCCACATGCAGACAGTGGGGTCCATGGAGTGTTTCCTTCAAGCTGTACAAGGGTATCAGGAAGGGACTGGCCTGGAATCCAAGGGAAGGGGATGATCGCTTCTGCTGTCACCACCTAAAGATCAGGAGGAGATCAGGTTACAGAGCTTTTTCTCAGTGCTGCCCTCAACTCTCCCAAAACTTCATACCTTCTTCCCAGAGAAGCTCAGCATATCTGCCAGCCGAACCATGGAAACTGGGGAGGAACGGAGGCGGTAAGGAACAGTGACTGTATCCAGGGCTGTGGCCAAGATGGCACTGCAGTGGAAGGGTAGGGTGGCCTGTAAAGGGGACATGAGTGCACTCAGGCTTCCAGACCTGGAAAAGAAAGTGTTGAGACAAAACAGTAATGGTGGAGGACTAAAAGATAAAGTGATGGTATGTTTGGCCAAAGGCTGGACAGCACAGGACAGTGGGGTCCAGGGTGCTAATGTCATAGCTGAATTCAAACTAAAGAGCTTCAAAACAGCCACCAACCAAGGCTGAGTTGGGGAACATTAGGAGTGCCCCATGGCCAGCTGCAATCCAGACAAGCGCAGAGCCTTACGTCATAGTCCAGGTAAGGAAAGTTCACAGGTGGTTGAGGACGCAGGCCTAGGCTGCCACTCAAGGATAAGGGACAGACGAAAGAGCTGTAAGCAGTCAGGTGCACCAGACCAAACACTGTGTTTAACAGACGATAGATGTTTTTCTGTGGTTCCTAGTAAAAGAATACTTTGTGTCAAGCTACTTTTTCCATAGTATTCTCATTTCTCCCTCTCCATTCTGAATTCTTTTTTTTTTTCATTCTGAATTCTTTTTCCCCAAGTTTTACTTACTCCAAGATTACAGGGACCCGGCAGCAGGCCCCAGGTTATTATGCCCCGCCCTGAATACTCGTCTTGTAGCAGCTCTGCAGTTTTGGTGCTTACTCCAGCGAAGCCATCATGCAAGTCACACAGGATCTGGAAACCCTGAAAAAGGGAGGAAGTATAAAAATCAATAGGAGGGGTCAGGTGTGGTGGCACACGCCTGTAAATCTCCACACTCAGGAGGCTGAAACCCTGTCTCAAAAAGACAGTAAAATAAAATCAGTAGGGGTAGGGGGAGGTATGTTCTGCCCAGTGTATGTCTTGTCAGACACTTACCTGCAAGTAGTCACATTCTTCCACATAGAAATGCAGCCTGTCCTCCAACTCCTCCAGGTATCTGGGTTCCTTCAGGATACTTTCTCCTTGGCCAAAAGCCTCCAGCCGACCTGTTTCTCTGCCACAAAAAGACAGTCCAAGACACGACTTTAAACTCCCTTCCCACCTCAACTTCTCCATCTCTTGGGAAAAGATAGCTGTAAGAGCAATTTGTGGGGCCCTCAACTCTGCCTCCCAGCCTCCAGTCTCCATACCCTTCATGGTTGTATTTCTGAATCAGACAGATGCTCCGGGGATGAAGATGGACTGTGAGGAAGTCTGACCAGACTTTGATGCTGCCCGCTGGGATAAGTGGCTTTGGATTTGAAACATTGGTGACTGGTGGGGGACCTGAACATAAAGCAGAAGAGATGCACCTTTTTCCTGTTCAGGCTCCTACCCATAACTCCCAGGTCTCCAGCATCAGAGAAGTCTCACCTTTGCCATTAGGGATGGATTTGATCCTCCAGACACCATTGCTAAGCACTCCCTGGAAGGAGTGAAGGAAAATTTAGTTCCAGGTCATAATCTTGCAAACTCTTCTTTCCTTTGTTTTTCTTTGAGACTGCATCTTGCTATGTAATTGATGCTGGCTTTGAACTTACAGTGATCCTCTTGCCTTAGCCCCCCAAGTGCTGGGATTACAGTTAGTATCACTACACATGGTTGCAGCTTCTTGTCTGTTTTAGGTCATCACAGTCCTTGGGAAAAGTGATCCTTCCCAAAATACTTTAAGGTGGTCCTTTTCCTTTGTCCTTTGTAGAGGCACTTGGGTTTTAGCCAGGGTTAAAGGGCTCAGGGTATAGGCCCTTACCTCTGCACTCTGAAAGTCTTGGAGATAAGGATTCTTGGGGTAGACTTCCTCCTCTTTGTGTGTGGTGAGCTTGCCCTGCCTGAAAAAGATCCAAGAAACTGTCACTATGATGAGATGTACAGTATTCTGTCTCCCAACCCTTCCACTCATCAAATACACACCATGCTATTGCAGTATCCAGCTGTCTGTCCCGGTAGAGTCCTCCTTCCTCTTTTAGGGAGCTCAGACTGCCTGTAAGGAAATAATAGGGAACCCTAGGTCAAACCCTAGGGTATCCTCTACTGCCCTCAAACTTGTCTTCCGCGGATGCACCTAACAATCAGCTGTCATTCCTCCAGCAGCTGGCACTGTGAAATTTTCCTGGAGATACATGGCAGGGGGGCGGTGTCTAAAACAGATTTCATCCTGGCTGCCAGAGCTCGGTCACACCCGGAGGTCCTAGCGTGGCAGTTCTGCATCTCCGTATTTCTAGCCTATTCCCATGATGGCTCTTGAGCAGAAAAGTCTGCCTCCAACATATCTCCCGAGTTAGCATTCATCTTTTCATCTCTCGGCCCAGTAAGGTTAGAGGCTCTTGAGGTGAAAGGATGCTACAGAGTCTGCCACCCTCACCCTTCAGGTCCATGAGGATGAGTCGAGGTGTATAGGTTTCCTGGCCATGCAGCGTCCGGCCCCTTCGGTACAGGACGTCAGGGCACAGCTCTCCCGACGGCTCCATGGCATCCGTGGCCCTGCCCAACGCAGCATCCTGAGAAAGCAAACAAGGCAAACTAGACTCGAGTACGATAGGGGCAGGACAGCGACAGGACTCAAGATTCCGAACGAGTCCATTGGGTCAACTATGTGGAGATCTCACCTGCTGGTTCCACCAGTGTGCTCCCACAAAACCTGCAAAGTGTCCCAATTGCAGCGTGAGCACCTCTCGGGCCCAGCCCGCCATGCCGCGCAGCTTACTAGGCGGTATTGCCTATCACGTCGGCCAGCCGCTCCTAGCTGATTGGCTCAATAGGCTTGTGGGCGGGCCCCTAACTTTGCATCCTATTGGTCTACAGCCATATCCTTTCCAATTGGATAAACGGTTCGCAGGTCCTTCCCACTCCGCCTCATTCTCGCGAGGGGTGGGGCTTCGAAGGCAGAGCCGAAAGTCTTGCAAGCCGCTGTCTTGCTGGGCGGGGTATGGGGGAGGTCCCCTCCTCTCAAAGGTCACCTTTTAGTGACACTGGATCTCCTCCCGGCGGCGCTGGCTTGCTCTCAGTAGACTCCACAGCCACGACCTGCCCGATTAGAAAAAACTACTGGGATGGAGGTACAGCTCAGGGTGAAAGTCTTGGGTTCCATTCCCAATACCGGAGGTTGGGGAAAAAAAAAAAAGAAAAAAAAACCAGCAAGATCCCTTAAAGCTTCCTGATTCTCCCAAGTCACAGCCATCTTGATCTTCAGCCCTATGGACTGGGCAGTCATCTGTCAGGTCCGACAGACATCAGCCTACTAAGTGGAGCTCGTGCCTTTATCAGGTGTGATAATTGTCTCTTTGTGGCATATACTTGTTCGTTTTTAATGCTACAACAGTCCATTATATGACTGTATCCCAAATGATGTGTTCTGCAGAATGGCCAATTCTGCTAGTAATAGCCTTTGAAACATTTGCCTTCTTTGCCTATGCATATATTTCTAGGAGTTTTTATTTGTATTTTTTTTTTTTTCTGTTTGGCTCGGCCAGAACCTGAACTCACTATGTAGCCCAGCCTGGCTTGAACTCACATTCCTGCTTCAGTCTTTTGAGTGCTTGTGATTAAGGGCATGAGCCACCTCGCCTGGTTTAGGAAAGTTAATTGTTGCAATCCGGAGGTTGGGTATGTTTGAATTTGATTAAAAAAAAAAAAAGACATTTCCTAAAAATTCTTTACCAATTTATATTGTCACTGACAATACATCAGCTGATGTTCCAAAAGCGGCACTATTTGAAACTTATATTCAATGACTTACTTTTCTTGGCTATTAGCAAGGTCGAGAGCCCCATTTGTCAGCTTTTTAGTCTCTTCCTGAATTGCTTATTTCATGCCTTTTGTTCAGACTCCTTTTGTGTTGATTGTTGTTATGTGTCAAAAATATCTTCTTCCACGGTGGTTTGCCTTTTGATTTTCTTAAAGAGGTCTTCTTAAGAACAGTTTTTAATTTTATAGTCACTTTGTCTTCTGTAATGCAGGGGATAGTTGTATATATTGATTTTTCCAAATACTGTGTTTTTGTGATGTTGGGAGTTGAAGCTAAGGTCTCACTCATGCTAGGCAAGTATTCTTCCACTTCCACCATGCCCCCAGCTCATTTTGTTTTTTAATTTCTATTCTGCCAGGTAGCTTTTGTTCATTTTCAATTTTGAGACATGTTCTTGCTAAATTGTCCAGGCTCCACTTGAACTTGTGATCCTCCTGTGTCAGCCTACTGAGTAAACTGTAACTGAGTTACAAGTGCAAATGCAGATCATTTTTAAATTGTAAATTATTACCAGGCATGGGGGTAGAATTGTAATTCTAACACTCAATAGGATGAGGCCAGCCTGGGCTACAGTGAATTCAAACCTAGCCTGACATATGTAGCGAGACCTTGTCTCAAAACGATCCCAATAAATTGTAAGTTATCTTAAGGCAATATTTTATGTTTGATAAATCCTTTATATGATGCAAATCTGTCTATTCTGCAGATACTTGCTTCCTGCATCCAGGTTTTTTCTTCTTAATGGTATCTTGAGGGAAAGTTTTCACTTTGACAAAGTCTGATTTATCAAATCTCTTAACAATTAAAATTTCCTATTATGAATACCTTTGGTATATCTAAGAAATGTTTATCTAATTAAAGATGATGTTCTCCTATATTTATTTTCTGAGACAGAGCTTTGTTGTCCAGTTGGTATCAAAGTCCTGGGCTTTAGTAACACCTTCACCTCAGCCTTTCAAGTAGCTGGCACTAGATGTGTACTGCTGCATTGGACCTGTTTATTTTCAGTGTTCTATAGTTCATTTCTTACTTTCAAATCCATGATGTTTTTGTCTGATGTGAAGGTGTAACATTCATCTTTCTGTACATCTACATCCAGTTATCCCAAAACTATTTGTTGAACATTATATTTTTCATTGAATTGCATTGACATCTCTGTTGGAAAATCAACTGACCATAAATATAATAAAGGTTTTTTTGGATTGTTTTGTTCCATTGACCTGACACCTACTTGTATGCCAATACACAACACTTTTTTTTTTTTAATTTTATTTAAGGAGAAAAAGAAACAAAAAAGCAGAAAAAGGGTACAAGTTATACAGAATTTCAGAAAAAAAAAATAAACAGTAGGAAATCACTAGTTAATGGATTACATATTGTCATCTTAGAAATATTTGTTCAAGTTACAAAATTAAAGCTTATATAGTAGACATTCAAACAGTGAGACCAAACAGTTCTGTTCAATGATCCAACAAAACTCAGTAATAATACAACACTGTTTTGATTACCATAACTTTGTATTTGTTTTTAAAATATTATTTTTTTTCTTTTTCATTTTTTTTTTAATGGCAAAGCTTTCTGTCCAAGTTTTTAAAATATTAAAAACTCCCAATACAGTGATTTAAAAAATTGTTTTGGTTATTCAAGGTTTGTTACTTTCTATATAAATTTTAACAGTTTTCAATTGTTATAAAAAATATATATAAAACACACACCACACATACACACACACACACACATACACACATATACATATATTTATGTTACAGACATTTGGTGGTGGTCTGGAGATTAGAGCTTTATTCTTGCTAGCCAATGGGTCTGCTCCTGAACTATGCTTCTTGCCCCAATCTGCTGAAATTCAGACAGTAATTGAAATGAATCTGTAAGACAACCTGGGGACAGCTGAGTATTAACAGTATTAAGTCTTCCACTCAATGAATGTAGACTGTTTTCTCATTTATTTAGATCCAAAAATGAAATTAAAAATAATTCTGTTCACAGCAATAAGATACTTAGAAGTAAATTTAATAAATGTGAAATGTACACAAAAATAATTACTGAAGGAAATACATTGAAGGAAATGCTCTCTTATTGCTGTGAATAGAATTATTTTTAATTTCATTTTTGGATGGCTCATTGCTGGTAAACAGAAATACAATTGATTTGTATATATTGACCTCACATTATTATGACCCTGTTTTCAGGTCTGGTAGGTTTTGGGGGCTATCATGTTTTCTATAACCAGAGAAATGTATAAAGGTAGTTTTGCTCGTTTCTGTCCTGTCAGAATCTAGTGCAGTTGAGTGATAAAGAGGAGCCCTCGGGGCTGGGGATTTAGCTCAGCAGCATAAGCACCTGCCTTGCAAGCAGGCAGTCGTGAGTTCGATCCCTGGTACCGATAAAAATGAAAAAGACAAAAAAAAAAAAAAAAAAAAAAAAAAAAAAAAAAGAAAAAGAGGAGCCCAAAAGGTCAGCTGTGTAGCTACCCAGTGTATAGATAAAAATAGGAGTATGGCTGGGTGTGGCGGTACGAACCTATAATCCTGGCTATTTAGGAGGCCAAGGCAGAAAGACAGTACATTTAAAGTCAGGCTGGGCTGCGTGGTGAGAACTTATCTCAAAATAAAAAATGAAAACAGGAGCCAGGTATAGCTGTAATCCCAGCACTTGGGAGGCTGAGATAAAACAACCTAGAGTTCAAGGCCAGATTGGGCTAGAGTCTGTACTAAAAGGAAAAAGCGAAAATGTTTCAAAAAAAGGAAAAGCGAAATGAAACTTTAAAAGACCTAAAGCAATATGACTGCTTTGATCCTGGTACTCAAAGAAAATAACTGTTATGAACATCAGGACTACAGGCGGTTCTTATGGGAAAGAGGTCTGGATAAAGTAGATGTTAAGAGTAGGAAAAATTGGGGCTGGGGATTTAGCTCAGCGGCATAAGCGCCTGCCTTGCAAGCAGGTGGCGGTCGTGAGTTCGATCCCCGGTGCTTATTAAAAAAAAGTGTAAAAAAAAAAAAAAAGAGGAAAAATTGCTGGGTGCAGTGGTGCATGCATGTAATCCCAGTATTCAGGAGGCTAAGGCAGGAGGATTGCTGTGAGTTTGTGGTCAGCCTGGCTACAAAGTGAGTTCAAGGCCAGCCTGAACTATATAGTGAAACACTTTTTCAAAAAACACCAAAAAAAAAAGGAGAGTAGGAAAACCTCAGGATTCCTATTTAGCAACCCCATAAGAAATGAGGCAGCTCTTCAGAATAGGACTGTGTACATCAGTGATGATATACAGCTTGTGTTTTGAGTTTAGCTTTCCAAAAGTTTTCCAGCCTCATTTAGAGCCAAGGATCCTGGTCAGGATTCACTCTGGTAAGAGCAGTGGCACCATGTGACTCCAGAAGGCTTGAGCACTGGAATTATAGGGGCTGGTGACCACTGCCATTAGCATGGCAGATGTTCACACTGGCAATGGTACCCTTGTCACAGTTCCCTTCTCCTCTGGGATGGCCAGTTGTTGTCAGTGGCAACAAAGCTTATGATACTGCTTTGTTAGAAGTTCTGTGTGCTATGTAATCCCTTCTTTTAAGATGAGTTTGAATAAAAAATAAATTTGAATGGGTACTTAATTTACACACAAACAAATGACACATTAAATTTCCAGCAAAAAAAGCAGGAACACAATATACTCTGTATGTGTGTATATTTTTTTTTTGTGTGTGTGTGTATATTTTTAAAAAGAATACTTTAAGCCAGGGAGAGTGGTGCATGTCTATAAAAATTCTAGCACTCTGAAAGGCTGAGGCAGAAAAATCACAAAATTCAAGCCCAGCCTGGGCAATTTAGTGATGTACTGAGACCCTATCTCTAAATTAAAGCAGCAAACAGGGCTGATGATGTAACTCAGTATAAAGGTCCTAGTTCAAATACAAGTAGCACAAAAAACAAGGAACTAGACTGGGTGTGTTAGCACATGCCTGCAATCCCAGCACTGGGGAGGCTGAGGCAGGAGCATTCTTGCAAATTTGAGACCAGCTTGGGTTACAAAAATGAGCTCAAAGCCATCAACAGCATAGCGAGACCCCCCTCAAAAAGGCAGAAAACAAAAAAACAAACAAACAAAAAACCAAGGAACTTTTTATAGGTGAGGATGAGGAAAAGGTGGTCTGAGCTTCAGTTCAATGTGGTACTACAGGCCTGTAACCCCAATTACTTTGGAGGCTGAGGCAGAAGGATTGCAAAGTCAAGGCCAGCCTGGACAAGTAGCGAGACGCTGACTCTAAAATAAAAGGGACCAAGGATATAGTTCAGTGTTAGAGATGTCTTACCATATCTGAAGCCCTGGGTTCAGCACTCAGTATTAAAGTAACCCTGTTCCTTAACATAAACGTAAGCTGCAAAGCCTACTGACCCACACTGGGGGATATAGCAATCTATCTCAATAGAGAAGCACCGCAACCGAGAAATCCAAAAAGCAACTTCAGTCTCTGTACTTGTGGAGCTAGTTAAACAATCTGTAAGGCCAGAAGGTCTGTGTGTCTGACACCAGCACATTAGTCTACCAACACTGACGTCCTACAAACTGGGTGCCTGGGATTGGGCTGGGGTAGCAGTTCTATTTGTGGTAGGGATTTTTCTTTAGGTACTAGGAACTGAACTCAAGACCTTGTGGTTGACAGGCAGGCACTGTGCCGCCCAGCTGTAACCCTGGCCTGTGATAGGGACTTTTAAAAATAAAGCATAAAATCTAAATTATAAAGGTTTGCAAAAAACAAACAAAAAACACAAACTGGGTATTACAACTGTAAGTGATGTGACTTAGCATTTTCTTGACCCTCCCACGGATGACACAGCTAAATAACCCTAAGAGTATTAAAGGTTAAGTTAATTCATCCTGCACAATGTCTGGTATACAGATCTTACAGTGCTTGCTTCTCTCAGGAACTTGTGGGAGGGGGTATCCCACATAGGGCTGCTAAAATCTCTACCTGGGTCCCCAAGGATAAAAGTACAAATGCATAGAAGGGAGAATGAGACTGTGAATCTGGATCTACTGAACCGATTAGTCTGATTCTTCTCCTCAGCCCGCTCTGCCCACAGCAGAATGTGAGTGAGATTCAATGTAGCCAATCTGGTCTCTTGCCTTGCTTTTTTATTTTTAGAAAAAGATCCACAATTATATTACAGGTAAAAACCACATCCAGAAACATGAAGTAGTTTTAGGAACAAGGGGTATACGGTCATGTCACAAGGAACTTGAGGCAGTGTAGGCCTGAAGCCCAAGGCAAACCTGTCTCATCCCCCAAACCAGGGCTGGCTGCTCTGCTCAGCACTGTGCCACCTCCAATTGTAACTGGGTCCATCTTGAAGCAAATGTCCATTGTCTTCCATGCACTCTGGGACTGTGGCTTAGAGGTAGGCACAGAGCCGCTCCAGCTGTGCAGGGTTGGCATTACTTAGGAACAGCAGCTCTTTCTTTCCTTCTTCTGTAGGAGCTAAAAGGGAGACAAGCACAGGTGAGGTGGCAATTTCTGTGGCTACATTGTGTCTCCTAGAAGAACTCTCTAGCAGTCTCCCCAACATCTCATTTTTTGTGCTTTCCCAGTCACCATGCTGCAGCTACTTTGACTCTTCCATCTCTAATAACCTGTTCCTGTTAGTATGAAGGCACTATTACCTAGTGTCAGAACCTTTTACTTTTCTTCTACATCTCCTTCCATATCCAGAGATGAGGTAGATATAAATGGACAGACAGAATGTTTTCAATTAGCATAGATTAAATCTGGTACTGAGGGTTAACTTTTTTTTTTTTAATCGGTACCGGGAATCGAACTCACAACTACCTGCTTGCAAGGCAGGCGCTTATGCCGCTGAGCTAAATCCTCAGCCCCAACTTTTTTTTTTAAATTTGTACATAAGGTCTTGCTTTATCTATAGTTCAGGCTGGCCTCAAAGTCATGGCAATCCTCCCACTTCAGCCTCCCAAAAGCTGGGATTATGTCTAGTTAGGACCCATCTCTTAATATTTGTTAACATTTTCTATACATATATTAGGATAGGTATGGCAAAGACCTAGTTTGGTGTCAGTGCAGGTTCTCATACATATTAAATTGTCTGTGGATGTCCAAGTGCATTAGTCTCTCAAATGAAATTTGTTCAATAACTATAACAATGAAAGTTGGGTATAGTGGGAAAGGCCTGTAATCCTAGCACTCTGGGAGGCCGATTCAAGAGGATCACATGTTTGAGGCCTGTCTGGTCAACTCAGCGACTTAGTCAGACCCTGCCACAAAATAAAAAAATAAAAGGGTGGGTGTGGTAGCATGTGCCTATAATCCCAGCACACAGGAGGCTGAGGCAGCAGGATTCCCCATGAGTTTGAGGACAGAATGGGGTATATAGTAAGATTCTGTATCAACAGAGCAAAACAAAACACTAGGAAATACAGTTCAGCAGTAGAGCATTTGCCTACCGTGCATCAGGCATTGAGTTCCATCTCTAGCAACCCAAACATGTAGAAACTGCCTGTGGCTTGACATGGCTTTGCTGTTTCTTATATGAACATTTTATTTTGGACAACATGAGAATTTGGAGAGAAACAGAATTTCTTTTGTAAAACACTTCCATAGCATCTTATCAGCTAGAGAAGCCAAGGTAAGGGGAAAAATGATAAAATGCAAATCACAAGCTTTTAAGGAAAGACAGGGGATGTTGGGAACCGGTTGAAATAAGAAATTGAACACACTTGCAGGGCTGTAGCAGGGCAGATTCAGATTCGAGAAGAAAGATGCCTCAAAGGGCAAGATAAAGTCACAGCTGAGAACATCTGGCTCTAATTCCAATTAACTAAATAGGCATTTACTCCCGTAGTGAAAATAACATGCAGATCATCTCCTAAGATAGTTCTCCTAAATTAAAATGTAATTTATTATGAACCACTCCCAAGGTTTGTTCAGTTTCCTGTGGTTTTCACTACTCTAACCCCTTCCTTGGATACTAAATAAAAATGGCCCCAGAGACATTTCTTGTCTTAGCCAGAGAGTCTTGAACTCTGCAGAGGGTTTTGATCCTCCTGAAGCCCTAAAATCATACCACTTATCTCATTTATTTAAACCTTGGCCGTATACTCATTTGAGAGATTGGGGATCTAGGCCAGGTACTCAAAAAGGGGACGGCCCAGGTCATTGGGATCTTACTATAACCACAAAGCCCTGAGAACCAGCAAACAACTGACCTTTCTCATGTTGAAGCCAACTGTTCTCCAAATAATAATGAATGCAACTTTCAAACTCCTTTAGGTTGTAGTTAGAAACCAGGATGGGAACAAAGGGATCCAGGGCATCAAATCCTTCCTGGAGAAGGAAACAGGATGAGGATGCAGTGTTAGTTATGTGACTGGTCAGCGGAGGGAGCATCTTACACGTGTGGTTCCCTCATCCTCCTTGACCTTTCTCTCTGACAAGACGCTCCACTGCACACAGCCAAGAATCACACTTTAAAGAGAAAAGGGAGAGCCATTTGTCTGATGTAGTTTTTTTTGTTTGTTTGTTCTGACTTTTGGAACCACGTTATATTTCATGTACTTAAAACCAGAAAATAAAGAAAAAAGGGGAGAAAGACCCCAAATGGAACATAAGCAAAAATAACATATCAATCAAACCCTTAAAATATCATTGAAGGGGAGGAGGAATTAAGGCAAATAACTTCTGAGTACCAGGTCTACACTACTGAGCTTTTGGCTTAAGACAAAAACTAGTTACTGAGTTCTTAATTTTCAGAGTTCAGAGTTGGCAAATCTGCAACTAAGAAAGAAAGACCAAACGAAAGAAAGAAATGGTATTTCACTTGGGGATGGGGATGTAGCTCAGCAGCATAAGTGCCTGCCTTACAAGCGCACAAATGTGAGTTTGATCCCCACTACCAAAAAAAAAAAAAAAAAAAAAAAGAAAGAAAGAAATATGGGAGGGGGAGAAGTATAATTCAGGTTGTGATGCTAGTATGGAAACGGCATGTATCAGTATGAACTCAAAACTCATAATTAATAATATCCTTTATGTTAACTAATAATTAATATCTAATTAATATACATGCCTTACCTGCCATTACTATTCTCTTGCTCAGTGGCTATTTGTAAGACACATAGGGTTGGGACAGGCTGATAGGGGCTGGCATTTGTCTTTTGTAGTTTTCAAGGCTGATTATTTTCCAGCCAGGTGTTATTTTCAGGGAAACATGTTAATTACACAAGGAAAATAATTACTGAGGAGATATAGATGGACACTACCGTGTCAAATTGAACAACATGAGTAAAGCAAGTGATAGATTTCATGTTTTCCCTGATGTAATGTGCTGAGAAGACACATTTAGGAGGAAACATCAGACAAGCAAAGAAAATCAGCTACAAAATAACTGACGCAGTACTTTTCAAAACCATGAAACGTAAGATAATAAAAGACAAAATGTGGAGGAATTACCAGATTATATGTAAGACACAACAACTAAACTGACAAATTATTGAATATTTTTTTTTTCTATATTGGAATATTGGGTTAACTGGCAAAATCAAAATAAATCTTACACATTCAAATATTATACCGATGTCAATTCTCTGTGCTCTGGATATACAATTAGAATCTTTCCTTTTACTTTTTTTATTTTAAAGACAGACACAAGGGCTGGGTGTGGTGGCATAGGCCTGCAATCCCAGTACTCAGGAGGCTGAGGCAGGAAGATCACAGTGTGAGGTGAAAGCCAACCTCAACTACACAATGAGACCTTATCTAAAAGAACACAAAGTAGAAAGAGAAATGGAAAAAAAGCAAATATGATAAAGTTAAAACTTTTGGAATCTGGGTAAAGGCAACATAAGAACAAGATTTTTTCTCTAAACCTGAAATTGTATCAAAACAAACAGATTCATAAAGTGGTATTTCTTTAGACAGAATGGTTATCCAAGGGGAAACAAATTTCTCCATGACCTGACCTTGCCCAGTAGCTCATGGGGCAGATAAGCTTTTGAGCGCTTGAAGAGAGACCCCGTTTGGCTCAAAGTTAACACAATGGCACCTCCATGCTGAAAGAAAGGAAATAAGGCATGATTAGAAAAAGCTCAAATAGTATCAACTTAGCATATATATTTTTGGATTTCAAACTCTTTTTCCAAAGATAACATAAAGATATTGTTAAAAAAAAAAAAAGATACTGTTAACAATTGCAAATAAAACCATGAGAGCCAGGTATGGTGGTCCATGTCTGTAATTATGGCATGGTTGGAGGCTGAGGTAAGAGGAATGCAAGCGCAAATTGGGTTAGCAGGACACTGTCTCAAAAAAGGGCCAGGGAGTTGGGGACATAGCTCAGTGCACAGGCTCTCAGTTCAGTCTGTAGTACTCGCTGTCATGCACATACACAAACACGTCAATAATGGGATAAAACAGTTTTGATCTTACTCCAGTCAAATTAAAAGATTAGAAATCAAATACATAAATTTTATTCCAGACTTTACTCCTAAATTGACAGTTATAGGAATTAAATATTCTAGTCTTCAGAACCAAGCGACTACAAAGCGAAATACAGTTAAAAGGAAAACACAAGCACTCCTGAAACATGCTAAGCATGCTAAGCATCGTGGTCTTACCCAGTCATTCCACATCATCTTCCTCAGGTTGTAAATAAGTGCTAGCTCCTCTGGTGCAATCTGTAAGTTGTCAACATGAGAATGGAGGGATCATTACTTGTTTTCCAGGAAGCACCCATGAGACAACTAAACTGCCAACAACAGCAGCTCTAAATCATATACAGTTGTGGTACCTGAGTATACACCTCTGGGATCAGCTACAGGCACTGGCCCAAGAACCTTTATGCCTGTTACCAGGAGACGAGGCCCCTATACCCCAAACCAACTGCCTTCCTTAATGCTTCTGGATTTCTCCATGAAGACTGCATAGCCTCACTTTGAAAGAATAACAGAGCAAGTTAGGCAAGAAAACAGCTGTTGTCCTTCTCTCCAAGACACTGTGACTTAAGTTTCCAATGCACAGTGGAACCCTTGGAGTCACTGTCTCATCCTGATGCTGTTTTCACTGTACGCATTAACTCTACCACTCCAAGCCAAGAAAGTACTGTACATGATCCACACAGAGAAGTCTTGGCCTTTGTACATGATACAGCCAGAAACCAGTGAAACTAGTAGAGAGAAAGCCAGTCCTCGTACTGGGCTTTTATCTTCTCTTTTCAGTGTGGTTCTGCCCCAGAGAGCATTGACGCCATCCACAGCCACGAGGAGGTGAAACAGCCCGGAAGAACTTTGCCTCTTGAGCTCCTTCAAGACAATGCCGACTGCGTCTGTGGCATTTTTTACCCGGGTAATGCCCTGTGGGAAAGAGAGCGACTTAGAGCACTTCTGGAGGCCTCCTCAGGCTCTGATACCTACACATGTGGGCCTTTTCCAGTACCTGTTCCACCACTTCTCCCAGAGGACTGCCTTTCTCAGTGCTCTCTCTCTTATTCCAGATATACTTCTCTTGAACTTTTATCTAAAAGCAAGGAAACAAAACAAAAACTATAAATAACCAAACCTATCCCTAGTTAGGACAGGAGGCCAAGGCTAATAGGAGTCAGTTTAAATCTGTTTCATATATCCTATAAGACTTTTTTTTGTACTGGGGATCCAACTCATGACTACATGCTTGCAAAGTAGGTGCCTATGCCACTGAGCTAAATCCCCAGCCCCCTGTAAGAGATTTGATATAAGCCAGACATAGTGACACACATCTATAATCCAAGCACTCTAGTAGGCCGGAGCCAGGAGGATCACAAGTTCAAACTTGGGCTGGGAAATTTAGAGACCCTGACTCAAAAAAGAAAAACACAAAAGGGCTGTGGATATAGCTCAGTGAAAAGTCCCTGGGTTCAATCCTGTATACTGAAAAAAAGAGGGGAAGAAACAAAACAAAACTAACAGAGAGACAGACAATGTGAGCCCATCTCTGCTGTCTCTGCTGCAAACTTAGAAAGAAAAAAAATACATGAGGGACTCTGACTATAAAAATCCAAAATGAGATACTAGCAGCTGCGTTTTAATTATTTTTTAGTGCAAGGGGCTGAACCCAGGACCTTATACATGCCAGACAAGTGCTGTACTTTGGAGCTACTCATCAGCCCTTATTATTGAAACAGGTTCTTGCTAATTGACCCCAACTGGCTTTGCATTTGGTTTCTTCCTAAGCCTCTGGAGTGTGGGATGACATGTATGCACTACTATTTCCATTTTTTTCTACTGCACTTTTAATAAGCTCCTAGTCCAGTGGTGAACCTATGGAATGTGTGCTGCAGAAAGCTCTAGAAGGTTCGCTACCACTGTCTTACTCTTTAAAACCACAGTACAAAAGTCTTAGAGGTCACAACCAAGAAAACACAGTTAAAAAGTTTTACCAATACATTTCTGGTTCCCAAAAAGGTCTGGAGAAAAATGTATAGTTGGAAATGTGCTGTGGTATACTTGAGGCTGTACACTAAAAAAGTCAGTGAATCAATCTGAATTTTGTTATCTATTAAATGGGAAGTTTACTATTGTCTTTTTATTTTACATAGATGAATGAGTTTCGAGTTGTGAGTCCACTGTAAGTAAAATGTACAAAAGACATACAAGTGCTGTTACATATATCCCACACAGCAATTTGGTGTAGTCTCCCAAGTACTTGAAGCACAAAGAAGGTACAATTGTGAATAAAGAAGCCTAGCATTGATCTTCCGGGAGTCTAGTTCACCTGGCTCAGGAAGTGTTCATTTGTAATTTTGAAATTCTTCAGCCAGGTTGAAGCCTCTAAAGGTTGATCGAAGCGTTGTTTGTTGTAGGTAGACTGTAGAAGTTCCCGACAATTTTTCACCCAAAGATGAGCTAAACAAAATACAAAAAATAAAACCAAAAACCAAAAAACAACCAACTGCGCAGGAACTGACTATACTTATTTAGAGTACCTTTAAGTTGCAAGGAATATTACATTTATGTCATGCATTCGTGGCAAGTGATCTACCACTGAACTGTATTCCTAGTCCTCCACATGTTTATTCCAGCATTCTGGCATCAGGGGCTTTTTCATCAGGTTCCCCTTATACTAAACATTAGCATTACAAATCAATGCCTAAGAGCTGGACACGTGAGCACAGGCCTGTAACTCCTGTGCTCCTCAGAAGACTGGGGCAGGAGAATTGCCTCCTGTCTAAGGCCAGTCTGAACTACATAGTGAGACCCTCTGTCGAAATTCAATGCATAAGATACCAAGTAGTTTAATATTACTTCTGCCTACTGACATTTTAAAAGCTGAATCAGAAACTGTAGACACACACAAGAGTGAATAAAAAAAGGGATGTATGCCAAGTGTGAGGGTTTCAGTTTATACTATTCAAACTGACTCCTGTAAAATGCTGATAAAAAGTTCTATGGGTACTCAAAATCATAAGTGATAGCAACATAAAAGTAAAGTAATGCATGGTTATACTCCCAGGTACTTGGGAGGCTGGGGAATGAGGGCTGCATGAGCCCAGGGATTCAAGACCAGCTAGGGCAACAAAACAAGACCCGTCTCTCTCTCTTTTTTTTTTTTTTGGAGGGGGCAGTTTTGAGAAAGGGTCTTGAAGTTAAATTCACGGTGATCTTCTCCCCTCAGCTTCTGGAGTGCTGCACCACCATGCCCAGCTAGGACCAATTTCTTAAACAAAACACAGCTAACACAGAATACTGTGGTCACCTCTAAGGTGGGACTTTGTGTTCTTGGGCATTAAATATCAAAGTAAAAACCTAGTATCGGGCTGAGGATTTAGCTCAGTGGCTCAAGTGCTTCCCTGATAAGTACAAGATAGTGAGTTCGATCCCTGGTACCAAAAGCAAAAACAAAACCCTTTAGTATCAAAAGACTTCAGGAAATTTTCAGCTAAGTTTCTTGTTGTCACGTGTACTTTACTTTGCAAGCTGCTTGGCACTAACATTATAAAGAAGTCTTGATGAACCAAAAGCTCTCCATTTAGATGAGCTTGGTCAGAAAATAAAATCACAGTGCTGCCTTGGTAACAGGAGAACTAGCTTGACACACAGAAGAAGGGAAGTTCTTACCATCTGGAATATGCAAGATTAGCCAACCGTGTTTTGCACAAAAATGAATAGCATGGCAAAGACTGAGAGTTTTTCCTGTTCCCCTTTCTCCATCTAATATACTTGCTGTTAAAGAAAACACCACCAGACACAAGTCTTCTGCCAGTGTACATTTGCATTTCTTCTATGCTGTCATGAGAGGAGAAATACTGGCTAAAAGTGTCCCAGGCAGGCAGGAAAGGATACAGAGAACATACCGTACAGCTGGGTAAGCAAAATTAGTGTTTTTCAGGTAATGCAGAAGCTCTAGGGCTGGTTTCCTTACCATCAGACAAGCTTCACCAAATGTCTTCACCTAAGAAAATGGAGAGGCAGGAGGTAGAATGGGGACTTCCAACCACTGTTGGAATTCATGTTGAGTCAAAGGGAACAACAAGAGCATAGAATTGTATGTTTTTAATTTATTCAGTTGGGAAAGGCTAAGTTGTTATTTAATTTGAAAACCAACCCTTATAACTTAGCTAAAATACATTACTCTGGACATAACCCAGTATTAGTTTTTGATTATTCTTATTAATGAAACATACTCTATCAGTTAACTGGCATCTATAAATAATTCAGATATAACTATATAAATATACTATGTAGAATCAAGATAAACCTTAAAAAGATATAAAATTTTTAACATGGCATTTAATACATAGTAAGGACTCAATAAACATTTTAAATTTATGTTTAGGTGAATCATATTACTATAACCATCCATCCTTGTCTCTAGAAATACAGGGAAAAAAAAAAATCAGCAGGAACTAGTGAGAACAATTATACCAATACCAGCAACTATTCTTGCAGTTAAATCACAAATTTTTCCAGTTCTAGAGATCGTGCCCATGGCAATGTGCATGACAGGAAAGCTACCATGAGGGACAAAGATGAACTTAATCAAAATAGCATTTCTATTTATTTATTTATTCATTCAAGGCAGGCTGTGTAGTACAGGCTGAGATTAAACTCACTATATAACTCAGGCTGGCCTTGAACTCGAAGAGATCTTTCTGCCTCAATCTCCAGAGTGCTGGGATTACAGGTGGGCGCCACCACACCTGGCCTTCAATTCTCTTTAGACCAAGATTATTAGGATTTTGTGTGTGTGCATGTATAGCAGATTAACTATTGTTTATTTTGCTATGGCAAATATTAATTCATTCAAAATAATTATTTGAGTGCCAAAATTTCTAGAGACTGATTGGGTAATACAAGGAAAAAGATATGTCTATATTTACCAGGCTCGAAAAAGGAGTCAGTAGATAGAAAATTACATTAGGTCAAAAATAAAGCAACTGTACTATTCACAAAAGATAATAGTTGAGGCTTCCGGGAGAACATGGCGGACAGATAACAGCAACTACCGGAGGCTCTCTGAAAGACTCGGCTCAGAAGCCAGGAATGGTGCGGACTAAGGAGACATAAGCAGGTGGAGATATGCTCTGCTGACTCAGGAACGAACTGGGCTGAGAGAAACCAACTTGGAATGCATTCCTGGTGCTAAAACAGGAACAGAAAAGCCTCGGTGTGGAGGCTGGACCCCGCGCCATTGTAAGCCGCGATTTGGGTTTCCCGCCGCGCGGCGGCTGGCTGCCTCTACAGTGGCTCGGCAAGGAGAGAGATGCGCAGAAGCTCTTGAGAACGGCAATCTGCGAACGGCAGGGAGGCGTGCACTGACTTGTGGTGAGGTGAGTGAGAGAAGCTGACACTCTACCACAGTTTGACTCCAGCGGAGGACTTTCTGGGCCTGAGCAGTCCTGCGGGAGCAGGGCGCGGTGGCGACTCCAGCCACACATCCCCCTCTCGGGCGGAATTGGTGAAAAGTGCCAGGCCTGCGTGACGCTGCCGGCGGACCTGGTAGGCTGTCCCAACCCAGATCCCAGAGCCTGACGGTGGCCGGGAGGGGAGACGCGTAGGCTGCCTGGTCCGTAAATCCCTGGTGCACAGCGGTGAGCGGGAACACCTAACTGGCGCAATTCGATCAGGCTGTGGCTGACTGGGAGAGAAGCTGGGCCTCTTATATAAGCTTGCATATATAAGGAACAGAGAAGAAGAGGCAGCATGGGAAGAGGCAGCAACAAGAAAGACTCCTCGGCCCCCAATTCTGAGAAACAGGCAATAGCAGACACCGCACCAATATACATAAGGCACCATATAGAGAGTCTCATAGACCAATTCAGGAATGAAGTTATCAATGACCTGAAGCTAGAAGTATGCAGAATAGTTAGAGAAATGCTAAGTACCACCCAAGAAAAAACAGGCGGTGGAATGGAAGAACAGAAAAAAAGGGGAGAATTGTTTGATGGAGAAAACAGAGAAAGCATAGAATACGTGAAGCAGGTTCAAAGGGACTACCAAGATACCAAGAAGTCTATAGAAGACTGGCATAACAGCTTGAAAGAAACTAAGGACAGACTATCTGAACTGGAGGGCAGACTTGTAATATGGGAGAATGAAATGAAAAACTTCTTAAAAATAACAAAGAAACACACAGCAATAATACAAAGACAAGAAGATGATAAGAGGATCCATAACTTAAGGATAAAGAACATAAAAGAAGAAGTAGGGACACAAACAAGTGAACTACAAAAGCTACTCACAGAAATAATCCAGGAGAATTTTCCTAATTTAGCAAAAGGTAAAGATACTCAGATGTATGAGGCATACAGGACCCCAGCTACCTACAACCCAAACAGAGCAACACCCAGGCATATAATAATAAAAATTCCAGAAATTCAATACAAGAACAGAATATTAAAAGCTGTAAGAGACAAGAAACAGACCACTTACAAGGGAACACCCATCAGAATTACAGCAGATTTCTCGGCACAAACCATCAAATCACGAAGAGCGTGGGGGGAAATAATTCAAGCTTTGAAAGATAATAATCTCCAGCCAAGATTGAGATATCCTGCACAACTGTCCCTGGAAATTGATGGAAAAACAAGGTGCTTCCAGGATAAAGAGGAACTGGGGGAATTTGCAACCACCAATTCAACTCTACAGAGAGTATTGCAGGATATTCTAAAAAAAAGAAAAATACAAAGAATGCAGAAATAATGGCAGAGAGGCCACAACGAATGGAGCAGAGAACAAAATGAAGAAGACAAACTGACAGCTACTGACAGAAAAAGAGCTCAACAGAAATGAGGCAGAGAAGATTGGAGGATAGGAACAGCTATTTTGGAGAAAATGACATCTTAATAGGTAATACTGATTTAGTATCATCTTGTTTTGAAGTCTCATCTAGCTTTTGTCCTTCTGTCTCCAATGGTCTAAATAGGTTGTATCTTACTGGATTTTATTATGTACGATAGTATAAGCAAAAACCTTATAAAGACAAGGAGATTATACAGAAACCATTATTCATTTTCTGTTAGTCGATTCTAAATACTCTGTAATGCTGTCATTCTCTTGAATGGTTTTACATTGTTTTGATATACTTAATGCTACAGTATACGAAGTTGTACTCAAGGATTTCAAAGAAAGAGACAATATGGTAACTACTTTTAGGTTAGGATTATCTGGTGGTGAAACACTATTCTGCTTAAATGGTTATGTTTTGATCTGCGCTGTTTCGTTGTTATGCCCTCTTTTATCTCAATCTCCACTCCATTATTTACTTTTTTATCTTTATCCTTTTAATTAAAGGAAAAAAATAGCAGGATATATTATAGTAACCCACTTTGACTTTTCATTACCTTGATTTAAAGCCCTGTATTACTCTCACCCTCTGGTTTTTAACTGATGTTCCCCTATTCTGTTTTGCTGGATAGTATCAGGTTCAAAAGTTTAGGCATCAGCTGTGAAGATAATGAGATTCATTGTGACGCCCACTCTTGTTGACTTTTATCTACTTTTGAAGACCTACAATATCTCCAATGTTTTGGTTTTGTCAGTTTAATTCTTTACTGTTTTGTTCAATTGTATTATAACTAACGATATAGGCAATTCTATTAGAGATAGCGGGAGGCATTATAGTAACCATTGTTGTTCACCTTGTATTATGTTTTTACATTATCTATTATGTCCACCCTTTTGACTTGACTGATTCTGTTCTGCTATGTCACATTTGGTTTTACTCTCTTCCAAAAAAGTAATAAGAACCGTGGGAGCAATGAAACCCAAAATGTGTAATAGTCATGGTACAAAAGAGAGGAAAAGAAAGTGCTCCAAACTATATAACTGCATGTATATTTAAGTGTATAAGATAGAAAATGATATCACAGAGTTTTATTGGATCAATGAACAGAACTGTTTGCAGTATCATTGATGGAATGTCCACTTTACAAGCTTTAATTTTGTGACTTGAACAATTATTTCTAAGATGACAATATGTAATCCATTAACTAGTGATTTCCTACTGTTCATTTTTTTCTGTAAATCTGTATAACTTGTACCCTTTGCCTGCTTTTTTTTTTCTTTTCTCCTTAAATAAAATTAAAAAAAAAAAAAAAGATAATAGTTGAATTTCTGTTTTTAAGATTCAAATTTTAATTTTAGAGGTGGCAGTCATGCACTTTACATTCTGGTCTCCCCCAGTTCCCCCACATGAAGCACCTGCATTACAAAGCGCGGAGGCAGACCATGCGGAAACACAGTCTTCAGATCCTGCAGAGGGACGCTGTAGTGCTGCCCCTCATGCTGCTCCCCATGCTGGGCCTAGAACACAATGCAAACAGGTAGAAATGGACACAAAGTGGTTAGGACTTCGATAGGGAATGGGGTTTGCTGGACACACTCATTTATCTTTGTGAAAAATGTTGGCTGCTGGCTTCAGTTTCTCCGTGTATAATGCACTATAAAGGTGATAACCTTTACAACAAAGCCAGTTGTTGACTAGAGTAAACCCTAGATATGGAAGTGACAGACAGTCTTTGCCATTTGGGTTCTTCTGTGCTGTGGGAAGATGCTCCAGTCATGTGACAAGATAATCTGCATGCTTCTGTTTCCATAGAAACCCCAAAGGCATTGGCAGATAAAAGGACTACAATTACAGAGGAAGTTGAAAAACATTAGTAATTTCATTCATTTATTCTATTTCATTCTGTGCTTGTGAAAATAGGTAAATGATAGAGATATTTAAAACACATGCTAATATGGTTGCGGGGGGGGGAGTACAGATGTGTCATTTTTTTTATTTCCACATAGCTATTTTCAATTTTTATTTTATTTGTTTTTTTTTTTTTTTTTGCACTGGGAATCAAACTCAAGAATTCACATTTTCCAGGTAGATATGGTGCCACTGAGTTGACCTCCAGCCCTTGTTTAGTTTTTTTTTTTTTCTTTTTTTGGAGGGGGCAACATGGTCTCATTGTGTAATTCAGGCTGGCCTTGAATTCATTATGTAGCTCAGCCTAGCCATGATGGCACAGCAACACTCCTGCCTCAGCCTCCCAAGTGTTGGGATTACAGACCTGGGCTACCATGTCCCTTTCCACATAGCCACATTTAAGATGGGTAGACTCAGAAGGGAGGGGCGGGGACAAAAAATGCTGGTGGATTCTTCACATTTTAGCACAGAACACACAACTAAATTTTATTCATGAGAGGCAGCAGCAATGATGGGTGAAGAAAGGAAGACAATATCCAGTCTTTCTGATTTTTTTTTTTCTTTTTACTGGTATCAGGGATTGAACTCACGACTGCCTGCTTGCAAGGCAGGTGCTTATGCCACTGAGCTAAATCCCCAGCCCCTGAAATATCCATCTTATAGAATCTCAATTATAAAATGAATCACTGGATGCTACCAGAATCTTGTCTTCTGCTGTCAAACTTCACTTTAGATGTTGCTCTTTTGACAACAAATCAAGGTAGCATCCTGACACTTTACAGATAATAGGAAATGCATTTACCAAGATGGAAAATACTACCAGTTTGGTTTGTATGAAAAGTAGGGCCAGACCTGCCCTGTTGTGTGATTCTGGGCTAACTATGTACTTCCATACCAGGGCTTGGTAAGCTAACATTGGTCATTTCTTTTTATATTGTGAAGTGCAGAACATCAAACCTAGGGCATTTCACATGTTAGGCAAGTGTGCTACCTCTGAGTTACAACCTCAAGTTCTACTTACTTGTTTCATAAATAAGTATTTATTAGAACACAGCCATACATATTTGCTAATGGCAGAGGTGAGTAGCTATGACAGAGACTGTTATAACTCATAAATCGAAAATATTTACTTCCTAGTCTTTAAGGAAAAGCCTGCCACCCAATATACAATAAGGTTAATATAAGTGTTAAGTATACCTTGCAAGGAATTTTTTTTAAACAGGGTCTCACTATGTAGTTTAGGCTGGCCTTGAACTCACCATGTAGCTCAGCTGGCTTCAAACGCTAAGTGATCTTCATGCCTCAACCTCCTAAGTGCTGGGATTACAAGTGTGCACCTCACATTTGGCTCCTTACAAGGAATTAAATTAGTAAATTTTTGCTTTGTCCCTACTGTACACTAAGGAAGACCCTTGACTCTTTAATCCCACTAAGAGGGATTAAAATCAGAAGCACAGCTGGCGATTTAGCTCAGGGGCATAAGCACCTTTCTGGCAAGCATAAGGCTGTGAGTTCGATCCCCAGCACACCTAAATAAATAAAGTCAGAAGCACAGTGGACTTAGCTGAGTACTTTCCATTATGGTTGTGTTGGCCAGGGTTGCAGAGTATTACCTCAGGTACACAGTCTATCTGATTATTGGTAAACTTGCTTAGCTTCTTAAATTGTACTTTCCTTGATACAAAAAAAGAAGATACAACACAAATTATAATCCCTGAGAAACTTCATACATACATTAGCAACTTACCGGGTCAGTTTCATTGGTTCGGGATATAGTTCTGGGCCTCTCAACTGGAACCTGGTTATCTGGTTGAACATCAATGCTTTGGGGTGCTTGGGTTCCCATGTGGAAAAAACATCGAGGATTCAACTAGAAAAGAAACCAGTATAGTGTTGTAGAATTATCAGATTTTTTTATGTTTGCTGTAACATTAACGATGCAAGCCGTATCTACAACATGGAAAAATGTCATTAACGTGGTTTTTGTCTTTTTGAGACAGGATCTTGCTATGCAGTTGAGGCTTGCCTTGAGCTCACTCTGTAGCCCAGGCTGGTCTCGAACTTGCAACGTTCCTCCTGCCTCAGCCTCTGGAGTGCTAGGATTACAGCTGTGTACCACCTCACGCCCGGCTCAATAATGTGTTTTAATTCTACAGAAAAAATATCCTTGTCATTATTTATAATTCACTAAATCCATTCATCTCAGTCATCTCATTCTGCTCCAGCTTGTGTACTGACTTACCAGGACTCTGTGTCACATGGAAATAAACAATTCTGTTAAGACTGTTCAGGAATACAGTACAGCCATTATAACCTAAAGGCAGAAATTATTTTTTATTTTTGGGATGGTGTTTCATTATATTGCCCAGGTTAGCTTCAAACTCCTGGATTCGAGAAATCTTTCCACCTCAGCCTCTTAAGTACCACCACCACCACCGCCACCACAATTTGTGGAGACTGAATCTGGGGCCTTTGCACTGAGCTATAGTTCCATTATTTTGAGACAGATTCATTAAATTGGTGAGTTGCCCAGGCTGGGCTCAAAACCTTCCACCCTCCTGCTTCAGCCTCTCAAAGCATTAGGATCATAGGTATGTAGCACCACACCTCTAGGATATTTCTATAAATGCATTTGCTCACTGTGATGCATGGCTGTGAATACAATGAAATTCTCAGTAATCCAGCAGTTACCCTGCTCAGAGGGTTAGTGCAGTGTTGACAGATATGACTGCTAACCATCTATTTGCTACCAACATCCTGGAACAGGGACTCTTTAATGAGATGTGTGATGGAGTATGTAAAGCATGCAGCGTGAAAGAAACTGTTCTTCAAGTTGTTTGATGAACTACATACCAAAACTCCCAAACCAGGGGAAAGGGGAAGGATAAAAACTCAGCAGAGAAATCTGAGAAAATATTAAGCAGAGAACACCCAAAACTTAAGTTTAAAGATCACAATCTTACTGTAGAAGTGAAAAAGATGCCAGTTAGGAAGAAAAGATTAAGGTCTGAAACCAGGAGCAGCACAGGGATATGAAAGATGGGTGTAACGTGAGAACTGCTTGATAAGATTGACAGGGAATAACAAAATGCGGTATTTATACTTAGTCTCACCAGATCACTTTTTGAGTTTTGTTTGAGACAAGATCTTGCTCTGCAGCCCAGGCTGGACTCGGATGCATGATCCTCCTTTCGCCCTGCTGAGTGCTGTAATTGTAGGTGTGTACCAACAACACTCAGCTCCAAGCAACTTCCAGAGCGCAGAAAATGGCCATTATTTTTGTACTACTTCTCCTAACACTTACACCCAACTCAAATGCCGTATGTTTCCCCATGCAGACTTGCCACACAATTCCAATCAAAAGCACGTAGTTTTCTTGTTAACAGCACTTTCTTTTCATTGCATAGTAGTTGTACTCTTCCTGGAAGTGCACTTAGAGTCACTGTTAAATGAGTAGTCTTTAAATGCTGGGCAGTACAATCTTTTGTATGTATTATATTTGATTGCAGAATCCTTGAAGATAGGCTGAATATTACTGTCCCTGTTTCTGACAGGGAAAAACAAAGTCCAAGGAAATTAAAAAATTTTGACTAAAGGTCAGAGTTGGAACTAGAATTCATATCCAACTTTGACTCTTAAATCTCTATTTAAAAAATTACATCATTTTATCTTATATATGTTTGTCACCCATTCTAAGCTGACACTTGGAAGAAAAGGAATCAGGTATTATTCTTCAAGGATCTAACATGACACAATTTTCTCTCCTAGTTCTCAGGATAGAAGCCAGAGTCTTCACACTGAGTTTCATCCTCTGCAACCCTGAATGCCTTTATATGTTTAAGACAGCCTTGCTAAGTTTAAACTACCCAGCCTGGCCTTGAACTTTTGATCTCCCTGCCTCAGCCTCCTCAAGTGCTGGGATTACAGGTGTGGACATTGTGCCCAACTCATACTACAAATAGTTAAGGATGGGTGTCTGAGAATAATCTTTCCTTAGGTGGGTGTGGGTGGCATAACCCTGTAATCCTAGCTACTAGGAAGGCTAGGCAGGAGGACTGAAAGTTTAAACCTATCTGAAAATAACTAAAAAGGGAGAGGGTGCAGGCTAGGAATGTAGGTTAGCAGTAAAGTGCTTGTCTCTCCTCCAAAAAAGAATTTCTTGAAGACTTGTTTTTTTACTTTTATTTTTTTAGACAGAGTCTCGCTATGTAGTTTAGGCTGCTCTCGAACTCACTATGTGTCCCAGACTACACTCAAATTTACAGCGATCCTTCTGCCTCAACCTCCCAAGTGCTGAGATTAGAGGAATGTGCCGCCACACCTGGTTGAAGATTTGTAATGAAGGAGTATATAGAGCATCTAGCTAAAGAAAAAGAAACTATTTCATAGGTGATTTACTAAACTACAAATGGGAACTTCTGAATCCTAACTTGTATATAGTAATACTGCAAAGTTAACAGGGTCCTCCAGCTTTGATAAAGCAGGATTGTAAATTAAGGATACAGCAGAGAACACAATGTTTACCAAATAATCCTCTAAATATCTCCACCTCCCATAATAGGTAGGAATCACATGATTACTTCTGACTAAAGAAATTACTGTCATTTCGAGTCAAAATCATTTGAGAGTAGATATAAATTCTTCTTCTTCTTCGCAATGCATCTGTAGTCCCAGCTACAAGGGAGGCTGAGGCAAGAGGATTCCAGGCTTGGGCAAAAACAGTGAGATGCTGTCTCAAAAAAGGCCAGTGGTTTATCTCAGCAGTACAAGTACCTGCTGGTAAGCACATGGTCCTGAGTTCAATCTCCAGGACAAAAAAGAAAAAAGAAAAAGCTACACATTAGGATGGTATCCCAAGAATCTGTGTTCTTAATCTTGTCCACAAGATCATTATTTTACAAAATATAAGGAGAGCAAAAGTGATATATACAGCACAAACAAGAATTAAGGGCCCGCTACCTCAACAAAGCCACCTGAATATACCGTTATACTCATCCTATTCAGTTTTTTATCTACTGGACAGAAAGCATGTCTCTTTATAAAGTAGAAAACTGAAAATATTTAAGGGCCACACGGTGGTGCTATTCTACAGTAATCTGATGACTTTTTTAGATACAGTTTGTGCAGGAAATTAAAAGCTAGCAAAATGGATTCCTTCTTGGAGTGTTACAAATGGCATCACCAGCAAGTCTCCTTTCTAGGAAAATCACATATGTACAACTGCTTCTGTATAATTGCAGAATGAACATCGTGCAGTTCCTGAACAAACAGCATTCATGGGCCAATCCAGAAAGTTTTGCCCAAGCAGACTACAAACATGCACAAAATCCTTTCGCCAACTTATCTTTACTGGGCCTCAGGTAATTCTTGACTGGTTTAGGGAAGACATGCTCACCTTTTCATATTATCAGTTATGGCTAGAATCCCTCTTCTCTTTCTCTTTGCTTTTATTTTAAAATACTGGATTATTTTACGTTTATAAGCTTTTTTTTTTTTGTACCAGGGATCAAATTTATGACCTTGCGCTTGGCAGGGGAGCACTTTTGTCCCTGAGCTAAATCCCCAGCCCCTACAGGCTTTTAAAAACAAAGCAACACTTATAGGAGAAAAGGCTCCTTTTATAGGAACTGGAACTTGTAATTACATTATCTGACTAGAGTGGTTAGGCCCTTCTGACTCAGGCTTCCTCCTCAGGATTTAGCTCTGGGTGCAGCTGCTGCAGGAGGTACCCTCTTGAGGGCTGCCACAGCACCACAGAGCAGCAGTCTTTACTCATGATCCCACCAGTTTTGAGCAGAAAGAGCTGAAACTGTGGTGATCCAGTGTAGGCCATAGGCTTGAGAGACAGGCAGATCTGGCATCTAGCCTTTTCCTACAGGAAAGTTACCCAGCATCCTAATCCTGTTCTTACTTCTTCAAAACAAATTTATTATCTACTTCATGGACTGATCATGAGGTCAAAAAGAAAGCACTCAGTGTACTGTCCTGCACAAAATGAAATATCCCTAAAATAACAAATACAATACTATTATAATATAAATATAAAATATATATACTGTACATATAAATAATAATTATAGCCGGGGGCCCAGTGGCATAAGTGTCTGTCTGGCAAGCACTAGGTCATGAGTTCAATCCCAGTACCAAAATAAATAAATAAATAAATAAATAAAAAATTATAATAGTGAAATAAGTCATCTTAAAATTATGAGTACCTGCCAGGTGTGAAGATGCATACCAGTAATTCTAGCACACTGGGAGACTGAGGCAGGAGGATTATTAGTTTAAGCCTAGCCTAGGGAATTTAGCAAGACTGTCTGAAAATTAAAAAAAAATAAAAAAAAACAACCAGCCAAGTATGCAGCTCAGTGTGAATGGCCTGGGTTCAATTCCCTATAGTAAGAAAAATAAAATAGAAAGAAACAAAGAATTTTGAGTACTTGCCACAGAGATGTGAAAAACTACTTGGTAAAGAAAAGGTTAGGCATGGTGGCACATGCCTGTAATCTCAGCACTAGGGTGGTTGAGACAAGACGATCACCAGGAGTTCGAGGATAACCTGGGCTACAAAGTGAGGCCCTATCTCAAAACAAAACGAAACGAAACAAAACAAAAAATTGGCAACTCATTTTTCTTTTAAATATTTCATTAAGGGACCAGGGATACATAGCTCAGTGGCACAAGTGCCTGCCTGGTAAGTGCAAGGTTCCGAGTTGATTCCTAGAACCAAAAATACGTACATACAATACTTCATTAAGGGATGATAATCAACAATAAAAAAGTTAATAAAGATAACTACAATCAAACTTACCCATGCTTTTGAAAAAATATTAGTATCACATTGTAAATACTCATACACAAATCTTTTAGTGAGATTTCTTACTTGATAATTTTTATTGCAGTGGGGAGTAAATATAGTGAATGGAGCTGTGACTGGTTTTTCCTTGTTATGTTTTTGGTGGTACTATGATTGAACCCAAGGCTTTTGCAATGAACTGGACTCCTCGTACTTTTTATTTTTTATTTTGAGGCTGTCCTTGAACTTGCAATCTTCCTGCCTCAGTCTCCTGAGCTGTTGGGATTAAAGATGTGTGTCACTATGCCCTGCATAACTGTTGTTTTGAGTACATACTTAAAACCAAAGCAGTAATCTGGTGGTGTTCTCCAGAGTATTTGACCATGGATATAATAATACCATGTAACGCCAAGACATCTACCTAAAGTCAGTTTGCACAAAGTGTGCAGGTCTGATAGCACTCACTTACCTTGTAGTTTCTGGAAATAAACCTTGTTGCTCCTTTCAGCATTGTTCTGCACTCTGAATAAAAGTGAAAAGGCAAGTCACAACTGGGAAAAAGTAACACTGACCCACAAAACTGACAATAATATTTAGAATATATAAAGCATGCCTATGAAGTGATAAAAATGGGTGGAAGGCAAAAATAGGTATTTCACAGAAAAAAGGAAGCAAATGGCTAATAAACCCATGAAATCTTCAATCTCCAAATGTAGAGAAAGTGAGACTTCTGGCAAATCCTGATTGGAAAGAGTTAAACCCCTGCTACAGCAATTAAGAGAAACAAAGGAACTGATAAGCAGCCAAGTGGCCCCAATTCACTCCTCTCCACCTCTGGTTAAGTACAAAGAAGACAAAGTGGAGAGAAGGCTACCTTACTCACTTAGTATGAAAAATATATACTCACAACTGGACGCTCACACACTTACATATAAATACATTTATGTTCTAGCCTTCTCTCACAATGTTAATGCACTGAATTGTACATGTATTCCTTTAATAAATGCTTAGTTGGCCTTGCATATAAGGCTCTGCTATAAATTTGAGGTATCACCTTGATAAAACAAAGAAGGCCAAAGGGGGCTTACCCAACAATTAGTACTTGTAGTAGGGAGGATCAATGTTTGCTAAATCAAGGGTCTCAGAGCCTAAAATAGTCAAGTTATAACAGTTCTCAAAGGGGCAGAGTCCCTTTCTTGCCATGTCATAAAAGGGGTTGAGAACAAAGAAGCTCAAACACTGACTCCAGGCTCCCCATCTTACTCTGATAAGGTAACGATCTATCTCATTTCTTTCTTCTTTCCAAAAAGGTGAGCTTGTTTCCCTATCAAAACGTGTATCTCTTTTTATTAGTATATAGTTTACAAACCTCAGGCAAATAAATCTATCCTAACTCCAGATGTGACGCTAACAAATTGGGGAAATGCAAATTAAAACCTCGATGAAATGCCATTAGCAACCACTATTTTGGGGAAAAAAGAAAAGTCAGAGAATAGCAAATGATAAAGAGGCTGTGGAGCATTGGGAAAGTCATTCCATCCCCAACAGGGGTATAAACATAAATATACTATAAAGTAAATTTAGCATTAACTTTGCAAAGATGAATATGTACAACTCTATTACCTAGCTATTCTAGTACTTGGTAACTTATTTTACAAAAATGTACATTGGGATATATAAGAATGTTCATAGGGACAGAGTATAAATTATCAAAAAGACTCAAACATCTCTTGATAAAAGAGTAGATTGAGCTGGGGATTTAGCCTAGCAGCCTGCTTGGCAAATGCAAGGTCATGAGTTTGATCCCTGGTACAAAAAAAAGAGGCAAAAGTAGACAATTAAGAGACATAGTTACATAGTGGAATACTATACAGCAATAAAACGAGCATCAACTCCCAAAATGAGTACTGAGTGAAAAATATTGTATCTAGGATGATAAAATTATATAAACTTCAAAATAATAAAACTTATTTTAGGGGTACACACAGTGAGTAAAAACCAAGGCATGTTAAGAACAACATTGAGAATAATGGTTACTCTAAGGGAGAAAAAAAAGGTTGGGGCAGGACATGCAGGAAATGGTAATGAACTATTTCTAATGCTGGATAATGTATACATGAATTATTTTTTTCAAAACACATCAATTGGGGCACAATGGTACATACGCTGCATATTGTCATCCCCAAATCATTTACCCAAAGCAAAAGACATCTGCATTCAGTTGTCCAAATAATACCAGCACAAATCTGTCTCTGAAGCAAACTCAGACATGAATTACTTTTATACCATGTTATAATTATCCCTTTGTACGCTGGAAATTGTTAATTTAAAAAATCTAATCTTTGGGAGCTAAGAGGAAGTTAGAATACAGCATTCCCCCTTTACCCATTGGGGGAATGATATATAAATATTAGAGGATCCCTAAAACCTGAGACAATTCCAGACCATGCATATATTTTTCCGTATATGTAAATAACCACAATAAACTTGGTTTTACAAATTAGGCACAATAAGAGATTAACAGCAGTAAAAAAAACAATAGAGAAATTATAACAATAAACTGTGTTGTTATTTGAATATGGCCACTGACTCTTAAAATATCTTACTGTAATATTGTTATTTCTTTTTTGCTTTTCCTATACTCATTATTGAACCCTGGTCCTTGTATATGCTAGGCAAATGCTAGGCACAAGGATTTCCCTAGCCTTTAAGTTTTGAGACAAGCTCTTGCCAATTTGCTCAGGCTGGCCTTGACTTATGATTCTCCTGCCTCAGCCTCCCAAACAGATGCCCAGCTACTTTCTCCTTTTCATGTAAGAGGAAGCACTTTACAGCTTCTCTATACAACTGCTGGAACCACTCTTCTTTTTTTTTTTTTCTCCTGTGTTGGGAATCAAAACCAGAGGCTTTCCAACATAATATTCTTGTGCTCTAGGATCATTATAAGTAAAATAAGGGCTACTCTCATTGTGACATAGTTACAGTGGATCTGATAACCAGATGGGTACTGACTGGTGGGTGGGTAGCATATGTAGTAGTATGGCACAGTGGCTGTGTTGGATGTGGGCACGATTCTGGTCCTACGCAACACAGAGTAGGATAGCACAAGATTTTACTGTCCTGCTCAGAATGGCAGGCAATTTAAAATTTACAAATTATTTATTTAATTTTTCATTTAAGATTTTTGAGCATGGCTGACCCTGGGTAACAAACTGCAGAAAGCAAAACCAGGGACAAATGGAGACTAGTGTACTTAAACACAACTCTCAATATTTAGTAATGGTAGAATAACTACAGTGAGTCTTTAGGGACTCAGTTACTTTATTTTGCATCATCATTTTCACCTTTCTTTTTTTGGTTTTATGAGATAAGGACTCCTTATGGAGATCAGTATGGCCTTGAACTCATGTAGCCTAGCCTGGGTTCCAACTTGCAGCAATCCTCTTGCCTCAGCCTCTGGAGTGCTGGGATTACAGGCATGCCTGGCACCCCACTTTCTTAAAACCAAAATTGTTAAAGCAACAACAGAGCTGCAGCCATTTAACTCAAGTTTCTGTGTGCCAAGCCCTGTGAGTGACAGTGAGCAAGCTGATACAGCCCCTGACCTGGGGGAGATTTAACAAGAGAATCATAAACTTCTAATTTCACTTCCCTTTGGTTTTCATGTTTACTTTTTGATAAAGATGCCAATGTACTTCTTAATTCAGTCTTTTCAGAAATGTGTGATATGCTTCCACAAGCTTACATCATGCAGAATATCCAGTGGTGACCAGGATGGCTATGATTGCTACTAGGCTGCCTCTCCCATACCTGTGGGATTCCAGGCCTCTTTCTGTATCTGAAATATCAGAGGCATAAAGTAGCAATTCCTAGAATAAGCTTGGTAGATACTCACTAGTCCTATAAAAAACACAAAAGTTCTAAAGTCAAATCATGGAGTTCTTCATTTCTTAGTCATTTCAACACATAATAGTATATTAAAGGTTATTACAAAATATTTACAGACCTTCCGGTGTGTAACAATATGAAACTTGTTTATTACTTGTTCAAAATAAGGGGTTTCAAAAAGTTGTACAATTTAGATTAGGCTTAATAGATCACAAAAATGAACAATATGGGATAGTAAAATGCCAACCAGGCTGCCCATCCTTGACATCTTTACCATTATGTTTAGTGGATGGACATTTTTACTGAATTATACCACTCACAGAGAAAAAGAAAAGGACAACATGATGGTGTAAAGTGTGTTGATCAAAGGAAGACAATAATGCAAAAAGAATTTGGAAAGAAACTAGATATTACTGTCTGGATTATAACATTGCATTGTGTATTGAATGTTTCAAAATATATCATACATGGAAAAAAATCACTAAATACATTTAATAGAATTGTTTTTATATTTTCTGTTATATTCGTATAAAAGTTAACAAAAAATGCAATTTTTAGTCATCCTGTATTTACATAATTGGACTGATAAGTTATTAAGAAACCAGCTTTATAATAAGCAAATTTTTTGGTACAGAGACTTGAACCCAAGGCCTTGTGCTTGCCAGGCAGGTGCTGTAACACCGAGCTATATCCCTGGCCCTATAATAAGCAATTTATAGGTATTATCTCACAACAATACTATGAGGTAGACATTATTATCCTCAGGTTAAAGTAAGTAGATTAAATAACCCATGCAACGATATATAGCCTAAAACTGGCAGTTTTAGGCAGACTGAACTTCTACAGGCCTTCTCATTAGTCGTTAGTCATTGTATATGTTACACCACCAATCAATGATGTCTATCATTCCCATTGACAGACTCACAAGGCTATCATATAATTTTTAAGTTATATAGACTTAAGGTGAAATGTCTCCTTGTAGCTTCCATTTGCCACCATAATCTTTCTCATAGGTTTGACAAATTATCTGCTACTTGCCAACTTTTTAAAATAGTGAAGGTAATCATTGCCTCTGTTTTTCTCTGTTCCTGGGCAAAAATACCTTCATCATGGAACGTAAGTCCCTTCTCTACATTATGTCAATACTTTTTGTGTGTGTGTGTGGGGTCTTTTTTGAGACAGAGTCTTACTATGCAGTTCAGGGTGACCTTGAACTGACAGCAATTCTTCTATCTCAGCCTCCTGAGGGCTGGGATTACAGGCATGGGCCACCATGCCCAATTTATGTCAATACTTTTGAGGTAAGGTATGACCTATTCTTTCCCTTATTTTATGTATTAAATTTCAAAGAGTGACTATTTTGCAATTCCGTCATACTCTTGTTTCATGAGATTATACTTCAGTAAAATCATTATGCCTTAAAAAAAATCTTGTTATGTATGAATCAAATTCAAATAGCAATGCAAAAGACCTAGAATGGCCCAAATAATCTTGGGGGTTTGGCAGCAAAGAGGGAAGATTCACATATCTTGATCTGGAAACTCACCAGAAAACTATAGTAATTAAGACAATGTGGTATTGGAATATATCTATAGATCACACACATCTAATCTACATGGTTACAATTACAGGAA